GGTGTATAAAGGTTCCATAGAGTGTCTTCAACAATTCTTATATAAGATAATTACATAATCACGTATACAATATACATCATTGAAAAAAAAAAAATACGAGTATATCTCAAAAATCTATACTTTAAATACTTTCAATTTATTATTTAGAATTATTTAGATCTATAACTTTATCATAAGTTAATTTACCTGACTTAAATAAATTATAAATCCTAACAACATGTTCCCATCCATTTTGTACTTCTTCTTTAGAAACATTTAAAATATCAAATGGATGTTTCCTATTCTTTGGAGCTAATTTAATACATAAATCAGCCAAATTTTCCCTTGCTGTATCAACATTATAAATATGGAAATCACCTGCTACATTTCTTTGGTTTAACCATTCTAATTGAAATTCTTTACTTGGTAATTTACTAAAATTTGACCAAACACCAGCTATAGCTGCAGCTTGAGATTCTATTGTAGCGAAAAGATATGGTGATTGTTGAATACCAATAGTGGTAAATGTTGGATCATCAACAGAAAATGCATATAGATAAAGATTTTTAATGAGACTAAATTTTGAATTTTCATCAACAATTTGACCTAATTGAATTAAATTTTGATTTTTAAGGAAAGGGTAATGGAAATGATATCCAGTTGCAAATATTATTTTATCATAAACACCTATTGAATCATCAACAAAAATCACATTAGATCCATCAAACTCCTTAATCTTGGGCTTTATAATTAAATCAGGTTGTTCAAAAATTACTTCAATTCCTGCACCTGACGTATTTTTAACAGTTCTTCTAGATACAGTGATTGATTTAGAAGATCCCACCAAAAATTTGATAACATCAACAGAACTTGAATGTGATCCGATAATCAATACATTTTGATTTTGGAATTGGTCAAAATTTTTAATTCCTTTAGTATGTAATAATGTATTTGGATGTGATTGATTATATTGATTCAAATTTTCAATGAATGGAATAAATGGAACACTATAATGACCATTTGCAGTTATTATAGCATCAAATGTTTCTTGATACCAATAATCTTTGATTCCATCAGTTTTACGTAAAACTAAATTCCATTTTCCTTTGGATTTTTCAACTTTTTCAACTGTTGTTTGAAATCTAATGAATTTGTTTAATTGATTTTCTTGTACAACTTTATAAAGATCTTTATGAATCTCACCAGCTGTAGAGAATGGATTAATTGAACGAGAACCATTTGAATCATAATGTTTCAATCCATTAGGTAATCTAACTAATGGTGCAATGATATTTGAAAATAATGCTGGATAAGCTGCACTATTTGACCAGCGTACTGTTTCATCATGTTTTTTAATAATTGGAGAATCAAGTGAAGTAAGTTTCAAATCATTAGGGTTTGGTATAGATTTGAGTGGTGGATCTAAAGTTTCAGGTTTATTATAATTTCCATCATTTAAAATATCTTGAGATGGGAAAACAGGATCAGATTTGTTTGAATAATACCAATTACCTCCTAAAGTATCATTTCTTTCAAATAATACAATTTCTTCAAATGCAGGATTTGAATCATCATTGTCAAAAGTTGAAATCCCATCTTTTGATGTATGTAATAATTCATTTAATGCAGCAATACCAGCAACTCCACCACCAATAATGGCAATTTTTTTGATATCAAAAGATTCAACAGTCATTGTTCTGAGAAAAGATTCCCAGAAACTATTGAACAATCATTTTCAGCTATAATTGGATCTCATATATATATAAATGTAAATTAAACAACTTGTGGCAATATTACTCAAGTTCTTTTTTTTTTGTTTTCGCTTATATTGATGTTTTCAGAAAACCACATCGCGAAATTAATTTGTATTTAATACCCACCCATTTTGAAGATGTGGTTCCATTAACTAATGGAACTGTGTAAACAGTGTGTGTGTGCTCTTTAGTAGCTTAAGCTGCCTGCTGCCTGGATCTCGCTAAAGTATGTGGCGCTATCTTGATCAAAATGATTTTGAATAAAGTATAAAGGGAAAGTGATAACTACTATAACAACGGTCCATCTAACGGTCTTGAGATATCTCAAATTAATATTATGGATTTATATCATGACAGAAATTGATTCTAAATTGAATTCCAAAATTGAAATATCATCCATTGATGATAATGATCAATCAAGTACATCTTTCAATAAGGTTAAAAAAGCTGTTGAACAAGATGGGTTTTATACATATGAAGAAGAAAAAAGATTACTTCGTAAGATTGATTTAAGATTAATGCCATTATTAATTTTACTTTATCTTTGTAAAAATCTTGATGTCAATAATATTAGTTACATCATAACCATGAATAAAGATACTGGGCATAATGTCTTAAAGCAATTAAATATGACTAGAGATGATTGGGCTTGGACAAGTACCATATATTATATTCCATTTATATTATTTGAAATTCCTTCAACAATTTTAATGAAAAAAACTTCACCAAGAGTTCATCAATTTAGAATTTCATTTTTATGGGGGATTGCAACAATTTGTCATGCAGCTGTTAAAAATAAACAAGGTTTATATGGTTTAAGATTTGCATTAGGATTATTTGAAGCAGGTCAATTTCCTGGATCTTTATTACACCTTTGTTATTTTTATAGACCTGATGAAGTTACAACAAGAATGGCATTTCTAGGTGTTTTAGGTTCTTTTTCAAGTATTTTAACAGCTTTCATTACTTATGGTTTTAGTTTTACATCTGGTAATGTTGGTAATTTATCAGGATGGCAATGGGTTTATATTTCAGAGGGGGCTTTCACAATAATTTCTTCAATTATAATCTTATATTATTTACCAAATTATCCAGATTCTGTTAATTGGTTAACTGAAGAGGAAAAATCATATATTATTGCAAGATTACCTCCACAATCACCAAAATCAACAGATGAAGATTTTAAATTTAAAGATTTAATTGAATCATTAAAATCAAAAATTTTGTGGGGGTTTTCAGGTGTTAAAGTTTTCCAAATTTTAGGTACATATGGTTTATCATTTTGGTTACCATCAATTATTCAAGATTTTGGATTAAGTGACCCGGCAAAAGCACCATTATTAAGTATTCCATCTGCAACTGCATCTGTTATATCTGGGATTTATTTTTCATATCTTGTTGATAGATCATATTTCCCACCAGGATTATTATGTTTTGTTTCATTAATTGTTTCATTAATTGCATTTATTATTTTAACTACGGTTCAAATTAAAGGTGTATTATATGCATTTATTATATTTGCAACATGCTCAAGTGCAGCTGATGGATCAGTTTTAACTTCATGGTTAGGACAATCAATGGAAGGAAGTTCTAAAGTTGGATTTGCATTTTCATTTGCAAATTCTATTGCACAATTAGGAGGTATTTTAGGTGCACAAATCTTCAGATCAAAATATGCACCAAGATATACAATTCCATATGCAATTTGTTTATCATTTATTGGTGTTGCTGCAATACTTGTAATATATCTTTGGTATATAACAAGAGATACAACAAATAAGTTTATGAGAGAAAGAAGACAAAGATTGAAGCAACGTAATGCTAATCTTCAAGCAAAACCTATATATAATCATTCAGAATTTCAATAAATATAAATGTTTTTTATAATTCTAGTTGTAGATCGATGAACATCGAAGCCACAGTATAGGGAAGGAAACTTATATATAAATACTGAAAAGTAAATCTGATCACAAAACATTATGTAGTACTGTATACTCAGTAGTGAAGTATGACATCAAATACCAAACGTCCAAAACATAATAATCCTAAAAAATGGATCTTGAATGGATTTGTTATGAATACACCTGGTTTACAAAATCCAGGACTTTGGAGTCATCCAAATGATCAAGGTAAAAATTATAAAACTATAAAGTATTGGACAGATTTAGCTAAAAAATTAGAAGATGCAAACTTTACAAGTTTATTTATTGCAGATGTTTTAGGACCATATGATGTTTTTGGAGGTCCTGGGAATTTTAGTTCACCTGCAATTGGAGCAGGTCAATTACCTGTTAATGATCCAAGTTTAATTGTACCAGTTATGGCAAGTGTTACTAAATCAATTGGATTTGGTATAACAATTTCAACAACTTATGAACATCCATATGATTTATCAAGAAGATTAAGTACTTTAGATCATTTAACAGAAGGTAGAATCGCATGGAATGTTGTTACATCTTATTTAGAAAGTGCAGCAAAGGGACATGGATTAAATGAACAAATTGATAAATCAATTCGTTATGAAAGAGCAAATGAATATTTAGAAGTTATTTATAAATTATTAGAAGGTTCATGGAAAGATGATGCAGTTATTCTCGATACCACGAGAAATATTTATGCAGATCCAACCAAGATTAAATCAATTCATCACAAAGGTAAACATTTTACAATTGATGGAATTCATATTTCAGAACCAAGTAAACAAAGAACTCCAGTTATTTTCCAAGCTGGATTATCCAATGATGGTAAAAAATTAGCTGCAAAACATGCCGAAGGTGTATTTGTTAGTGGTATTTCACCTGAATCAGTTAGATTAAATGTTGATGATATTAAAAAGCTGGCTGTTGAATATGATAGAGATCCTGATTCCATCAAATTTGTATTTGGTGTATTAATTGTTGTTGATGAAACAGATGCAAAAGCATGGAGTAAATTTGAATCATATAAACAATATGCTAATATAGAAGGTGCATTAGCATTGATTGGGGGATGGATGGGATTAGATTTATCACCATTTCCAGATGATATTGATTTAAGAACTGTTGGAGGTGATGTTGGTAAATTTTTCAATAAAAGAAGTCCAAATTCACCAATTTCCAAATTGGAATTTGCCCTTGAAGTTAGTGTTGGTGGGTCACCCAAGATTATTGGATCTTATGAAACGGTTGCTAATGAATTAGAAAGATATATAGATATTGGAGGAGTTGATGGATTTAATTTGAAATATTCTATTGTACCAGGATCATTTGATGATATTATAGAATGGTTATTACCTGAATTACGTAAAAGAGGTCATTTTGATTCAAATTATCCAGTGCCTGAGGGAACATTACGTGAGAATTTATCAAGAATTGAAGGTAATACTCATTTACCATCTGATCATCCTGGATATAAATTTAAATGGTGAATGGTGAATGAATTCTTTGTGTGTTTGTCCCATTGTAGTAGTAAAACCGTCGTACTTTAATTTCCGCCTTATCAGTGATGGAAAAAAAAGGATCAAAAAAAACAAAAAAAAAATCCATCCGTTGAGACAAATTGGTTGCATACATGATAAAAATTTTAACGGATCAGAAGATCTTTGAATATATATAAGTACTCCTACTTATTCTTTGTTTAAACAATCAACTTGAACTTATAATATAAGGTCAAACAACAGAGAATCCAAAAAAATGCTACTCAATACGGCTCTTACATCTTTAGCTTTGGCTTCAATGGTTTATGCTGCAGATGATAACACTGATGATTATAAAGTTGTTGGAAGTTTAATCTTTGGTCGTCATAATGATAGACCTGCTAAACCTGCAAATTATTTAACTCCAATTGGTGCTGAACATCAATTTCAAATTGGTCAATTCTATCGTGAACGTTATTTTGGGTTAGATTCTTCAAATTCTAAAATTGATGATGATTCAAATGTTATTCAAAGTTTAAATAAAGATGGATTTTTCATTAATGGTCAAATCTTTGCTGAAGCTTCATCTGGTAATGTTATTCTTTTCAGTCATTATGCCTTTTTACAAGGTTTATATCCACCTCAAGATGTTTCTGGGACTTCTACTGCTAATCAAACACTCGCAGCTTTATCAAATGGTACAATTGTTGAGAATCCGTTAAGTGGATATCAATATGTTAAATCCACTATTCAAGAAAATGCCACCGAAGAATATATTTGGACTAAAGGTGATGAAAATTGTCCTGCTGTGACTAAATCTTTAAAAGATGTTAAATCAAGTGATTTATTTCAAAAATATACTAATGAATCAAATGATTTCTTTCAATCATTAAAAGATATTGAATTTATTAATGAAACTTTCAATCAATCTGAATTAAATTTTAAAAATGCAATGAATATTTTCGATGAAGTTTGGGTTAATACAATTCATAATGAAACTGTCTCTAAACAATTCAATGAATCATTAATTGATTCAATTCAATTCTGGTCTGATCGTTATCAATGGGTATTAAGTGATAATAATTTAAACAGTAATTTAACTATTGGTGCTAAAACATTAATGGGTAGAGTTATGTCAAAATTAGATACAACAAGAAAACAAGGTAAACCTTATTTAAATTATCTAACTGGTTCTTTTAATACAATGTATCAATTAGCAAGTGTTATTAATTTAGATATTGCAGATTCAAAATTTAAAACAATGCCAGATTATGGTGCAACTTATGTTTTTGAATTATTAAACAATACTCAAAATGATGAAACTTTTGTTAGATTTTCATTTAAAAATGGTACACAAGAATTAAATACTTATCCAATTTTCAATTCAACAAATAATATGATGAAATGGGATGATTTCACTTCAAATGTTGGAAAAATTGCAATTAAAGATGTATCATCATGGTGTAATGTATGTGGATATAATGATATTTCATCTGATAATGTTATGGAAATGTGTGTACCATATACCAATTTATATGAACAAGCAACTAAATTAAATGATGAAGGTGTTGATTTAAATTCATATAAGAAGAATAAATTAAGTTTAGCTGATGCTGGTGGTATTGGCGCTGGTGTTACAATTGGTGTTTTCGCTTTAATTGGTGTTTTAGGATTTTTATTATATAAGTTACGTGGAGGAAAATCTACACAATCATCCAATATTCAACCAACACATACAAATTCAGCAAATTCAGGTACTGTTGCTGGTAGTGATAGTGATTTAGAAAAAGGTTCAAATGTTTCAACTAATTAATCAATTAATAATAATAATAATAATAATAATAATACATAGTTTTTATCAATTCAAGTTATATGCTTCAACAACATTATTCTTGTAGAAATCTTCAGGATTTAATCCATATTTATCGATTAAATAATCTGTTATCTTAACCCATTTAACCCAAGTTTCATGGAAATTAATCTTTTTAACAGCTATTGGCCAATCACTTCCGAAAATTATTTGATTTTTAGGGAAATTATCAACAAAAGTTTTAAACCAAGGTTCAATTCTTGCAATTGATTCTGTTAAATCATCATCTTGGGCAATTTCATCAGGTAATTCTGGGAATCCACCACTAAATTTAATATAAATTTTATTACTTTGGGTATTTTGAGAGATTCTTTCAACTAAAGATTGCCATTCTTTAAAATCTAAATTGTTATAAACATCTTTAGAACTCAATGATAAATTAGCTTTTGATAAATGATTCAAAATATATGTAACGTTTTCAGTTTTTTGTAATAATTCAATAACTTCTTTTAATTGTCTATTCCCATCTTGTCTAATATTTAATCCTAAATCATAAACAAATCCATTTTGGGCAAGCCAATTGATTGAATCAATATAATTTTGTTCAAGTATACTACCAGGTGGAAGACCATCAAATAAATATCTAAAACCTTTAACTCTTTCAAATGTCTTGGGGTCCAACGATTGAGTTTTCAATTTTTGGATATATTCTTTTAATTTAGTAACACCTTGTGGTATTGGAGCCCATGGAACAATTCCTTTTATAAAATCTTTACCTGAAAGATCTGAACCTTCACCAATTTTAGGGATTCCAAGTATTATACGTTCAACATATAAGTATTCTTCAATTGGGTATTTCCAACCTTCATAAGATAATCCACTATCAACACAAATCTCTATGAATATTAAACCTTCAACTTTATGTTTGGATGATTCTGAAATAACTTTTTTGTATTCATCCAATCTAAATTCATCATTTAATTGTGAACTTTGAGACACAAGTGGCAAACGTCCATCCTGACTATAAGATTTGGAATAAAGATGAACATGACTATCAATAACATTGACTGGCATGATGGAATAATAATAATTGTGAGGCTCTGAGTGTTTGTTTGAAATCAAAACTGATGTTGTTGTTTACTTTTCGGTCAATCTTTGTTTTCTATATTCTCTGGGGGAAAACTCGAAAAAGTTTGGGTATTTATATATTCATGTGATATGCCACCACACATATTCATTGGAAATTAGTCAAAATCAACAAATATTATTCAATTGATCAAAATGAATCTTCTTGAAGGGAAAGTCGCTGTTATCACGGGTGCTGCTACTGGGATTGGTAGAGCAATTGCAATTGGATTTCATAAACAAGGTGCTAAAATTGCAATCAATTATTTACAAGGTCAAGAATCCGAGATTGAATCTTTAAAATTGGAAATTAATGATTTATTGGCAATTCCTGGTGATATTTCACAACAATTAACAAGTGAAAACTTGATTCAACAAACTGTTCAAAAATTTGGTGAAGTAAACATTTTTGTATCCAATGCTGGTGTTTGTCAATTTGCAGAGTTTCTTGAAGTTACCCCAGATCTTTATGAACAAACCGTAAATATCAATTTGAATGGTGCATTTTATGCTACACAATCAGCTGCTAAACAGATGAAACTACAAGGGAAAGGTGGTTCAATCATTGGTGTTAGTAGTATAAGTGCATTGGTTGGTGGGGGCTTACAAACTCATTATACCCCTACAAAAGCTGGTATTTTATCTTTAATGCAAAGTACTGCAGTGGCATTAGGTAAATATGGTATAAGATGTAATGCTCTTTTACCAGGGACAATAAGGACTCAATTGAATGATGAAGATATGGCTGATGATAATAAGAGATCATATATGGAAGGTAGAATTCCTCTTGGTAGATTGGGGAAAACTTCAGATTTAGCTGGTCCTGCTATATTTTTAGCTTCTGATTTAAGTGAATATGTTACAGGTTCTCAAATATTAGTTGATGGTGGTTTATTTGTAAATTTACAATAAATTAATATATATACTTATTTATTATTCATCTTCTTTATTTAATGTAATTGTTTTCTGTGGTGATGGATTTAACAAATATTCTGCATCAATAAATTGTTGTTTTGGATTAATAGTTAAACCAAATCCTGGTTTATTTAAATCACTAACATTTAAAAATCCTTTATATGGAATTGGTTCATCAATAAATAATTCTCCAAACACTGGTAAAACTGATCTTGAATCTGGTGAATTTGCAAGATATTCTTGGAATGGTGTATTTTGTTGACTAACAACAAAATGATATGAATATGGACCTGAAGCATGAGGAACAACAGGGATATCATAAGCAGCTGCTTGAGCTGCAACTTTAAGTAATTCAGTTAATCCACCAACCCACATAACATCTGGTTGAATAATATCAAGATTACGACCTTCAATTAATTTTCTAAATCCATATTTAGTATATTCATGTTCACCAGTTGTAAATTTAACATCTGGATGAGCTCTTTTAATTTGTGCAAATCCATCAAAATCATCAGGATGTAAAACTTCTTCCCACCAATTGATATTTAAATGTTTAGTAGCTTTGACTAAATCAATAACATAAGAAACATTTAATGACATATAACAATCAACCATTAATGGGAAATCTGGACCAACTGCATCACGATGTTTTGTTAAAAATTCAACATTTTTCTTCAATCCTAAATGACCTTCATCAGGACCAAATGGTAATGCAACTTTACCACCCCAAAATCCCATTTCTTTAGCAGCTTCGGGTCTTGAACTTGTACAATAAAAATCAAGACGATCTCTTGTAGCACCACCAATCATCTTATAAACAGGTTCATTTCTAATTTTGCCTAAAAGATCCCATAATGCTAAATCAACAACACTTATAACTGCAATTGTTATCCCTTTTCTACCATAAAACATTGAAGCTCTAAATAATTTATCCCAAATGATATTTAAATCTCTTGGATCTCCACCTTCTAAAAATCTATTGAAATGATGATGAACTAACCAACATGCAATTGGACCACCAAACCCTGTAGCAAAACCTTTATGGCCATCATCAGCTTCAATTTCAACACAAAAAGATCCTAAAACATTAATACCCCATGAAGTTCTTGATTTTCTATATTCTGGATATTTCGACATTGGATTTGAAATATCATTATCCACTAACCAGTGTCCTTTTTCCACATCATGATAATCACCACCACCTTTACCATGTATTAGATATGTCTTGACTTTTTTAATCTTTGGGAAATTGGAAACCATTTCGTTGTTTGATATTATAATTGGCCTTCTGTACTCAAATGAATCGAGATCATATTTGGAAAAGTATCATGTTTAAATACTAATTTTTTGAATCTTATAATTCACCCCCTCAAAAGTATGATCAGGGTAGATGGATATAGACAGCTATTATTCGAAACTTTGTTTTAGCATTTTTTTGACGCTCGTCGCCAAAATTCGATGATCTCTTTCCGGTGCATTTTTGCTCCAGGTAATCTTCGAGTAATCAATCACCCGAATGGAGGAGCATCAAATATAATTTGACACAAAATATCACTACGTAAATTAATTGAACTCATAAAAACATAAAATTATTCATATATTCAATTGATCATTGCTATAGCTATTACTATTCATATCAAGTGCAAGAAAATTGAATAAATCATCATGAGTTAGCTGGAAATCCTCAAACCCTTGGATAGATGGTGTTTGGAAATTTGACAAGCTATGTTGAAGTGGGAAAGTATTATTAAAACTATTACCACCTCTTGTAATATTACTATTGAGAACTTGCGTACCTTGAGTCGAACTTTGCTGAGAATTTGAAGTGGATTCAACATGATTCTGTACTTGTTGATTAATACTGTTGGGATGGTAATGTGATTTAGACCCTTTCCCTGCTAATTTGTTAAACCAATAAACTAGTGAGTGTGAACCTAATCTCATATCAGTAACAACTTTTGTTGGCTCTCTTTTTTCATCTGTAATTTCTTGTTCATCACTCGATTCACCATCTTCGTCACCTTCGTTTATGGTCCCATTTTCACTAATAATAGAACTTCTATTATGTATAGATGAATTTGATGGAGATGATGTTGATGCCATAGTTTTAACATATGATAAATCAGAGACATGTAAAAATTCTAAAATCTTAAAATATACATTGGAACTCTCCCAGTATTTACCAATTCTTTTCAATACATTTGCAAAAAATGACAATTTCTTTTGATGATCACTTATTGAACCTTTTCTTTGTGCTTGATATATAACATCCACAAATAATATTCTGCAATTTATCCAAATATAGAACCCAAAATGAGGTCCTAACTTTTCAAATATATCATCATCATTTGTTAAAGTAGGTAATTGAGAAACAAATGAATAAACTTCATCAGCTGCTTCAAGACATTGTGCTTTTGAATCATCTGAAGATTTAAATAAAGTTGATTCACCATGTGGATATCCTGAGGGTGAATGTAACTTGATGAAAGTGGTATAGTAATAAACAAATAATAGAATGTCAAAAATTTCTAGTTTTTGACTTTTAATATTAATTGTTGAGAAATTACCATTTTTTAAAAACTTTTGATAATTGAATGGTAGGGAGCGTCTCCATGTATTCATCTGGTTGTCTAAATTTGAAAACTCTCTCTTCCATTCTTCAACTGCCATTTCATCATTAATATTAAATTCTTCAATGGAAAATGAATGTATATCACCCATCAGTTTGTTCAATTCAATGTAAAAAGTAAAAGAATCATATGTAGCTTCAACAATGTGTTGTTGTGAATTCTCGTTACTTTGCATATCTTGTTGTACTAATGATGTCGTATTTGATCTCAATGTTCTAAATTGTGTTATTTCTTTTGGTTTGACATCAAGCCAATAGTTCAATTTAATAGGTAAAAAACAGCTGATTTTATTTGGTTTTAATTTCATATCATGAGAAGAAGAAATAGCATAAAGTTTATCTAAAAGGTAAATGCTCCAGAAACAATGTCTTCTTGACTCTTCATCAATCCAACTTTGGGGTTTTGTCAAAAGATTGATTGACCTATTATTTAATGATCTTGATTTTCTCCTTCCTAATGTATCAGAGTTCGATGTTAATGATGATGAATTGACAGAACCTGGAGAATCATTTGTTGTTATTGATAATTTATTACTATTTTCTGTACCTAACTTCAGATAATTTGCATAATCAGCTGCAATTGAAACATAATTCCAACTTTCAGGCACTTTAACATTTCCAGATAAAGATTCAAATGCCAAAAGGATCATTGATTGTAAACTCTCAATATTTATTCTTTTCAAAGATGTTGAAATTATATGATCTTTGCAATGATCATATATTTTTGATCTTTGTTCTTCTGTTATTTGGTCATTATTTAAATATTTTAGCGTGATTAAAACTATAGCATAAAGCAATAAATGAGGTTTTATTCCCTTTGAGGTATTTTGAACTGATTTTTCAAGATCCATTATTATATTTGGATGTAATAAAGGAAATATTGAGTTGACATTTTTAAAAAATATATCAATCAAAAGATAACAATGATTTGATGACGGTAAACCAAAATTATATGTTCCGTTAGGTACTGATGAAACTGGATTGAGTAATGAAGGTATTTGGAAAGATCTGGTATTTGAAGTTGTGGTATTTTCAGATGAGGTATCACTTGTATCAATATTATTTTCTTGTTTTGATAAATGATCTGAATGTTGTTGTTGGTCTGACTGACTTGACTTATCAACTGAGCTATAAGTACGTTTATTTCCATTATTCTGTAAAGATGCAATTTGGTTTCTTAGTTCACCAAGTTCTTGTTCCAATGAATCTAATCTTGAAGTAACATTCTTTCCATATCCAGGCTTTAGCCCAGGTTTTTTCATTACTGAATATTTACATTCTTTCATATTATTCTTAATACAAAAAGAGCATATAGGTCTCACACCATCACATTTAACTTTCTTTATTTTGCACAGGTCGCATGATTTAGATAATTTCCCATGATCACCATGGTCTGATGAGCCGATACTCTTATCTCTTTGATTTCCTAATGTATTTGAAACATTTGATTCAAGATTATTACCAGTACCAGTACCTTGCGCTAGTGGGTAATTATTCCCCAGACTTTGAACATCTTTGCTATCCCACTCAAAGGTAGTGGAAGTTTTGGAGCGTTTCCTTATGGGCTTATAATCCTCTGGTGACATTTTAGCATAACTTTTAACCACTCTCGATTCAATGATAACCCTTTTCTAATCAAATCAGAATGGATGAATGATAAGTAATGAAAATAAATTCTAATTGCATTTGTTTGTTTTATTAGCCAGTGAGATTTTCATTCATTTCCATAGTTTGGCTGTTTGTCTACCCCAGAAGAAAAAATCATAAAAATGATGACAGGGAAATTGAAATTTTGGCGTTTTCCCTTTTCCCTTGTCGGTTCCCCAATCAGGACATTTTGGCGTGATTTTTCAGTGAATTATCGCGCAATTTCCTTAAACGGTAATAACCTAGAGGAGGAGTGTTAATGCTCCGGGCGAAATTGTTATAAACTCTTTGAATTTTTGATTTCTTTCCTCGTCATTTGTGAATGAATTGGATTGCAAAAGGTGTTTCCATATAAATAAGGAGTTCCTTCCTTATAATTTATATCATGCTTTACTCAAGATCAAAGATCAAATTTGAGAATTGAATCAGTACCACTTGATCTTCGCATATCATGTCTTCACCACCAAAACCAGGAATCTATACACCAATTCCAACTTTTTTCAAGAGATCTGATGGTCACTCAATTGACTATTATACACAGGTTGAACATGCTAAGTTTTTGAGAAAAAATGGAATAGAAGGTTTACTTGTAATGGGCTCAACTGGTGAACAATCACACTTAACAAGAAAAGAAAGGGCTTCCGTCGTTAAAAAGCTTCACGATGAAATACCAGGATATACCTTACTCGCAGGTGTTGTTGCAAATGCATTACAGGATGCTCTTGATGAAATTGAATCTTTGAAAAACGCTGGTGCTTCATATGCTGTTGTTTTGCCCTCTTCATACTTTGGACAAGATATTAAACAAGGAGGAATAATTGAGTGGTACACCAAACTAGCTGATGAATCAACTTTACCACTACTCATATATGTATTTCCAGGAGTTAGTAATGGAATTCATGTTGACCCTGATACGCTTGTTGAACTATCCAAACACGCAAATATTGTTGGAACTAAAATCAGCCATGGGAATGTTTCACACCATGCACTTGTTGGATTACATGAAGATATAATCTCTGGTAAAAATAAATTTAATGTTTTCACAGGTTTGGGACAGCTTCTTTTACCAGTATTAACTGTGGGTGCTAAAGGTACAATTGACGCACTTAGTGGGGCTTTCCCAAAATTGTACGTTGATATTTTCAAAGCATATGAATCTGGTGATTACGATAAGGCCAGATTATTACAACTTGCAGCTTCTAGGGGTGAAGAGATAATTTCAAAAGTTGGTATTCTTGGTATTAAAAGGGCTATTTATGAGCAAGGATTTGGTGAAACATATTTAGGAAGAGCTCCATTAAGTCAAGATTTCCCTACAGGAGCTTGGGATGCTGTTGTTCCTTATTTTGAAGCTGCTAAAGCCGCTGATACCAGTAGTAAATAGGTTTTGTATTACAAAGTGATACATTACAATAAATATTTATTATTCTAAGATCAGGAAGGAAACAATTCCAAAAAATAGATATTGTAGATAAAATGTTTCATCGGTGTTTCATATAAACTATTGATCGGGTTTAACAATGGCCACCATATATACATGCCAGTCCCGACAGTCAAGAATATCAAATATATCCAAATTTAGCTTTCTTTACTAGTATATTGTTATGTACATTATATCTTGTCTTTTAATGTTATTTCAATAAATAATGGCATATTCAACAGAATCTCAAGAAGCTGAATTCCACGACTTATATTCAAGTGATGATTATGATGCAACCTTAGTGGAATCATCAGCTGTATCTAATAAAATGATCACAAGATTTGAATCAGAGAATTACACACCACTTCAAGAGCTATACAATAATTTTGATTTTGAAGACGAGGATGAAGATGAAGAATACTTTCCATCGGATTTTGAAGATAATGATGACTTCTTAACAGATGAAGAGTTAGATGTGAATAATAAAGTAAAGGAAATAAAACAACAATACCTTACAAGTTTAACTTCAACTGAAAAGATCATAATCCTGCTTACTTTCTTTGGTGTGGCTTTTGGGATCGTTATTGGACATTTATTTTCATAACTATAGAAGCTTGACCATTTGAACATATTGATATACTTTTCTTAGCTGTCTCGTTATTTAAAGATTAATAAACACAAAATACGTATATTTGGTGTAAATCACTTCCCTACCTTTTTATCTTTTGAGAGTAAATAATCTCTAAACACACAAAGTAAAAAGCATAAAACACATATTAGAGTGGCTATTAATTGTGCATTTCTTATTGAGGTTTCATAAGATTTCTTTACTGTTGACTGAATATCTTCAGGTAAAGTTTTAATATAACTAATTGATCTTGTGACTTTAAAAATTATTGAGTTAATTTTGTCTTCCCCCAAATCACTATCTTTGAAGTTCTTGATCAAATTGAATTTCAAAAACCATTGAATAATTATTGAAATTGTTGCAACACCCCAAACTTGACCTATAGATCTGAATAAATATAAAGTTGAGGTTGAACTTGCCTGTAAGGCTTTTGGAAATTGTAAAATGAATGAGAATAATAATGCTGGATTTGACATTCCTAAGCCAGCATTTGCAGGTATTAACAAAAAATTAATCAATTTTTCAGGAATTTTAATTGAAATGAAAAAAGCCAATAGATTACCAAACGTTAGTAATAACACACCAGCATGGACTAAATATATTAAATTATTAACATTTTCGTTCATAAAGTAAGCAGTTATTAATGAACCCACACTAGTGAATAATGAAGGAATACCTAATCTCAATCCAGCTGTAGAAGGTGAATCATTCAAAACAATTTGAAATAAAAGAGGTAAAATGAAAATGTACGCAAAGTTTGCAAAACCTGTCAAAATTGAAATGAATAAAACTAAATAATTTGCTGCACCATGAATTTTTTTGAAAGGGATGATTGGTATCTTGTTGGTATTGAATTCAATCTTAATAAATGATAACAGGATTATAAATGAAAACAAGGTTAATGTATATGATGAAGTGTTCAAAGCTAGTAGTTGTGCAGTTAAACCGGTAACTAGCAGAAGTGACCCTTCAATGTCAATATCTTTAATACCTTTAGATTCATCAAATTCTAGTTGATTTTCAATGTAGAAAAAACCAAATATTAAACCAGTTATACTTATTGGAACTTGGATCGCAAAACAATATCTCCAACCAATTTGTTCAGATAGTAGCCCTCCTAGTGCTGCTCCAAGAACACTACCGATACCAATCAATATATTTTGAAAACCTTGAAATAAACCTCTTTTAGCACTTGGAATAATATCAGAGTTTATAACAGTGGCTAAAGTTATGAGACCACCCCCACCACAGCCTGTTAGTGCACGAGCAGCAAAGAGTTGGAAAATATTTGAAGATAATGAACATCCAATACAACCTATAGCGAAAACAGCTGTTGCAAAGAAGTAACAAACTCTTCTGCCGAAAACATCTGAAAAAGCACCATAAAGAGGTTGAAATGAAGTTGAAGTAATCAAGTAAGAGGTGGTTATCCAAGATCCCAAATTTACAGCATTGAATTCACTACCAATGATTGTATAGGTTGAGGCAGTAATTGTACCATCAAAAGCTGCCAATAAAACATTTAACAACAATGAAACTTCAATTTGATAAAGGTTTTTAATTTGAAAAATCGATATTGATTCTTCATCTGTGATATCTTGATTTGTTTCCTCTTGTATTGGGTCTTCAATTGTCTGATAATTTCTATATGCGTTTATATCATTAGTTAAATGACCTGATTCTAAATCATCATCTTGATTCAATGATCTATTATCGATTTGATTATTTTGTAAATCTCTGAAATCTTCACTTGCTAATAACAACACTGATTCTGTGGTTGATAATTTCCTGCTCTTATAAGACATTACTGGTGATATATTTTGAGACGAAGGGCTTGAATTAAAATCATTCCATGTTGAAGAATTAGAATCCATAATATAGAATAACCAAATATATATATATCATGAAATTTCAACCCAAGAACCAAGACAATGGAACAACTATAACGTGGCGGTTTTTGAAGCGTGATCTGGTTGTATGATGTATCAATTACCTTCCTTAAAAAGTGTGGTTTATTTTGCTCTTGAGTATTGTATAAAATGGTACATCAAGATTCAAAAGAACAATTTAGAATACGTTTCCTGTGGCTTTCATTAATGGTGTGGCGAGTGCAGCCAAAGCAGATCTTCGACACTAGACGGGATATTTTGTAGGGCACTAGCCACCAGGAGAGCTGTAGTTAGGTAGCTACGTAGCTAATAACCAGTGGTATTGAATACATTGATCTGTCTATCATAAACTTGGTCTCGACCCTCGACTCATCAGCTTCACCGTACCAAACAATGAAGATCAAGAGATGTCATGTAACCGGATATTTAGGTGAGATGACTCAGGTTAACGCTTTATAGCGATCAATCCAAAAGGGTCTGTGATTTGGCAATTCGAAGACCTTCAATTTTTGACCTTCGGTACTCAAAAGCCTTATAATAAATATTTAGTCTATATATCTAGTTAGTACAAGTTTGATAATTTTACGTATCAATATTTTGTTTAGTTCATCTGTTTATTCAATGTTCATCGATCAAATTTTTTTGGAATTGCGCGATTCAACAGCTGAATTACCCAAAAGGGTATAATCTCAGAATATTATGAAGCTGTCACAAATTGGAAAGGCCACGCTGGTCGCGCTGGAAAATACTAATATAAAGAAATCTACGTACTACTTAAATCTTTGATTTCATAGTCATAAAGTGTAATTTGATTAAACATCATAAACAAAATCATGATAATCAAACAGTTGGTGCCCCTGGCATTGGTGTTGCTCTAACAGTGATATAAGAATTGGTTTTATCAGCAACACCAGCAAATATGATGAAAAATGCATTGAAACTTGCCATTAATCCCAATACACCACCAGCTTTTAGACATCCACTAGAATTGATAAAATATCCAATGGCTAAAAACATCAAGAAAACCCAAACTAATAAAAATAATATAAAGAATGGCCAGGTTGATTTAAATGTACAAATCCACATCAAGAATGAAAAAATAACCCAAGCTGATAAGTAAAATGCTAAAACATTTGCATATTCTGTCTCATCTTCATAACTTGATGTAATTCCACCAAGATCAATCAAAATTGAACCAAAACCTAACCAAAATCCACCATAACTTCCTAATGCAGTTGCTGCAAACGTATTTTCAATAACTAAACACCATAAACCTGCAATTAATTCAATTATCCCACCAAAAAACAAGGCCGCACCACCAATCAACTTAACATTACTAGTACTTCTTGCACCACAATTAACAATTGAAACAACAAAACAGCAAATTGCAAACCCGGCTAAACCTAAAGGTACAGGATTTCCCATTGGACGATGAGGTGATGCATGCAATCCTGGATTCAAATCACCAGCAAATGCATTCATTAATTCACTTTTATGGAAAGCTTGATTTCCTAAATAAACTAAATCACCATCATTTGAGGTTGTAATTCTATGAATTGTACTACCTCCATTTACACTATAACCTTTTGGCTCATCAGTTGAAGAAATATCACCATTATTTGAAACATGACTGATTGTTTGCTTTTCAAGATCATCTGGTAATGTGGCCATCTTTGCAGTGTTCAAGTTCAAATTTACTTCTACTTATGAAGTTCAACTGAATCAATATATATATTTACATCTTGATATTAAAATTAAGGATCTCTATATGAATTTATATATGGTTGATAATGGTTTCAAGATGGATGAGGGGGAGTCATAAGTGAATATATAGATCTAGTTCAAATCCAACAAGCCATTGATTGAATGATCATAAAAGTATAGGATTGATGGAGTATAAAATTAATTTAAAACGGATTTCATCAATTGACTTTATACAACATCTCAAAAAGAAAAGCAATGGAGCTGGTCAAGAACTCAACTCATTTATGATTTTTGTTGAATGAATTAGAGTGAAATTTAAGTTGATAATGCGGGTATTTTATAATATCATTGTTATCCTTGAATTTAAGAAAAAATAATCACAAAGAAAATATAACTGGGGTAAAAAAGAAGAATCGTTCACAAGCATTTTTTCAAGGTTTTGGTGATATTGATAAAGCACTCAAGAAATTTGGATGGTTGTTTGAACTTTAAATCTCCAATATGAAAAAACAATTAAGGTACAGTCTAATATAATTTATTTTTAAATATGTTAATAACATTTCAATAATAATTACATGTTATTTAAACTTGGTTTCCAGCTGTTTAAGCTTAAATTTCACTATATCAGGTCAATTTTTCATTATAGATGTTGGTATATATGGCTCATTATACAGCTTTAATATCAGATGTGTCTACGTTGTGTACCGTATATCAATATGTTACAACTTCTTTGAACGTCGTAGATTAAACAGGAATTTTGTATGGGTCATCGATAATCATTTATGCAACATTGTGGAGTGTTTTTGTCTGGCCAACTTATAAATGTCTATATAACTTCTGGTAACTTGTAAATCCGAGTTGTTCTACCATAAAACAAGTTATCACTGCTCGTTGCGCATTATTCTGAATCTGTCCAAAATGTGTTTTAGCAGTCCGATCATAAATTTCAGCAACTTATCTCCTGTTTTTCCCACTTGAGTGACTTGAATTTAAAACCGTTGCTTATACCTCTTTGTTTTAAAAACTCATATGAAACTACCATAATAGGAAACTTTCCTATTGGGTAATTCAGTCAATTATTATCGTGTCGCTAATATATCGAATGTTCCGCGAATTTGTTTTCTGATTAGGTGTGTACATTAATTACAAAGGCAAATTTGAATGTATCGTTATCAGTCGCTTTTAAATTTAATCAAGAGAGTCATATAATTGTTTTCGCACTGCTTTGTGTTAGGTTTTTCAAGCTAGACTTTAATTTTGAAATATAGAGAAGATGAATAGATACAATCTTGTATTTTTCATAATATTCCTTACGTTTTTGCTTCCAGGACCTCCAAGTACCCCCATAAATTCAGATGATCAATATGACAAGTTGGTTCAGTTTAAACATCACTTATATCAGTCTTATGAAAATTTTCAAAATCTTACATATGATGAAAATTGGCAAAACTTGACAGGCTTCCAATTGAGTTATCAAGATGTTTCAAATGGTCATGTAAATGAAACATATCCAATACCTGGTAAAGATTATACTCATTGGGAAGATAATCAAAATTATTCCATATTACCCGATGAAATAACTAATAACGCTAGAAAAGTCTGGAATAAAGAACAAGATAATGAAGATGATCAAAATAAGAACTATTATAGAAATATATCTGCAACTCTATATGGTGATTTTATCAATTCTAATAATTCATTCGTTAAAATGCCAATAACATTACCAAATTATCTTCATAATTATGATCCAGATCTTAGCAGTTCAGATTCACTCATAGGAACAACTGGGAATATCACATATCCTTATGGGAATACAAAAATTGATATATCAATAGTGAAACAAATTAATAAAAAATCATTCAATCGTCTTGATTCTAAGATAAAACTTATTAATATAGATTTTGAATTTTCAGATCAAGATGAATCTTCAAAACATTCTATTGAAACTAAAGGTTTTTATTTTGTTGAATCTGGTAATATTATAACGTCAACATCAAGTGCTAAATTTTTGAGTTTGTATGGTGGTTTGCAACATTTAACTTTTGATGAATTGAAATTTCTAGATGCGAAGAATTTAACTTTATCATATATGGAACAGTCATTGTTCAAAACTTTGAAAGCCAAGGATAATTTAGATATCAATTTTAATTACTTATATCAAATGATACAATCATCAGAATCGCATTGTGAATATATTGGTTATTTCCATTTGAATAAAGTAAATTTAACTTTAGATGAAATCAAAAATTTAGATGAAGAATTAATAAATCCAATCGGCCGTCCAATTGATTTTGATAAAGTTCCAAAGTTAAATCTATCGGGTTTATTATATTCCCCAGACTGTGCAATTAATTTAGAAATCCCTAAAGCCATTGGTATTAAAAAGGAAATTCAAATTTTCCAATTACATCAAATTATTATTGTTGGTATAATTTTACTATTAGCACAAATTTTCTTAATAATGAAGCAAATGAACCAAACAAATACACCTTCAACAATTTCTAGAATTTCATTTTGGTCAATTTGTCTCATGAGTTTAGTTGATGGATCTTTATCAATGCTTTATTTATTGAGTTCTGCGGTTCTGAACAAACTTTATTTACCCTTAACTGTTAGTGCTTTCTTATCCTTTATACTAGCATCAATATTTGAAATGAGATATATGATAAGTATATACGTTTCACAGTTAAACGAAAGAACTTTAAGTTTATTTACTGCTTTACAAGGAAGAGCCATGGATGATAATTCAGACGAGTATGGAGACCAACAAGGTCAACCACCTCAGCAACAGGAGCAACAACAGGAACAACAACCAGCAAATGATCCAATACAAGATGAATCACAAGTTAGCGGTGCTATTTATTCAAGGTTTTTTTTCACTTTAATTGTTTTCACATTTTTGATTTTAAACTCTGTTATGTGGCCAAAACATTTAAGAAAGAATTTTGAATATGGTTTACTATTACTATTGAACTCATATTGGCTACCACAAGTTTATAGAAATATTATCAGAGGATCTCATCGTTCTTTTAAATGGTGGTTTATTGGTGGAACAACTCTTATTAGAACAACACCTATTTTTTACATTTTTGTTATGAAATCAAATGTTTTCCAACATCATTATGATCCAACATATTTTGCAATAGTAATTGCTTGGTTAGGTTTCCAAATATTATTACTTTTCCTGCAAGAAATTTTTGGTGCAAGATTTTTCTTACCAAAATCATTATTACCACAAACATATAATTATCATCCTGTTTTGACAGAACAAGATCTAGAATCAGGATTTGGTATTGAACATAATCATGAAGCTATTGATGATCCAACAACCACCATCAATAAGGATTCAGGTGATGGTTCTTGCACAATTGATTGTGCAATTTGTATGAATTCTGTCAACTTGCCAGTTTTGAAATCTAATTTCGATCAACCATCCAATTTCATTGCTAGAAGAAGTTATATGGTTACACCTTGCAGACATATATTCCATACCCAATGTCTTGAAGCTTGGATGAAGTATAAATTACAATGTCCTGTATGCAGAAGCCCATTACCTCCACTATGATCTGATTTCTCCTAATTGATTCTGATATAATAATATAATTCGGCATGTTGAATATAATTTACTATAATGACTAATGATACCCTCGTTTTAGACGCAATTTTGTAGATATTGATAAAGTTGTAGATATTTCATTTTCATTTACATGAAGAGTTTCGAGAAGTAAGCAAAAAAAAAAAAAAAAAGTTGGAGATGTACAAATAACAAGTAACCAAGTACCACTGGTCAAAATACTCAAGTATAATTGTCAAAATTGTATCAATCATGAGCGAACAAAAACAGTGCGTTAAAAATAGTTCAAATCAATTTCAAATGGTATTTACTAACATTTTGTTTCTAAATCAGATACAGAGCATGTCTCTTTGGTATGTTTTATGATGATCAACTGATGCTGAGATCAAGATATACTAACTAGTTTGAAAGATATGGACGGTTTACTTATAAACACCGAAGATATATATACAGAAGTCACAAATGAATTATTAGCAGAGCATGGTAAAGGTCCTTTGAGTTGGGATGTCAAGATTCAATTACAAGGTCGTCCAGGTCCAGAGGCTTCTAGATTATTGATTGAAGCTTATGAATTACCGTATACACCAGAAGAATTAATTGAAAAAAATATTAAAAAACAAGTATGTTATTGAAGATCGATATTCAATGGATAATAATTTATTAACTATTGAATTTTAGGAAGCTAAATGGAAAAAATGCCAATTCTTGCCAGGTGCTGCTGAATTAATTAAATATCTTGATTCCAAAAAAATCCCATTTGCATTAGCAACATCATCAAATAAAATTAATTTTGAACGTAAGACTGGTCATTTAAAAGACATCTTCAATCTTTTCGGTGAACATATTGTTACGGGTGATGATGAAAGAATTCCAAAAGGTAGAGGTAAACCATTTCCAGATATTTGGTTAGCGGCTTTAAAATCATTAAATTCTAAATTATCAACAGATGAAGCAGAGATCAAACCTGAAGAATGTCTTGTTTTCGAAGATGCATTACCGGGGCTTATTGCTGGTAAAGCTGCTGGTGCTTTTGTAATTTGGGTTCCAGATCATAGAGCTTTGAAAGTTATGAATGGTGAGGAACATAACCATATTGCTGGACAAGGTGAATTATTGAATTCTTTAACAGAATTTCAAAAAGAAAAATACGGATTATAAACAATAGTTTAAATAACTTAAATCATAAAATTATAATAAATGTGTGTTTTGCTTTTTAATACTGCACCCGGGCCCACAAATATCCCTACTCTGTATTTAAATCTATATACTCCTTCTTTCGATATCACTTTTCCAAATGAAAACCCCCTATGGACCAAAAAAAAAAAGAACATAACAATTTATGTATCTTGGAACAATCAAACTTTGATATTTCATAGTGGAGCATTACGGAATAAATATGAAACACTTTCACCATTATGCAAACGACGTATACCTTCAGCCAAGACACTACTTATATCTATAGTATCTAACTTTGGACATTCTTGTAATTTTTCTTCAAATGGAACTGTATTTGTACAAACAACTCTATCCAATTTACTATTATTGATATTCTTGATAGCATTACCTGATAAAATACCATGTGTAACAATAGCAATAACAGATTTTGCCTTATTTTCTAATAAAACTTCAGCAGCTTTAGCTAAGGTACCACAAGTATCAGCCATATCATCAACAATTAAACAAATTTTATCGGTAACATCACCAACTAAAACCATTCTTGAAACTTCATTAGCTCTTGCTCTTTCCTTATGGATCAATGCAAAATTTAAATCTAAACGATCAGCTAAACCTGCAGCTCTTTTAGCACCACCAGCATCTGGTGAAACAATGATAGCTTCTTCATATGGGATATGTTCTCTGATATATCTGACAACACTTGGTTCAGCGTATAAATTATCTACTGGGACATCAAAAAACCCTTGGATTTGAGAAGCATGTAAATCCATAGTAATAACATGGTCACATCCAGCAGTTGTTAACATATCAGCCATTAATTTGGCTGTAATTGGAGCTCTTGATTTATCTTTTCTATCTTGTCTAGCATAAGGGAAATTTGGTATCACAGCAGTAATACGACGAGCTGAAGCAGTTTTACAAGCATTGATCATGATTAACAATTCTAAAACTCTATCATTAACAATACCTGATCCAACTTGCATAATAATGTAAATATCTTCATCACGAACTGATTCATTAATAGAGAATGAAACTTCACCATTTGAATCTCTCTTCAATGTGACATCGGTTAACTTGATACCTAATCTTTTAGAAACAAGTTCAGCCAGCACTCTGTGGACATCATTAGCGATTAACTTTATTGAGTTCTTAGCCATTTTGTTATATATATGGACTCGATTTTAATATTTGGTAAATTGGTAATACTTTGAAATCTAGCAAATTATTGAATGATAAACTTCCAAAACACAGAATTACTCAACTCTTGAATGGTTTATATTATATTAAAGATTTCATTTGTAAAAGCAGCTTTCTTTTACTTTTTAATTAATTTAGCCATTTGACCTGAGCGAAAGAAAAAAAAAATTTCGACTTCTTTTCGCGGATTATATAATCTCTTATCTTACTGACGTCCCGCGCGCCGAATACAGTTAATAACAATTTTTACTACAAATTCAATCAACTTTAATCGTGTATTCATAATCTCATTAACTAGTAGTATCAGCGTTTCCTATTCTTCCGGGAAGAGGATGAGCTTTCTTGCATAACAACAGTACCATTCTTGACATCATCAGATGCATCTTTGAACTTACTTTGAGACTCCAAGTAAAACATTAAATCCGTTACCTGTGATTGTAATTCTTCATTTTGTGACTTTAAATTTGTTTGATCAAGTTCTAATACTTTAATCTTCTCTGAAAGTCCTTCAGTAATTGCTTGCTCGTCCTTCCATTTTTTCTCAAATATTTTTGCTAAACCTTTCACTTTTTCAGTATGAGCCAATTTAGCTTCTAAAGTAGCTTCTAAAGCTTCAGTTTTAGCATTCATTTTATTCTTTAGATCTGGGATAACAGAGGCCAATTGCTTAAGCTGGGATTCTAGTCTATTAAAGTTTGTAGATATTTGCTGATTATGTTGAGCCATTTCTTGGAAAGATGCAGCTGATTCAGCTAACCTTGATTCATAATAATCTCTTTGTGACTCTAATTGTGATAACAAGACATTTGTATATTCAAATGCATAATCTCTATTCTTCTCTTTATCCTTAGAATTATCCTCTGAAGATGAGCATGAATTAGAATTCCCTGGCAGTTCAACCAATTTTCCATCACTCTCATTCTGTAATAACCTATGGACATAATTATCACCTGCATAATCCCAAACTCTCTGAGAAGAAATATCCATAGCAAAGCAGTGATTTGTACTTTCGTAATGCTGGATGGCATGTTTTGAATTATATCTACCACAGCCAATGTTACCACAAATTAAACAGATCCATAAATTTTGCTCACCTCCGCAAACAGTACATTTATCTAATCCTTCTCTTGACATTAAAGGATTGGCCATTAAATTAGAATATCGACAAACCGGACACGTATCATCTTTCCATTTACTCAAGCAATTACAATGGAATGTATGTTGACAAGAAATTGTTAATAACCCAGTAGTTTCTGAATCCATTCTTTCAAGACACACGGGGCATGTAGGTAATTCTTTCACGATGCTGGAGGATTCTAGTTCACCATTCCTATCATTTTGATCCCTTTTCCTTACTTCCAAAGTGAATGGGTCTTCTAATAAATAAGGTATACCAGCTTGTAAATTATAAGAGGAATTTAAAGGTTTAAAAATGACTGACTTTACAAATATAACATGACATTGTTCTGATTCCATTGAATTAAAACTTCTTCCATTGAAATCACTCTGAAATTTTCTTGCGCTTTCATTATTCCTAAATTTCATCAATACCATAAATCTATTGGGATTATCACTTTTAATCAATCTAAAATGTGAGACATTTGAAGTAACAGTTGTACCTAAAAACACCAACAGATCAGTTGGTGAAAAGTAGTTGGGGACTGCAACAATAGCCACGGTGGTGTCATCACTTTCAACTTCTATATCCTGAGTTGTTGATTCATATTCTTTGTACAATCGTACAACACCATAATTCATGAATTTGGCCTTCAACGGCTCATTTTGTAAATTCTTCTTCATTCCCAAGTTGTCTAAGCAAGTGATTTCAATTGCACTGAATCTATAATCACTTCTCTCCGTCTCACAGGATACCTCGATTAGCTTTTTGTATTTTGAATGCCCTTCTACTTCTCCTCTTCCTTCTGGTTGAATCAATGGCTTGAAAATATTCTCTTCTTCAATGGCTTTCGAGCACCACGAATCAACGTCCACTTCGATTTTCGAGCTCGTTCTAGTCTGCTCAGGCCTTGTAAAATCAAAGAAGACAATGTACCTGTTCTTCTCACTCATAAATACACTAGCCTCAACATCAATGTGCAGTCTGGACTCTGGTGTTACTTGCTTTAGATTTTGAGTCAGTTGTGTCAAAGTTTTGCCTCTGTTTTGTGCTACAAGATTATTTTTTTTTGTCAAAGCTCGCGATTACGAATTAAGTACATTTCAATCATCCATTTTTGTCTTCTGTACAACAAAACACTTGCTTCTTTCTTTAATAACTCAAAGTTTCAGATGGTTCCACTTGTTGGTAGTCAAATTGGCGAATCAATTCCAACTTTTCTTGTTCCAATGCTTTGGCCGAAACCCAACCGCGTCCTGGAATGAAAATACGTCTAAGTGGTTTACCTTTCTTATCAATCATTGGATGGTCTAAAACCGATGGAACCGGTTTTTCTGGATTATGAACATTCAAGTCTGTCCTTGCCTTTCTTAATACCCTGTTAGTGTGCAGTGATGGCTCTGTCTCTGATTGGTCCTGTGTATTGCCAATATTTGGTTTATCTACCTTCTCAATGTCAATTTCTCTTGGAATGTTGATTTTGGATGCAATGCTGTATAAAGGTTTTAATAAATTATCATTTTTATGTTCTGGTTTAACTTCTGGTTCAATTTCCAATTTGACTTTTTGTAATTTTGTTTGATTGTTTGCAGTTGAATTTTGGTTGTTGACTGATGGATTTGAAATGTTTAAATTTTGCTTTTGGAATCGAGATCTCCATCTCAATTTGCCTTCTGGGGTATTCAAATCAAATGTAGATCCATTGAATGCAATCAAACATGGTTTAATCTCGGAACTCTCAACAATTGAATTCTCCTTTTCATCAAAATTTTCGTCAGGAAGAGAAGAATGTTTTTGAATCATTGATGATCCAGTCTCTTTCCCGCTATTCCAATCACATGGTATCGAGATGTTTGAATCTTTCTCAGCAACGGTGGATTGAACTATATTGTCTTCTAATTTGGAATCACTAGCTGTTTTCTCTATGCTTTCCGATTCTGTTTGAGAATAATAAAAGATTCCTAGACCTATAAAACCAATGATTTTCCATATTGGAATGTTATTCCAAATCCCCCAGATTATCTGTTCATCTTGTTGTTGACTTTCATTTGATTTGAACTCATCGATATTTGATGGAGTAGTCAGGTAATCAAAGCATGATAACACTTCTAATGAAAACGTTGATACTCTATTTGCTTTCAGCACTTTTTGTATACACCTAACAAAAAGAGAAAGTTGGTTAGTTCTTAAGATCCTTCATTGCAAAGAACAAGATTTGATACTTACCCAAACACACGTTTAGAATCACCATCACGGCCAAACTTGGATTCTGTTTCTTTCACTAATTGAGCGCCATATCTATTAAAACAAGCCAATCCATTGGAAACCTCCTCACACAGGATGAACTTTTTGAACAGTGTAGTTTCAGCAACTTCCAAGATCGCTCGAGATCTTGTTTTCGTCTCTAAATGATTTGCATTTGTAAACTCGGAACGCACAATTGACACCAACGATGTGATAACAACGAACCAACCCTTTAATTGCATTTTCTTTTGTGTTTGCCTCTTCAATGTATTCTTTGAAACACCATTAGTTCAGAATCTGATGAATGAAAACATTAATTACCGCTCTGTGTTTATAAATATTGTAATTTACGGCCTTTGCAAATTTCGTTTTTGTGTCACAGCGTCACTCAAATATTTTAAAAGAATTACAATTGACTTTACATTTCCGATATTCTATGATACTTTTTTTCATAATATTAACATGATTACAATAATATACACGATCAATTGACTCTTAACCTTCTTATGAAATCAACTTCACTTTAGATAATTAAATTATTCCTTATTTTTTTGAACATATTCTTGAGCTTTAGCTTTAACATAATCAGCAGTCTTGGTATCACCTTGTTTTTCAGCAAATGATAACCATTTACCAAAGAAAAATTTTGCTTGTTTACGACTGACTTTTCTGCTTAAAACTCTTTCGAAAAGATCACTGACCTTTTTGTTTTCATTCTTTTTAATCTCTTGATCAATATAAACATTCCATAAATCGATACGTTTTGGAACATCTGCAATTAAACCTTCAAATAATGTACGACCTTGTTCAGCGTCACCTTTAGTGAATTCCAATTGAGCAAATTTACGAACAACTTCTATATGATCACGTTTTGGTAATGAGTTTAATGATGAAGCTAATACTTCATGAGCTTTGTCAGATTGGTTTTGATCCAATAAATAACTACCATAACTGACCCAAACTGAAACTGATTCTTTACCAAATTTCTTTGTAATAACTTTAAACAATGATTCCGCTTTTGAAAATTTCTCAGATAAAATATAGATACTAACAAGTTTTTGATGCATGACTAATGAATCCATATATTCTGTGGAACGCTTGAAAGCATCTTCTAATGTTTCTTTAGTACCAAATGTATTTTCTAAATTGAGTAACGCGATCCAAATATTCAATTTTTCTTGTTCTTCTCTATAATTGATGGTTTTCAAGGCACGTTCAGCAATTTCTCTAGCTTTTTCAATTTCACTTAATTGAAGTTGGAATGACATGTAATTCATCCAAACAATTGAAGAATTTGGATTACCAATGATTAATCTTTCAAAATCGGAAACAGATTGTGGAGCTTTGGATTGTAAATCACCAGTAGTATCTTCCACAACTTCTTTGGTTTTTCTCTTCTTTTTGGATTTAGAATCTGTGAAATCTTCTTCATCACTTGATTCATCATCGTGAACTTGATCTAAAATGCTTGCAGTCCAGTCAAAACCATTGGTTGTTAATCCTGTGATTGATTTATCTTCTTTAGATTCCTCTTCTTCTTCATCTGAGCTTTCTTCTGAGTCTTGCTCGTTAAAAGCATCTTCAACAATAGCATCTTCTTCTGCTTCATCTTCTGAATCTTGTTTATCATCAGCTTCTTCAGAATCAGAATCTTCTTCGACATTTTCTTCAGATGCATCTTCCATGTCAACATCTTCATCTTCATCCGCATTTTCAATAAAATATGATGCTTTCATACCTAAGGATAATTGTTTCTTACCAGTATCAACGGCTAATACTTTAACTTTAACTCTATCACCTTCACCAAACAAGGCTTCTAAATCGGTAACATCATTGTCCGCAATTTGGGAATGATGACATAGACCACTGATGTTCAAAGTACCGTCTAATTTAACGAAAACACCAAAATCTGTAACTCTTCTAACTGAACCTTCGAAAATATCTCCAATGACAATGTCTTCGAAACGTTTCAAAATGTTTAATTCACCATTGACTTCAGATTCTTTTAGTGTCAAAGTAACATTACCTTCTGTATCAGCATTGATGATCTTACCTATAACTTGTTGATGTGGTTTGTAATATTTCTTCCAGGCTTTGATAAATGAATCAGAAACATCACTAACTTTAACATAACCAGTAACTGTACGACCTAATGAAATAAACAAACCTTTATCAGAAATGTTTTTAACAAAACCATGGACAACATCACCACGTTTCAAGTCGTCTGATTTGGAAATTAATTTATCTTTAGCGTCATTTGAACGTAAAGACACATTTAGTTTTTTATTGTGTTCATCAACAGACAAAATTTTAGCTGGTAAGATTTCATTCTTTTCGAAAACATCTTCTAATTTTTTAGAGTAATCATCTAGAGCATCGGTGATAAATGACATAGCAGTAACATTTTCAGCTAATTCAACAATGACAAAACTTTCAGTTATTCTCAAGATTCTTGATGGAACAACAGCACCAACTTTAACATCTTCAATGGTAGAAATTGAATCTTGTCTTCCTGTTAATAATACATTGTGATTTTCAGCGTCAACAGCTTTAACTTTAACTTTCAAAGCTGAACCAATTGGGTAATTACCATCTAAATCCTTTAAAGCTGAAGCATCACCTGGTAAGTCCATAAAAGAAATTCTACCTTTAATTGATGGTGATAAGTTCAAAAAGAAAAATCCAACTGTGGCATTATTGATGAATGCAACCCATTCAGTACCAACTGTTAATTTGTCAAAAGATAAAGCTTCAGTAGTACCTTCTGTTAAATCAGATTTTTTAGCACTCAATTCAATCAAAATTTGCTTAGATCTACGGTGACTGATTGGTAAGAATCTATGATTACGAGCATCATGGAAACCAATAACTTTAACATCAATAATATCACCTTTTTTGAATGGAGCTAATGGTACCTTTGGATTCTTGATTTCGTCATATGTTTCGTAGATTTGAGAGACATCAACTCTACCTTGAATATTATCAGCAAGTTGAACATTCAATTGACTTTGTTTGACACTCTTGATTAAAGCTTTTGTTAATTTACCTGGAACAAATTCCTTAGCTGATTTTATTGTTTGATCAACTGGGTTGACAATATCATCAGATGTTGTTTTCTTTTCTTTTAATGAAAGCAAAAATCTGTTATGTTCTTCGTCAGTTCTAATAACTCTGACAGAAACTGATTGATTAACATGGAAAACAGAAGATAAATCATCGACAGGTCTTGAGGTTGCATATTTAGCTAAAATCAAACCAACAAGTTTAGCACCGAAGGCAACGAAAATACCTTTATTGGTAACTGATTTAACATAACCTGGAATTAGTTGCTCAGAAATTGAAATGTCAGAGAATTTAACAGGTAGTTTATCTTCTTGAGCAGCTGTAATTAAAGATTTCTTAGCTGTCAAATTGAACAATCTTGAACGTGAATCTTTATCTAAAACCAAACCTTCAATTGATGAACCAACTTCTAATCTCTTTAAGATCGCACGATTTTGCTCAAAGTTACCATCTGATAAATGACCTTCAAAGATAACACCTCTCAAGTTATTTCCTGGAATTTCAACAATTACAGATTCCTTAGATTTTTCAACAATTTCAACCTTCAATATAGATCTTCCAACGACTAATTGCTCCAAAGCTTGTTGTTGTTCTTCAGTTGTTTCCTCAGAAAGTCTACAGCTGACTGAGATTCTATGTGTTTCTTTGTTAACAGATGCAATTCTAACGGTAATAGTTTGGCCTAAACGTAAATGATCTTCTGGTTTTTTCACAAATGTTTCACTAATTTCTGATTTTGGTAAGAAAGCTTTTAAATTACCAAAGAATGAAACTAAGGCACCACTTGGTCTGAATGAAGTAACAGTAACGGAAGTTCTTTCACCAACTTTAGCATCATCAATTTTGGTAATCACATTTTCTATACCAACCAAGGATTTTTTCAATGTAACTGTAATTTCTGAAGTGTATTTTGAAATATTTATTATTCTACCTCTAACTTTTGAACCAATTTTGAATTTTCTTTCTGGGTAAATTAATTTGACATCACTCATATGAGCAGCTGGAACAACAGCTTCAAATTGCTTGAAAATCTTGATTTTCATTGAATCCTCTGAAACACTAATTACTTCACCGTTAACTTTCTCACCTAAAGGCAAATCTTGTGCTTTCAAATATTTTTGTTCGATAACTTTTGGATCCATTGTTAAGACATAACTGTTATCAAGTTGAGAAAACCCAAGAACACGAGCTTTATGTTGAGATCCAATGGTGTATGTAATGGATAAACCAGCGGTAGTATCAGCTCTTGAAGTATGAGCCTGACCATATCTATCACCGCCTATTTTAACATAAATGTAATTACTATCATAACCTTTTACCTCAACTGATTCGAAAATATGACCTAATGGGAAAGCATCTAATGGAGCAGATGAAACTTCTGTATCATAATTTGTTTCATTTAAATTCAAAACATGAGGTAAAACGGAAAGAACGAGTTTTTTAGCACCGTTAGATAAAATAACAGCAATGACTCTAGCCTTAATATTTGACCCAATTGCATATTTATGTTTGATTTCTTCAGCACTGTAAGTACCCAAATGAGTTAAATTTATAGATGAATCAACTAAACCATATGTTTTAGTGGCTAACCCATCTTGGTGAACTTCTGTGATTAAAGTTTCGATGTAATTACCTGGTACAATGGAATCAATAGATGAAGTGGTAGTGACTGGGTTTTTCTTACCGGTATTTAATTTGACAGTGACAGTACGGGCATTTTTGTTCACAACAGTTGATAAGAAAACAGTACCTGGTACTATAGCAGTTGAATCATAATTTGCATTTTTCAATTCCTTATTTGAAATAAACCCTCCTAATCCTTCTCTTCCTGTATCTAAGATTAAACCATGATCTTCGACACTTTTAACAGAAACTTGTAATGTTGTACCAGCGACTAAATCATCATCTTCGAGATCCTTATTGGTTGTTTCTATTTCAACAGATAATTGAATACGTTTCTTATTTTGCTTCTTTTTACCTTTTTGTGTTGATTCAACAACAACTGCACGAAGCCATTGGCCAATTTTGAAAAATTTAGACAATTGTGGAAATTCTTTTGACTCTTTTGTCTTTAAGGTACCTTTAGTTGTTTTGTTTTCTTCATCTTGTTCTTCGTCTTCACTTTCATCTTCATCTTCGTCTTCACTGTCACTTTCTTCAAAATCTTCAAGTTGTTTCGTAATTGATGATGAGATGGATGTAATTGGGACATAACCAATCAAATTATCAGGCAATGCTAAAGCTAAATCCAAACGATTAATTTCTAAGATTTGACCTAACACAGATGTACCAGGTTGTAATGATTTGAAGTTTAAGCTTTCAATTTTAACTGATGGTTTATCATTTGAATCTTGAGTTTTGGAAACTTTTGATGTCTTCTTCTTCTTTAAAGGACGTTGATCATCTGATTTAGTTGAAGGTTGACTAGCTCCAGAAGATTCTTTTCCGAATAAGACATCACCAGCAGCTTCATTAGCAACTTCTTTCAATTCTAAAGGAGTCAAGGCTGAAGCACCACCTCTTGGGAATGATACTTCACTCTGTTCTAATATGGATTTCTGAGGTGCTTTGGTTGCATCTTCTCTGACCAAAGGAGACTCTTTTTTCTTTGAATCAGCATCAGATCTTCTTCTCTTACTGACAACCATTTTGACAGATCAGTATTATGATATACTGGATGTATCTTTGAAGAGGTAAAGAGTAATGTTGAACTTTTAAATATTGATATCTATGTATGTATAATGCTTATACAAAAAAAAATTCTAATTAAAAAATTTATCGATGCTGCCCAAACCATTTTGCCTTATTTAATAATATGGCACATCGCGATGAGCTAAAGCTCAGTATTAAGTACCATGAATTTAGCTAAGAAATGGCTGGTTCAAAAGTCTCAATTTGAATACTTAGCTGAGTATCACTTTGATGTCTCAGGTAGATTTATACTTGCCTTGGAATCTCTTACACTTTAAAAAGGGATCTACGTTAAATGAAATATAATATTGTTTGAAAAAAAAAAAATATCCTGAGCATTATATCTTTACATTTCTATCCTTGATTAACAATTTTATTTAATTTTGTAAAAGTTGACCAACAACTTTTGATAATTTATTAACTGGAACTTCTTCACTGGCAGGTTCTCCGATGATGAACTTAGCATTTTTATTATTTTGGAAAGTTTCTTCAATCAATTTTACGCTTTTTTCATCAACTAAAGAGGTTTCTTTGTTTTTGGCTAAGAATTGGTCAAATTTGTTTGAAATTAATAGCTCATAAAGTTGAACAAGACCTTGAATTCTTTCAGTGTATTCATTTTTAGTTGAAAAGATGTATGGTGGTAATAAATGGAGGTATAATGTAAAATCTGAGCTTGTGAATTGGATCAAACCTTTAACTAAAATCTTTATAGTGGAGTCTTGTCTTTCAACTGAAGTTTCATCACTTAATTCATATAATTTTAATAAAGCCAAGTTGGAATTTAAATCACTGAATCCATTTTCATATTGATCAAATAAGTAATCTTCTAAATCTTTGATAACAGATACATCATATCTTTTTAATGTGGTTAAAATTTCATCAATAACTTCTGGTCTTTGCTCTGGTCTTTCAATTAAAGTGTTTGTGCTCATTATGACAAGTATTGTTCTGAATGTACGTATTTACTCTCCGTCTTTTATATATCCTCAATCGTTCAATATTACACTTTAAAAATATTCCAATATCGAAAAATTCGCCAAATTTTCGCGATTTCAGAGGGAAGGAAAAAAAAAAAAAAAAAACTACCATTGTTATGGGCAGAAGAACGATAAAGATTTCGATAAGAGAATTACAATTTTGTACCAGACTTTTTACAACTATATGTGTATTCAAACTCGGTGAAAACAGCCTATGAAAGCCCTTTCGCCGCCACTATAATGGAAAATATCAATCCCATCACCATGATGGACAAATTCAATCCATTGACACCAGATGGAAATGTGTGTATGATGAATGACATGCAAATTATAAATCCTATATGTATGAGTGTCAAACATGAACCCAAGGCCGATTTGATAATTTTTTGAACACCTTGGTGACCCTTCTGGGGTATGAATGATAGTATAACTGATAAAAGTAAAGCGATCATGAAAATCAATAAAACTAATCTCAATACACCTAAAACTTGTAGCCATTTACTTAATTTATCTAAATCCATTGAATCTTTGAAATCTGTAGCAAATTCATCAAAATATAAATCATAAATTGTATCATCAAATATACTTTGTAAATCATACATAAAATCGGAGTTCAATCCGAAGTAGTTAGCTGCAGGTCTATCTAATTGGAATGATAAACTTAAAATTTTACCCATTTCAAGATCTTCAGGTTCAACATCAATATCATATTCATATAATTTGAAGCTTAATAATAAGTCAGCATTTGTTATTATTACTGCAGGTTCTAAAACTTTTGTTGATGTCTCATTCGTTGAAATCCCATCAATCATTGAAATCAAATCAGTTGGATTATCACCATAAACACCAAGATCTGAAGGCAAAAATTTTAAAGGTAATATTGATTGAAAAGTTCTTGAAGAAACTAGAATCCAGACCCATATTGAAAAACATATTGTCCACTTAACTAATAAAAGTTCTTTAGTGTTGCTATTGTTCTGATCTTTGGAGCTCTCGCTCTCTACCTCATTGGCTTTAGGCATCACTAGAACTATTGATGAAAAGTTGGAATGGTTTATTGATGTCAACCACCTTCATCAGGTATATCAGTTTCCCTCCATTGATTATTCTTATATTGTATGAGAAATTTATGGTTAATTTGTCAAATCAGATTTTTTATAAAAAAAAAAGATAAACACATTTGAGAATATTAATTTGAAGCATTTCTCATTGATAAAAAACAGTTCCAAATAACACCAATAGAAGAAGAGAATGGTACTTGAAATTGCTTTGGCATTATTAGAAAGTTAATGAATTGAACTAATGGCCAAACCATGTAATTTGCAATTAAAGTTGAGAAATATATTTTTCTAATCTTCTCTGATAAGGTAAATTTATTACCACCTTCTAAGACAAAATTTGAATATGAAAAAAAACAAAATAATGAAATTGGTGAGAACACTAATTGATCAGACATCACCCTTTCTAAAACTGATACAAATGTTGGTTCTGTTGTATAAAAATGATTTAATACCCAATACCAACAAACTTGAACAAAAGCCATTACAAATCCCCAAAACATGAACCCAATAAATCTGTAAAAATTGAAGACATCATCATCGGTTTGATGTGATAATTTTTTGAAACTTTCACCACTTTGTAAAAGATTTCTATGACCATGATTATTATGAATTGTTGGATCACCATAATCTGTGTAAAGTAAATCTTCATTTTGTTCTTCATCTCTAAAATTTGAACCCCCATTATAATTTGCTAATTGAATTGAGCTTATACTATCAGATCTTGATGCTCTTTTATTATTTTTCATCATAGATAAGAAGCAATAAAGGCTTTGAGCTAAAGTATCTGAAAATCCATATAGTAATATATTTGCCGTTATAGTTGTGAGTAAGACAGTTCTCTCATACATGGAGTTATACCTTAAAATTAGCTTGTATAATAAGCACATGAGCACTATTAAGATAACCCAATTTAAAATTGGAATGTAAAGCAGTTTAAATTGAGATAAAAATTTAATGATTCTATATGTTAAAGTCTTGTTATTGTTAGTGTTATTGTTCATGTTGTTATTTTCATCGTTAGTAGAACCGTCAGCAGTCTGGCTTTCTAGGTCACCTATGCTCCCATGTCTATGTATGCTAGTATTATCATCTTCCAGACGTATTGACATTTGTATCTGTTTGTGTTGTGTGAAAGTAGTCTGTCTCTATTGTTCTTTCAAGTTATCAGTCGTATCAGTAAAACATTCCTGTTTTTCTTAACAAACAAAATGTGTCAAGACTAGAGTAATCTTAGTTTCCTGAAACCTCATCATGTGATACTCCTTCAGGGCATAAGAATCAGATTACATGTGACTATCTCCACCCACACACCTCTACTCCTCCCAAGGTATTTTATCTTTGATATGCGCAGCACCCACAAAACTTCAAACTCTTTCTCTCTCAGCGAATTCCAAAACAGTACTGGAAAATCCAATGGTAAGTGACACACCCGCAAAAGCTACTACTACGTACCCAGTGTGTTCGCGAATTCTTTAATAAAAAAATTGTTGCGTCTCTCACACAGGCACTGGGTTTGGTGAAAAAAGTTCAAGACCAGAAAAGTATTCAACAGAAAACTAGATTAGTGAAATCTTCCTTTTGACTACTACACTGTTAATCATCAAATAGTATTCCCAACATGCTTATTCCAAAAGAAGACAGAAACAAAATCCACAAGTACTTATTCAACGGTATGTTATAGATCATGAACTACTCAAAAGCTCAGAAGTGAATGTATTGTATTAGTGTTGGATTTGATATGAACTGATTGATGTATGAGAAATAAAGTCAAAAGTAATAATAAAAAGAGTGGACAACTTTATATTAAAAACGTTTCAAATCAAGAACAATGAAAGGGATTGATATAAGAAGTATATCAGAACTACAAGAATAATCAAGATGTTTGGAATGAATCATGCCCTTAATTATGCAAAAAAAAGTTAATTAAACTGATCAAAATTCAAAAGTACAAAGTAAACAAAATAAAATTAGAACTATCTGGCTAATGAACACTTGAACAACACCACATGATTTATACTTTTTGTCCACTTCCTCAAAAAACATTTCAAATCCAACATACATCCACAAACTTGTCTATTATTATAGAGTATTTACTAACTATTTTTAAACAGAAGGTGTTGTCGTTGCTAAAAAAGACTACAACCAAGCTAAACATGATGAAATTGACACCAGAAACTTATATGTCATCAAAGCTTTACAATCATTAACCTCAAAAGGTTACGTTAAAACCCAATTCTCATGGCAATACTATTACTACACCTTAACTGATGAAGGTGTTGAATTCTTACGTGAAGATTTACATGTCCCAGAAGGTGTTTTACCACAAACCAGATTACAAGAATCTGCTCCAGAAAGACCAGGTAGAAGACCACAAGGTAGAAGATATTAAATCAAATTTTAAATTTACATTTAATTGTTTAAAGAAAAGATTTAAGATTTGGTGAGGGTTTATATGTATTTTGTACTGTTTAATAAAATTGAAAAAATAAATTTATCTCATTAGGAAATTAATGAATGTAGAATATTTACCCTTATTTATTGCCCACAAAATGATGTTATCTAACTACATACTATATTGATTACATTTATAGTCTTAAACATTTGACATGTTATACATTTAGGGCTTCTGAACTTCGGATCACGTGAGTGTGACTGTGGTTTTGACTGAATATCTGCCAATTCTAGTAGTGATTACCAAAACATCTTCACACCATCGCGAATTCTGCCAAACTCTCGCGGTGTTTTGTTGGAAAAACTAGTGAATTATCAACGAAAAACAAAATCAACACTATGTATGAAAACAGTTGATTATATACACTTCTAATAGAGTTTTAGCTATATCAACACAACCAAGATGAAATTAAACATTGCTTATCCAGCTAATGGTACTCAAAAAGTCATCGACATTGAAGATGAACACCGTGTCAGAGTTTTCTACGACAAGAGAATCGGTGCTGAAGTTGATGGTGAATCAGTTGGTGATGAATTCAAAGGTTACGTTTTCAAAATCACCGGTGGTAACGATAAACAAGGTTTCCCAATGAAACAAGGTGTTTTATTACCAAACAGAGTTAAATTATTATTAGCTAAAGGTCACTCATGTTACAGACCAAGAAGAACTGGTGAAAGAAAGAGAAAATCTGTTAGAGGTGCCATTGTTGGTCCAGATTTAGCTGTTTTATCATTAGTTATTGTTAAACAAGGTGATGCTGATATCCAAGGTTTAACTGATGAACAAATTCCAAAAAGATTAGGTCCAAAAAGAGCTAACCATATTAGAAAATTCTTTGGTTTATCAAAAGAAGATGATGTTAGACAATATGTTATCAGAAGAGAAGTTGTTAAAGGTGAAAAGAAATACACTAAAGCTCCAAAAATTCAACGTTTAGTTACTCCACAAGCTTTACAAAGAAAACGTCATTTGAAATCATTGAAAATCAGAAATGCTCAAGCTCAAAGAGATGCTGCTGCTGAATACGCTCAATTATTAGCTCAAAGATTACATGAACGTAAATCTGAAAAAGCTGAAGTTAAAAAGAGAAGAGCTTCATCATTAAAAGCTTAAATCTAATGATCAAAGTTTAATCATAAAATTAAAGGGGGAAAGAAACAAAGTTATTTGTTGTTGTTGTTGTTTTAATACAAAGTAATGAAATATATCATCTTAAAAAAATTCATTCTATAATGTTAAAAGGGTTGTGTTTTTTTGAAAGTTCATAGGATAGTTTTTTTATTTATCTGTAAAATAAAAAGGTAAAAAAAAAGGAAAATATTGATTTGTAGTAACGTAAGTGCCAGTTTCTTTATTCAAAGCCGTATATTCTACTACGTGAGCTTACTATGAATTGAAATTTACTTTCTATGGTTGTAACTTGTTACTTGAGTCCTGACTAATTTATATTTAGAAATACTTGATATCATTTACGAAGATCATATCGGTACATCCGCACACCATTTGTTTTGTTTTCTCGATTGTTTATATTGTTAATTAAATAAAGAAACCAGCATCAGATTGATCTGAAAATATTCCAATAACCAAACAAAATGGGTAAAAAGGCCCCTGTTATTCAAGGTGATGATCTGATAGTAAGCAGAAATTTTACCGGTGTTATAGAACGCTTAAAGTACTAACAAATTACAGAGTTTTCCCACTCCAACAGAGGCATTTGGAGCAAGGCAACAACCACCAAGACCAGTAAGGAAAGCACCAGGACCTCAATCATTACCTGCTCAAAGAACACATACTCCTCCGTTACATCCTCAACAGCCACCCTCACAACATCCCAGACCTATACAACAAAGACAACAGTTCGCACAAGTAGGGTCGCCTCCAATTCAACAAAATCAAAATTTTGGTGGATCGCATCATTCTTTACCATTAAATCCTAGACAACAACAACAACTTCAACAGCATCATCATGAACAATCTATATCTCAGTCAAGACCTAGCTTAGCTGGGTTTCCACATTCAAATCAACCTTCATATGTTGATGAACCACCCGCTAGGCAACAACAACCTCCACAACAACAACAATATTCAGGTTATGCACCAAGTGCTTATGAACATTTACAACAACGTAATAGTTCACAACCTCAAGTACCTTCTCCAAAACCTTTACCACAGCAAGTACCAGCTGTTGATCCTGCTCAAATATTGGAGCGTCAATTAAGAGACTTATTTGATAGGGTTGATAAATCAAGAGATGGTAGATTAAGAGAAGATGAATTAGCTACTGCGTTGATTAATAATGATGGTACACAATTTAATCCAAGTACTGTCAAATTAATGGTTAGACTATTTGATAAAGATGGGTCAGGTACAATTGAATTCAAAGAATTTTTCCATTTATGGAATTATATATTACATTGGAGGAAAACATTTCAAAGATTTGATATTGATGGCAATCAAAGAATTTCCTTTGGTGAATATCAATCTGCATTAGAAAGTTTTGGGTATAGACTACCAACAGATATTGTACTCTTTATATTTCAAAGATTTGGGGAATTCAATAATTCTAAACCAATGTCATTAAAATTTGATATGTTTGTTGAAAGTTTAGTTTGGTTATTACGTTGTACAAATGTTTTCAAGAAATTTGATACACAAGGTAATGGAATTGCCACTATTTCCTTTCAAGATTTCGTGCATGAAATTTTATCATTCATTTGATGCGATTTATGATTTTTATGTGGGTGTGTGTTTGTTTGTCCAATTTTAATGTGTTTTGTAAATTTCATTTTGGTTTAATGTTTTGGTTTTATGTTTAAATCATCTACATCATATACTTATTAATTTTTCCATGTATTTGTTAATAGTCATTTATAACTTCAATAAACGTAATAGAATATAAAGCTATTTTAGTCATAAAAAATTGAGTTCAACGATTGTTGACAAATATTCATAATTCATATTTATGATTTCCATAAACCGTATGAAGAAGAAGAATTTTTACTTTCGTGTGTTGGAATTATGGACTCTTCATTTCTTGTTTCTTCAGGATTAATCGAGACTTCATTTTTCCCATGTTAGTTTTCATATCAAATAAATTTATGATTTGAATGTAAGAATATTTAATACATACCAGTTTGTTTTGGATGATTTTCCCATCTAGTATTCCACCATTCATCTCTGTTTCTACTCCATCTTTCCAACTTCTCTTTATGTCTTTGATCCCATCTGTCAGGATTTGCATGGTATCCAAACCAATAACCTATACCCCCAACTAATAAGTATCCAAATATACCACCACGACGGTGATGATGGAAACCGCGATTAAATCTATGACCCCATGGACCATACTAGATGTAAAATGTTAATAATAAAATCCACATGACCCGAATTAACAAAGACCGCTTACAGGCGCTCCATGGTAGTGGCGACCCCATGATCTCATTGAATTTAAATTTAAGTGTTTGCCGAATGTTTGTTTAGTGGAGTAATCCCAAAATCTTGGAGCTCTATATGCTCTATAGTTTCTTGTAGCCGAAGTTGTGAATTCACGAATTTGATTCATGTCTGAAGTATAAGTATATTATTCGATTCTATACTTTAAAGAATATAATAATATAATTTGGTGTTTTGCTGTGTACAAATGGTTATTCTCTGCTCATTAAATACTTTGCGATTTCAAATAAAGTTTATTGGGATGGCTTTAAAAAGGGTATAAGACGGGTTTAATTAATTAATCTCGGTCTTAACTTAACTAGCATCCGATTGATCCGCCGAGCACTGAATAATTGCCTGTTCAGTTATAGAAAATAAATGTATTATACTATACAGATTTTAATGTAGAAGTATGTTGAAATGCCTTCAAAATTTACACTGTACTTCGTTTGGAAGCTAATTTCACACTTTTAAAAATTTCAAAATTCGAAATATTTAAGAACTATATCAAAAATAAAATTTTGATGATTGTCTTTCTGTTTGAAAAATAAAATTTCAAATTTTAAAATGTCAAATACAGCAAATTAAAGATTCATAGTGAATAATTTAACTAATTTTAAGAGACTCACCATAATTTAAACTACTCAATCTCTTTTAAATTGTAGAAGTTTGTAGAATTTTAAATTTTGTGTCACGATTACATAAGCGGGATTTTAAATATAATTGCAATTTCCACTAATTAAGCGCTGCCACAAAACCACAAAAACAAATATTTTATATCAAATTGTGAAGAAATGTAAATATAATATTAGTTTCAGATTCTTAACAATTGTTACAAGTGTAAGAAACTTCAATATCAACTCATAACTAGTCCAAAATGGCTACTGCTGGTGTGGAAAATCTAGTTACTTTGTTATCTCAAAGAGAAGCTCCAAGTAAAGTCAATAATAAAGCAGAAAAAGAATTGAAAACCTTTGATCCAAAATATTCTGTTGGTATTGATGTTTTGCCTTTGCAAACCCAAAATTTGAAGGCAAAGAATGGTGATGTTTTTAATTTGTTGCTTGTCGGAGAATCAGGTTTAGGTAAATTTTGATACTTTGATTGATTGTCAATTGTTATTTGAATTATTTTCTAACAATACAACTTTTGTTTTTAGGTAAAACTACATTTGTTAATACTCTTTTTGGTACTTCACTTTTACCAAGCGTCTGGCATAACGTGGAAGAAATTACCCCAAATGTTAAATTTGATAAAACAACAAGTATTGTTCGCCATACTGCTCATTTGACCGAAGATGATTTTAATTTGGATTTCACTGTGATTGATACCCCAGGATTTGGTGACTTTGTTGATAACAGTTTTGGTTTTGTTCCGATTACAAATTATATTGATGATCAATTAAGATTATACATGTTTCAAGAAGAACAACCTAACCGTACAAAATTGAAAGATAATAGGGTTCATGCATGTCTTTATTTCATTAAACCAACAAGTAAAGGTCTTTCTCCATTAGATATTGAGGCTTTGAAACATATTTCTAACAGAGTTAACTTAATTCCAATCATTTCTAAAGCTGATAGTTTAACCCATAATGAATTAAAAGAATTGAAAAAAACCATCAAGGAAATAGTTGAAGTTCAGAACATTAAAATTTGTGAATTTATCGAAGACGAAGAAGTCAAAAAGGATATTTTGAAGAATATTCCATATTCAATTATTGGCTCAGAATCAGTTGTAATCAATGAAGATAATAATACCACAATTAGAGGTCGTAAATATAAATGGGGTATTGCAGAAGTTGAAAATGAAAAACACTGTGATTTTATTAAATTAAGAGATACACTTATGGCTAAGAATATGGTTGATTTGATCTCAAGTACTGAATCTTATTATGAGAGTTGTCGTAATAAACTTGCCAAAACTAGAATCAAACAGGCAAGAGATACTTTGGAAGACAATGAATCAATTAAGCATTTAAATTTTGATGACCCTGATAAAAATGGTTTACAAAACCAAAAAATATTATCAAAATTCAATAAGCCATTTGTTGATGAATTAGTCATTGAATGGAGTCCAATTTTCATACAACAACAATTAACTCAAAAGAAAAAATTTACACAAATTGTCCAATTTGAAGAGAAGAAGTTTAAAGACTGGAAGAAGGCTTTATTTGCAAAGCAATCCACATTCAATGGTGAAATTGAAGAGATTCACCAACAGATTAAATCATTAAATAATAGTATTACATTGTTGAAACATCCAATCAAGGATGGTGAAGATGAACAAGTTGATGTTGGTGAATTAACTGATGGTGAAGGTGAAAATGATGAAATTTTTGACTTGTCAAAGAAATCGGAAAACTTGAATATTGATGATGAATAGCAACTATTCATTGCACCGAAGGAATCGATTTTGAATTGATTTTTTGCTAATTTAAGTATTATGGGAATGTTTTGTTTATCTTGAAAAGTTAGAACTTGTAGTTATGCCCTGGAAACTTGAAAAATTCAGCCAATTTTGAAAGTGTCGATATGAAATTTTTATCAACTATAAAAATTTTTTCGAGGCTTGATTATTTTCTTAAGTTCAACTATTTTTTTCTTTCCATTCAGTTGTCCTCTTAAGAGAAGATTGATCATGAACATGAATTGTAAGTTATAAGCCTACTAAAATGGTCATTTTGGAATCAACACATGTGCTGGAAGGTTTTGATTTCAATGAGAATTTAATGATGATCACACCTATTAAGTATGTTTTTTCTGGCATCTCTAATGTTAGACTTGTTTAAGTACCGGTCAATGAATACAACCCTTGACAAATATCTGATAATTATTATATTGAAATCAATTCCTAAATTCATTGTTTTGTTTCATGTACCATTTATACATTTGATTAATGTGTTTTTGCTAACTAGTTTTGATAAGGAACAAGAATTTGTTTATTAATGTGTACGAAAATTTATGATCATTCGTTGATGAAAAAATTATTATATCTGTAGCTTACAATTAAATATAAAACAAACATTCTGATTTGATTAAAGTACCTATATAGATAGACCGAATCACATCGTGCTCATATTTGCAATTATAATTTATAATCATCAAATTTTAGATGAATATATATTTACTGATCATAATGAACATGTTGTTCCTTGGTTTAAAATGAGGAAAAAAATTATTGTTGCTTTTTAAGTGATTTTTTTGATTAAATTTGATAATTAATGCTTATAGCCTTTTTGTCTTAGACCACGCCGAAATGTACCTTTTTATTGTGGTATATCCAATTCTTGAACACTAAGTTTAGGTTTACCAAAAACACACTCTGCTGAACAATGATTGACAAATAATTCATGATATCAAAAAGCTGTAACACGGAAACAAACTCCATAAAATTGATGAAAAAATATAAAGCATAATAATCTTATTAAATTGGGATGAATCAGAATTCATGGGACCCATAATTCACCTGAACCTCTTGGTGCATACGAAATTGAATCATAATCTTCTAGACGAGCATTACCATCTGATGATTTTTCAGATGCCTTGAACGCTTGATTTTTCTTAGGAGATGATCTTCTTCTTCTTCCACCAATTTTTGCGCTGGAACCTTTTTTCTCATCTTCCAAGCTAAGGCTCTTTAGTGTATAACTTGTTTCGTTTGGGTCAATTTGATTCTTCTTATGGAACAATAAAGATTCGGCTTCAGCTATATTGATGCATTTAATACCAAAACTTTCACACCAAGTTCTTGTTGTTTGATCTTCAGTTATCAATTTCCAATCTTCTTGATCAATGTGAGTCTTTTTGATACATGGTCGGATCAAATATTTATACCTTGCTGGAATTTCAGCTCTTTCAGGTCTTGGTTTTCTACCATATTTCCCAGTATTTGGTGCTAAAATATCACCTTGAGAATCAATCTGTTCATTTTCATACTTAATAGCATTTTGATGGATTAAAGGGTGATTATTTTGTTTTGAATTGGGGAACTCATGAACTTTTGGTGAACGAACTTTATATGTTAAACATTTTCTCCAATTAGGACCAACATCTTCAGGGGTTTCTAATACCATCTTGTAATGTGCAGAATCTTCTTCACTTGAAACGACTCTTTCAATAAAACGAATACTTTCTCTAGCATTTGTCGCAATCATTGTGATACCCTTTTTCAAATAATCCAATTCATGAATAGCTATAATCCCCAATGGTTAATATCCGAACAATAATACTTGATTTGAACACAAGGCAAAAACATAATAGAACTTACTATACGATGGAATAAACAGCTGAATCGTATACTGTTCTTCATCAACCCATTTCTTGATATTACCTAAACCTTTCGTCAATGCCGAAGCATCAATGATGAAATGCCCTTGCTTTAGGAACAAATTTGTTAGAAACTTTAGACTCATCAAGGAAGCAGCTTAACGCCACCATAGAATTCCAGAACCATACTTACCAGTTCTTGTGCCATTGTGACAATAAACAACAAGTCCAACTTTTAGGTTTCAATAAAGGAATGTCTCGTGTAGATCAACAAAGAGGTGTTAGTGGGTACTTCCTGAACAAAAATCATTCTATTGTGTGTATTATTTTCGCTAAGAAAACTCCAAACTACAAAATCACAAAATCAGTTCGCGGCTTGAAACTAAGCATTTTACATCAAGCTATAAATTATTAAGTACAAGATCTATTTTATCTCTTCAATTCTATTTACATGTGCTCACTCTATCCAAACAGATCACATTTCTTTACCGAAAGAAACGGTTTCCAAAAGGGAGTCCGGTTTGAAAGGCCAAGATTGGAAAACCTCTAATAAGAATTTAAACTCTTCAGATGTTAAATTTTTAGGAACCTTTCCCAAAAGGTTCAATGGAATTTTTGTAACAAAAAAATCAGCAGCTGCAGGACCTAAATGGTTCAAACTCTTATCTAGAGGTGTATTTCTAGAAGCCATCAATTGTTTAACGACGTAGTCCCAAGCAAATGCATCCAAATCATGATCTTTAGGATTAAATTCTATCAATGTATACTTAGAAGCTTTTGAAAACGATTTTGGATTGAAAATAATCGGGTCATCATTAGATAATAAATTGTTATTAAAAGATTTCAACGATTTCTCATCATCTGGTGTAGCAATTAATTTGGCATCACAAAAAGTTTCCCTCACAACGGAACATTTAGCTCTTTCACGTGTATCTGGACGTGCCATAATTTTAACAGCTGAGGAATTTGGAATCCAAAGAAGCATTTTCACATTACCAAATCTTTGCAGCCAGTTTTGATTTGCCATACAACTTAAGAATTGCATTACTAAAGCCTCATTATGTATAAGCCCTGTAAATAAGAAATTTGAATGTAATTTATCTCTTGTTTGATAACCAGGATCCAAAACTCGAGTCCCATCGGTTAAATGAATATAGTCAGTCCAAGTGTAAGGATTTTTGAGTTGCAAATCAAAATTATGACCTTCTGGTAATTGTGGGAAATATATGTCATGAAGATAATTGTAATATGCTTTACGATCTTCCATCAAAACATATTTTGAAGGTTGTAGACGATTATAAAGTGCTGCTGAAAAAACACCGTTATTTGGCCAAGCTTCGAGCACCTGTATTCCTGGCTTATAGCAGTCTAGTTGTAGCTTATCCACAGCAGCCTCTTCAAATATTGTTAGTATAAGTACTTAAAATTGAATGGAAACTAGACGTATAAAAAAATTGTACTTACGTGCAAGGTAGGGGTCTTTCAGATATGCGCCCCCATAAAAGAATTTGAAGTTCTGTATTTGTGGAAATGGAACTTTTTTGAATGACATTACTTCCTAAAATATTTTCTAGTATTTTTGATTAATAAAAATTTATAAATGTTAGAACTTTGAAGGTACTTATGAAAAAAAGTAAAAGCGCGAATTTTTGGGATTGTACAAAAATGATCAAAACTTCACCAAAACAAAGAAAGTAGTTCAAAGAAGGTAGTTTGGATTGCAAATAGAATCAAATAGAAATAAAAAAGATATCAAGATGTTCAAAATCAAGATACCTGCATCCAAGGACAAAATTAAGGACAACGCCAAAGAAACTGGCGAGAAGAAGAAGAAGCTTCCCAAATTGAAAATCGCTAAACCTCAACCACCAACTTCACAACCGCCATCATCAGCACCATCATCTTCATCATCCAATATAAAGCTTAAAAAAACTAAAGCTAAACAGATTAAAGTGAAATTAAAAACACCACTGCCTGGAATAGCTCAACCTGTTGTAAAGAAAGCTCCTCGTATTAGAGTCAAGCCTACAAGGATACCAGGTGAAGGTTATGATTCTGAAGCTTCAGATATTGAAGATGATCCATTAGTTGAAGAGGCTATCATTCTAAGACTGCTACCCGATGCCGAGCTGGACTACGTGAGACATTGTGTCGAAAGTGGTGAATTCAATCAGTTCCATATTAAATGGAAAGATAGATTACGTGCTATTGTCTATATCAATTATTCAATGTATGCAGCTAAATTGGTGAATTTACCAAATATAATTGAAGCTCAGAAAACTGTTGACAAAAAAAATATATTCAAAACGATTGATATCTCACAAATTTTACTTGTTGTGAGGAAAATCCAAAATGAATCAGAAATTGAAGATTTACAAGTTGAGTATGGTGAAGTATTACCAGATGGATTAACTCCTCCACTTCAAAAAGTAACAGAAAGTAGACACAGAAGAAAATTGACAAATGATTACATTGAGAAAATAGAATCAAAAGTTGATGAGCTATTAAAATTAGATGAAGAAGCGGAAGATTCCCAGTTTGAATTGATTGATCCCGAGAGTTTAAACGTTAACAATAATGATACACCAGCTGCAACACCAAGTGAATATAGTAACGTTGAGTCCTTTAATGATATAGACTCATCAGCAATACTGAAATCAGGAAACTCAACATACAATACAGAAAGTAATAATAATACCCAATTCCATCTGTCGTCGTCAGCTGGTAAAGATCATGATGAAGATTTAGAATTAGAATTAGAGCAAGCATTGGGTGGCGACTTCTCTTTAGAAAATGGTCAAAGTGTTCAAATTGAGGATTCAAACGGTGAAAAACTGGGACAAATTGTTGCTGATAAGAATGGTAATGGTGGCGAAGAAGAAGAAGAAGAAGAAGTGGAGGAAGAACTGGAAATTGAGGAAGAAGAAGAGACAGAAGAATCAGACGATGATGACGATGATGATGATAATAGTGATAATGATCAAGCGGCTTCACGTAAAGTTGAAGTTGATGAAGATGCTCAGCATAATGCATTATTGAAGGATGAAATCAATGAATTATTAACCACCATTGAACAAAACAAATCTAGACTGGAAAAGACACATAATCCTTTATTACAAAGTAGATTTATTGATAGTATAAATAAATTGGAGAAAGAATTAGAAAATAAGAAGAGACAGTTGAAAACAAGTGAAGATAAAACAGCAAATAATAAAAAGAATGATGAAGATGATTTGGAAGATGGAGGCTCTGGAAACGAAAATGAAGATCGTGAAAATGAAGTTAGAAACGACGACGATGAAGAAGAAGAGGAAGAAGAAGATGGTGATAATGATGATGATATTGATGATTTATTTGGCTAATTGTTATGTAATTATAATATATATTCACTAAGTATTGTTGTGAAAAGTTGTGTTGTGTTTAAATACGTTACATGGTAGATTTATATGATCTGTGATCTGTGTTCTGTGTTATGTGTTAGTTTTTAAGGGCCTTTTAAATTTTTTGTTGCATCATGACGCAGTACAGTGTGCTAAAATCAGTTTAAACTTTATACCCAAGGAAGTTTCAAAACCGCAAGACACACTTAACCAGATCGGTAAGCACGAATATAGGTTTGATTAATTACATTTATATCTAGGGTATCATAGTGGAATGCTTATTTAAGTGTTCAGACCTGACGTATTATCTATTAAAGTTCAAATTAGCAATAATATAATACTCGTACACTCGTACCATATATTGTTACAGCATGACTTGATTCCATCCTTAATCATGATATGAAACATGAAGCAAAAGTTTAATGTCTAGAGATCATTATATTCATTTTCGAACATGAGATTGGACAGTACGTTTTGATATGCATTAACTTTATTAATATAAAAAACGTATAAACTTCTTTTACATTCCATGTATAGATTGAAACATGTCCCCAAGTATAGTATAGTATAATATACTTAGTACCCAGTGATTTATATAAAACTTCAAAAGCATGTTTTTGAAAGAGACAAGAGACAGAACTACTGCAGTAATAGGTCGAAGGCTCGATGACTCGAGAGTCGAAGCCATTTTAATTAAGCAGGTTTGTGTTTCCTGTACATCTTTTAAGGTAACGGGATGCGTTAATCTCGGGTTGAGAGATATGTAAAATTTATAAAATTTCTCTTGATGATCAGACAGACAATAAAAATATAAATTATGAACCCAAAGAGGGTTAATCATAACTACTTGAGATTAACACTAAATTGAAAAAGGAAGGTGAAAGGTTAACCGACCCCCCTTGGAAAAGTATAAATTAGATAGAATATCCCTTTTCTTAAATATGTCATTGAACTGGATTATGAGAACTCCAAATGGAGTCAATCCACCTTTTGTGCTTTTAGATGGTGAAAATGTCAAGTATACAAGTCCACAACCAATAGAGATCAAATTGAAAGCTATACAACTAGAGAAACCAGATGTCATAACTATAAAAGGATCAATATATTTGACCGACAAGAGACTAGTCGTTCTTTCTACTGGTGCAGGTAACCAGGATAATGATTCATTTTCATTGTTGTACAAAGATATGATTTCACACAAGTTAGAAATGCCATGGTTTGGAAGCAATAGTTATAAAATCTTATTCAAAATTACTAGTGAACAAAGTGGACTCAACTATTTATATACATGGCAATCTAATATTCAGTTCCCACAAGGAGGAGCTATCCAGTTCCATGAGGAATTCTCCAAACTCAAAACTTGGTTTGATAATAATCAGGAGGATGAACCGTTACCAGCGTATACTGGTTAGAATACATGTTTATTTCCTACTTAGGAAGTCTACGGGGTAAATTTCAAATTTTATTTTTATTTTTGCATTTTCGCATTTTCAAGAAGCAAAAAAGTTCGGGTTTGGCTTTGCCCTTTTGAAGCGTAGGGAAATATTGACAAGTAAACAAAGCGACAGAGACAGCAGTTTGGATCATTTGGGGATCGAAGATGGATTTAAGTAGACCCATTCCAAGAGAAGAAGTGCAGAAGCTCTATGAGGTGAGTGATTATGAAGGGTGGAAACACCAGTGGGTGGTTAGCAAACAGGTTCCCATGACACGCCATCCCTGAGAATATACACACAGGATATACATACACGCTAAAAACAGTGGGAAAACTTGGTGATGTCTGGGGATCATTTGGGATACCAGTTATGGAAGACGATTTTACTAACAATAAACAATAGCGATGGCAACAGCTCAAGGCCCAGCTAGGTGAAGGTGCTGTACACAACAATGAATTCATACACTTGTCCAAGGTGCTAAGATATATTTCTAAACAACAAGAAATGGCTAGAAGATTATTGCAACAACAACAAGGTCAAGGTGGGAATCCACAACAACAGGCACCAGCACAAGGTCAAGTACCACTACAAATGCAAAGTAATGGTAACAGTTTAGCTGGGACTCCTCAACAACAATCAATGGTTGCACAAGCACAAGCACAAGCTCAAGCACAGGCCAATAGTAACGGCGGTGGAAATTATTTACAAGGTGCTAACAATAACAATAACAATAATAATGATAGCACAATGGGTAATGGATTTATAAATAACCAAGGTCAGACTCCAATTACTCAAGCAACTGGGCCTCAACATAATTTCCAACAAGCTAGACAACAGCAATTCGTTCAACAGCAACAACAGCAACAACAACAACAACAACAACAAGCACAACAACCTCAAGTAGGCGGGCCCGGCTTCACCGGTAAACCTCCTTTGAGTCATGGTTTATTTGATCCTGATCAATCTGTGTTGTTGAAGGCTCAAATTGCCGCTTTTAAATGTCTAGTAAAGAACTTACCAGTACCTCAAGAGGTTAACCATATATTGGCTAGATCTTTAGCAAATACATTGAAGAAGGATAACAGTCAACAACCAACACCACTTCAACCATCTCAAATACCCCAACCACAACAGACAGCACCTCAATCTATTCCACAATCTTCAAATGCAACTCCACAACAACCAAGAAGTTCAATCCCACAACTAAATCAACATTTACCTCAACAAATACCTAATCAACAACAACAAATATCTACACCTCCAGTTGTTAACAATCAATCTCCTCAAGTATCTATTCGTTCAACATCACAACATAATACCCCAGTAATACAGAATAAGACTCATCCTCAACAGAGAAAATCTCAAACATCAAGTATTTCAGGCGCATCGCAACAACCACAGCAAAGTTCATCAGGTTTAGTTACATTTGAAAATCAACCCCCAATTCCTTTAGAGAAATTAAAGGAATCATATCCTGATATAACAACAATTGTTCCTTATAATGATCCAAAGATTAAGGTTGATAGTTATACTAGACCGGTTCAACAAAAAGAAGTTTCTTACGAGTTATTGTTTCATTCAAAATCAAGGGTAATAATACCTGGTGTATTTCCTGAAGGTTTAGATGTTCAAGGTGCAGCTGAAGTTCGTGAAGCTGAGATTCAATTTGACATTCAAGAGGCATTAGAACAATTTAAATTACAAGATGATAAAGAGGCAATAAAGGATGATGAAGATTTAATTGATTATTATTCATTACAATTGTTACCTTATCAAAAGGCAATGAGAGGTCATTTATTAAGTTTGAATTATTTTAAAGATTCATTATTAACTAATAGTCACCCTAACTTCTTAGCAAAAATTAGAAAGGTCAATGCAGCTGATGCTCATATTACAAATAATTTATATTTGCAACAACAATCTCAGAAACTCAAAATTGAACACAAGAAAAAATTTGAAAAAATTGAAAAATTAGCTTCAGAATCAAGTTACATCATTAAAAAGAGATTTGAAAAAGCTGAACAAGTTCAAAAATTTGGTAGAGCTATTGGTAATTTGCATGGTCATATTGAAAGAGAAGAACAGAAGCGTGTTGAAAGAAACGCCAAACAACGTTTACAAGCTTTGAAGGCCAATGATGAAGAAGCTTATATCAAATTGTTAGATCAAACAAAAGATACAAGAATTACACATTTGTTGAAACAAACCAATACTTTCTTAGACTCTTTGGCTCAAGCAGTGAAGGACCAACAAAAACAAACTCATGAACATTCAAAAGCTTCAGGTGGTGCAGTTACAGAAGAATTTGAGAATTTGGAAGATGATAAAGAAAATATTGATTATTATTCAGTTGCCCATAGAGTTCGTGAAGAGATTAAAGTTCAACCAAGTATTTTAATTGGTGGTCAATTGAAAGAATATCAAATTAAAGGTTTACAATGGATGGTCTCATTATTTAATAATCATCTTAATGGTATTTTAGCAGATGAAATGGGGTTGGGTAAAACTATTCAAAGTATTTCATTATTAACTTATCTTTTTGAAGTTAAAAAAGTTCATGGTCCATTTTTAGTTATTGTTCCATTATCGACATTAACTAATTGGAATTTAGAATTTGAAAAATGGGCACCTGCTTTAAAGAAAATTACATATAAAGGTACACCATCATTGAGAAAAGTTATGCAACAAGATATTAAAAATCAAAATTTCCATGTTCTTTTAACAACTTTCGAATATATTATTAAAGATCGTCCTTTATTAGCAAAAATTAATTGGGCTCATATGATTATTGATGAAGGTCATAGAATGAAGAATTCAAATTCCAAATTATCATCTACTTTAACTCAACATTATCATACTGATTATAGATTAATCTTGACAGGTACCCCATTACAAAATAACTTACCAGAACTTTGGGCTTTATTAAATTTCGTGTTACCAAAGATTTTCAATTCTGTTAAATCTTTTGATGAATGGTTTAATACACCATTTGCTAACACAGGTGGTCAAGATAAAATTGAATTATCAGAAGAAGAAACATTATTGGTTATTAGAAGATTGCATAAAGTGCTAAGACCATTTTTATTGCGTCGTTTGAAGAAAGATGTTGAAAAAGATTTACCAAATAAAGTTGAAAAAGTCATTAAATGTAAAATGTCTGCAATTCAAAGTAAATTATACCAACAAATGCTTAAACATCATCAATTATTTATTGGGGATGCAACCAATGAAAACTTGATTCCTATTAAAGGGTTGAATAACCCAATTATGCAATTAAGAAAAATTTGTAACCATCCATTTGTTTTTGAAGAAATTGAAACAGCTTTAAATCCAACAAATGAAACTAATAATAAAATTTGGAGAGTTGCTGGTAAATTTGAATTATTGGAACGTGTTCTACCTAAATTCAAAGCTACAGGTCATAGAGTTTTGATCTTCTTTCAAATGACTCAGATTATGGATATCATGGAAGATTTTTTAAGATTGAATGATATGAAATATTTAAGATTAGATGGTGCTACTAAACCAGATGATCGTACTCTTTTATTGAAAAAATTCAATGATCCAAATTCAGAATATTTTGCCTTTTTGTTATCAACAAGAGCTGGTGGTTTAGGTTTAAATTTACAAACAGCTGATACTGTTATTATTTTTGATACTGATTGGAATCCTCATCAAGATTTACAAGCTCAAGATAGAGCTCATAGAATTGGTCAAAAGAATGAAGTTCGTATTTTAAGATTGATTACAGAAGAATCTGTTGAAGAAGTGATTTTGGAACGTGCTCATCAAAAGTTGGATATTGATGGTAAAGTCATTCAAGCTGGTAAATTCGATAATAAATCTACATCTGAAGAACAAGAAGCTTTATTAAGAGCTTTATTGGAAGCCGAAGAAACTAAAAAAGTTACAAAAGAAGCAGATGATGATGAATTGGATGATGATGAATTGAATGAAATTTTATCAAGAAATGATAATGAATTGGTTTTATTTAAGAAAATGGATGAAGAAAATAAACATAAAAAAGTTCTTGGTCGTTTATTTACAGAAGCTGAATTACCACCAATTTATAGACGTGATCCATCAGAGTTCTTTAAAGTTGAAAATGTTGATGATTATGGTCGTGGTGCTAGAGAACGTAAACAAACATTTTATGATGAAAATGTTTCTGAAGAACAATGGTTGAGAGAAATTGATGGTATTGAAGATGATGGAGAGGAAGAGGATGAATTTGGTGATATTAAACCAACTAAGAAGAGAAAAAGATCAAGAAAGAAGAATGATGGTATTGAAGAAGATCCTGATGTGATTCAATCAACTGGAAGAAAAAGAAGAAGTGTTCCACCAACATCAAGTGCAGGTACACCTGTTCCAGGAGGTGATGAAATTACTAGTTCAGCTTCAACTCCAACATTACCGGAATTAGAAGTTGGTGAAGGTTCAAAGACTCTTGCACAAAATGCTGTTGCTAGTAAACCTAAACGTAGCCGTGCTAAAGGTACAAGTGCAACATCGGGTTCACGTTCCAAAAACAATGCAACTGGTACAGGTGCTGGGAGTGGTAATATTGGACGTTCAAGATCTCGTTTATTAGCTGCAGGTACACCACCAAATAGATTACCAAGATTATCAGATCCATTAACATTAGAAGAACGTGAAGATTTGAAGAAGAAAGCTGATGAAATTTATCAATATTTAATTGATTTTAAAAATGAAGAAGGACGTAAATTAAGTGAAATATTTCTTGTTAGACCACCAAAAAGATATTATCCAGATTATTATTTATTAATTAAATTCCCAATTGCATTTGATGTTATAAATAAAAGAATAAAGACAAATATTTATATTTCATTAAAAGAATTCATTGAAGATGTTCATTTGATGTGTTCTAATGCTAAAATTTATAATGAAGAAGGTTCAATTGTTTATGAAGATGCAGTTTTTATGGAGGATGTTGCATTTAAGAAATATAAAGAAGTTGCGGGAGATGATGCAGATTTAGATTTCAGTGAATTTGATGATGAATATACTACAAAAGTTGCACCACCAACTAATACTCAAGTTGATCCAAAAGTTGATTTAGGTATCAATGGAGTTTCATCAACACCAGCTGTTTAAGCATATAAGAAATTATTGTATATTATTAGATTTCAATTCTAAATTACACACAAGGAGTTTTTAGTTTTCGACATGTCAACGTTAACTATTTGTAGATCAATTAAGTACAATACTATATACCCACGTTACTTTAACACGAGTTGTAAGTTGTAAATTTGATATCTTTTCACATGTTTATCAGATCAAAAGAGGAAATAATTTTCACATGTTGATACGCCAAATCACGTGTATGTTTTTTTACTGATTTCGCGGGTTTCGCGCCACTTTTTTGTGTTTTTGAAAACGTTTACCAATGTTTTTTTTTTGTTTTAAACGAGCAGCGATTTTTTTTTTGTCGACATAAATTTTTATATAAAGAAAGAGTTTCGGTCCTTTAAAATTTTCATCTATTGAGATTTTAGATAATTAAGATCTTTTTAAATCTTAAACAACAACAACAACAACAACTATAATACAATGGCTGCTGAAACCTTTTTATTTACCTCTGAATCTGTCGGTGAAGGTCATCCAGATAAAATCTGTGATCAAGTCTCTGATGCTATCTTAGATGCTGCTTTAGCTGTTGATCCATTATCAAAAGTTGCATGTGAAACTGCTGCTAAAACTGGTTTAATATTAGTTTTCGGTGAAATTACCACTAAAGCTCAATTAGATTATCAAAAAATTATTAGAGATACCATTAAACATATTGGTTATGATTCAAGTGATAAAGGTTTTGATTATAAAACTTGTAATGTTTTAGTTGCAATTGAACAACAATCACCAGATATTGCTCAAGGTTTACATTATGAAGAAGCTTTAGAAAAATTAGGTGCTGGTGATCAAGGTATTATGTTTGGTTATGCTACTGATGAAACTGATGAAAAATTACCATTAACTATTTTATTATCACATAAATTAAATAAAGCTTTAGCTGATGCTAGAAGAAATGGTTCTTTACCATGGTTAAGACCAGATACTAAAACTCAAGTTACTGTTGAATATGAAAAAGATGGTGGTGCTGTTATTCCAAAAAGAGTTGATACTGTTGTTATTTCAACTCAACATGCTGATGAAATTAGTACTGAAGATTTAAGATCAGAAATTCAAAAACATATTATTGAAAAAGTTATCCCATCTAATTTATTAGATGATAAAACTGTTTATCATATTCAACCATCTGGTAGATTCGTTATTGGTGGTCCACAAGGTGATGCTGGTTTAACTGGTCGTAAAATCATTGTTGATACTTATGGTGGTTGGGGTGCTCATGGTGGTGGTGCTTTCTCTGGTAAAGATTTCTCAAAAGTTGATAGATCAGCTGCTTATACTGCTAGATGGATTGCTAAATCATTAGTTCATGCTGGTTTAGCTAGAAGAGCTTTAGTTCAATTATCTTATGCCATTGGTGTTGCTGAACCATTATCAATTTATGTTGATTCTTATGGTACATCTAAATATTCAAGTGATGAATTAGTTCAAATCATTAAAAATAACTTTGATTTAAGACCAGGTGTCATTGTCAAAGAATTAGATTTAGCTAGACCAATTTATGGTAAAACTGCTTCATATGGTCATTTCACTGATCAATCAAACACTTGGGAACAACCAAAACCATTAAAATTTTAGATTAAATATTTGGTTATAACAAGATATAAAATAAAAATATATTGCATATTCAATTCTTTAGAAAATAGAACAAACATTAATGAAGGAATTTACGCTCAACTCGTTTATTCAATTTAACAATAAAAAAAACACATATACACACTTTATTTTAAAACTTTAGGACATTTTGATTTGAGGGAGTGAACATAATATAATCTATAGATTACACATAATTATTTTGTTCCCCCTTTGGATTGAAAAGTTTTTATTGTTTTTGCTTTTTATCTTTTTTTAAATAATTTAACGGCTACATAATGATAGATTTACGGTACATAGTCCTCAACAGGCATGATTTTTAATATTAATGAATATGAAATAAAATATTGAAAGTTGTAGAAATGAATATAAAAAGATAAATAAATTATAGTATTATAGTGAATTAATCAATAGAATTGTTATGCTTATTGTGATTACTCAGCACTGACATAACCAACTTCTCCATTTTTTAAATACCCGCCAAATTAATTTGAGTGACATTTTAATAATGGAAACTTTCTTTTAAAATAGCGGGAAACAAAATATGGATTTTTTATATAAATACGTTTCAAAATCCTTTTAAAATGATAGATCTAATTGATTATAATGAGATTGCATGAACTGATATCATAATGCTCAGATCAATTAGAAGTTACTCAACTCATGTGGATCTTAAAACCACTTTACAAAATGCTATTCCTGCCAAAAGAGAATTGTATCAATATGTCAAGAAGAATTTAGCCAATAAGGAGATTGGTCAATTAACCGCTGGTGGTACGATTGGTGGAATGAGAGGTTATAAGTCATTACTTTGGGAAGCTTCAGTAGTGGATCCTAATGAAGGAATAAGATTTCATGGTTATACTATTCAAGAATGTCAAAAATTCCTACCAAAAGCTAAAGATGAAATTAATGATCCTAAAAGTGAATTTTTACCAGAAAGTATGTTTTGGTTTTTACTTACTGGTAATAAACCTTCTCAAGATCAAATTAATGAATTTTCAAATGAATTAGCCTTGAAAGCCGGATTACCTGATTATTTAAATAAGATTCTAGATTCATTACCAAGTTCTTTACATCCAATGACTCAATTATCTATTGCTATAAGTGCATTAAATAATGATTCAAAATTTGCTAAAGCATATGCTAGTGGTATTCCTAAAAATGATTATTGGGAATATACATTTGAAGATTCTATAAATCTAATTGCAAAATTACCAGCTATTGTGGGGAAAATTTATTCAAATACTTATCATAATGGTGAAAAATTGGGTGAATTAAATTTAAATAAAGATTGGAGTTATAATCTTTCTTCATTATTAGGTCTTACATCAAATGATTCACTGAATTTAAATAAATTAAATCAGGATCAATCTAAAGATGTTGTTAATTTAGTTCGTTTATATTGTGCATTACATGGTGATCATGAAGGTGGTAATGTTAGTGCTCATACAACACATTTGGTTGGATCTGCATTAAGTGACCCATTTTTAAGCTATAGTGCCGGAGTACAAGGTTTAGCAGGTCCATTACATGGATTAGCTGCTCAAGAAGTTGTTAGATTTATTGTGGAAATGAATTCAAATTTACAAAATGATATTTCAAATTCAACCAAAATTGAAGAATATCTTTGGGGGCTTTTAAATTCTAAAAGAGTTATTCCAGGTTATGGACATGGTGTATTAAGAAAACCAGATCCAAGATTTGAAGCAATGTTACAATTTGGTTTGAAAAGATCAAATGAATTTGCCAATGATGAATTATTTCATCTTGTTAAAAATTTAAGTGAAATTGCACCTGGAGTATTGAAAAAACATGGTAAAACTAAAAATCCATATCCAAATGTTGATTCAAGTTCAGGTGTATTATTTTATCATTATGGTATAAAAGAACTTTTATTCTTTACTGTTATATTTGGTGCTTCAAGATCCATTGGTCCATTATCTCAATTAATTTGGGATCGTGTATTAGGTTTACCAATTGAAAGACCAAAGAGTGTTGATCTTAAAACATTGGCACAATGAATTCTATAGCTAACTATTTATTTATTTATTTATTTATGAAATACATGATATTACTATAAATTTGTATTGTGATTACTCAGCACACGCACAGTGATGACATAAGCGACTCCACAAATTAAAATTTTGAGTTGTTTTCTTTATTTAACTTTTCGATCAAAATATTTTACCGACTTTTAAATTTAAAGGGATAAATTTTAATAAGGGTCATTTTACTTTAAAATGGGTTAAATATTTAATAAATCTCGGAGGCTAATCGGTAATTGAGTTTCAATTGATTGATTACTGGGTGTCCACTGTCTATATATAAAGTATCAAGGAGTTCTTCATTATATTGTAATTGTTGATTCTTTGTTTACCCCAGAATAGTAACAATATGCAAAAATTTAAAAGATCTTTTGTTACAAGTGCTTCAAGAATGTCAAATATCATCACTGAAAATACAAGACCAGAATCTGATAAAGTCTTGAAAGATATATCTTCTTATATTCATAATTATCAAATTGATTCTCATTTAGCTTATGATACTGCTAAATTATGCTTTTTAGATACTTTAGGTTGTGGTTTAGCTGCTTTAAAATATCAACAACCAAAAAATCTTATTGGTCCTATAATTCCAGGAACTAAAGTTCCAAATGGTACAAAAATTATTGGTACTTCTCATGAATTAGATCCAGTTCGTGGTGCTTGGAGTATTGGTACCTTGATTAGATGGTTAGATTATAATGATTGTTGGTTAGCTGCTGAATGGGGGCATCCATCTGATAATTTAGGTGGTATCTTGGCCGTTGCTGATTATTTAACAAGAGCTCATAAGGCTGGTATTACAGGTGGTAAAAAATTCACAGTTAAAGATGTTTTAGAAGGTATGATTAAAGCTCATGAAATCCAAGGGATTTTAGCTTTAGAAAATTCATTTAATAAAGTTGGTTTAGATCATGTATTATTAGTTAAAGTTGCTACAACTGCAGTGGTTTCTAAAATATTGGGATTAAATTATGATCAAACTATTGATGCTATTTCTCAAGCTTTTGTTGATGGTCAAGCTTTAAGAACTTATAGACATGCTCCAAATACAATGTCAAGAAAATCTTGGGCTGCTGGTGATGCTGTTTCAAGAGCTGTTAATTTGGTTTATCATGTTAAAAATGGTGAAGGTGGAATGCCATCAATTTTAACTGCTAAAACTTGGGGGTTTTATGATGTTTTATTTAAAAATCAAGAATTTAAATTTCAAAGACCTTATGGTTCATATGTTATGGAAAATGTTTTATTTAAAATTTCATTTCCTGCTGAATTTCATGCACAAACTGCAGTTGAAGCAGCTTTAACTTTACATGAAAATTTAAATAAATTAGGTAAAAATTATAAAGATATTAAATCTATTAAAATTAGAACTCAAGAAGCTGCAATGAGAATTATTGATAAAAAAGGTCCATTATATAATTATGCTGATAGAGATCATTGTATTCAATATATGGTTGCAATCCCATTAATTCATGGTCGTTTAACTGCAGATGATTATAGTGATTCTATTGCTTCAAATCCAGAAATTGATGCATTAAGAGATAAAATGTATTGTGTTGAAGATGAACAATTCTCTTCAGATTATCATTCACCTGATAAGAGATATATTGGTAATGCATTAACAATTGAATTAAATGATGGTACTAAATTAGATGAAGTTGTTGTGGAATTTCCAATTGGTCATAGAAAAAGAAGAGATGAAGGTAAACCTGTATTATTGAATAAATTTGAAAGACATGTTTCTGAACATTTTAATAGTCCTGAAAGAGTTGATAAAATTTTAAAGGCAAGTTATTCACCAGATTTAGAAAATACTGATATCGATGAATATATTGATTTATACGTTGATTAAGGAAACTATGATCCAAATTTATACTTATATTTATATGCTATTTATATCATGATGAATGAAAACAAAATATTATTTATGCCTTAGCTGATTTAAAGTTTAATCAAAATTTGTAGTGTAATTGTGTGACGTGTAAATGTTACGAGTTGATAGATAGTTTAAATTTGTTCTCTATATTAAGATCTATATACTTCAATTTATGCATCGTTTTCAAAGTTTTTAAAAGTTTCTTTGTGAACCATCATGATTGTAAAATTTCCCTGTATCTTCAATTGTAATTTTATCAACAACTTTTCCCAATATTCCAGAAACACATTCTTCAGTTGAAATCAAACCAGATCTAATCTGTTCAATACGTTCTTTAGGAATTCCTTGAATTGTATCTAATCTTCCATTTGACATGTCTGTATTTACGGAACCAGGATGTATGGAAACAATGATGAATCCTTCGTCTTTTAGTTCAACACTTAGAGATCTATTATAATGATTCAAACCAGCTTTAGATAATCCATATGCACCTGTTGGAATGATTGGTGGGTCAGTTAATGAAGCTGCAATACTTGATAAGAATACAATTTTCTTTGTAGATCTTTTTCGTAAGTATTTATATAGCACTTTGGTTATTTGTATTGGTGCAACGGTATTAATATTGAAATGATCAAACCATGATTCTCTATCCGTATCTAATAAAGTTGTTGTAACATTTGCATAACCAGCATTTGATATGAAAATGTCAATTCCTTCTTGTGCAATATCTTTGATTTGATCTTCAATTGAATCAATTGATTCTTGTGTGCTGACATCCAATTTTATGATGTGTATATTTGGATTTTTATGTTTCAATTCTTCAAGATCTTTAGCTTTAGATGGTTCACGAACTGTGGCTATCACTTTGTTTGAACTATCAGCTGAAGCTAATTGTCTGACAAACTCTAGACCGATCCCACGATTAGCGCCAGTTATGAAATAAACAAGACCCATTATATTCTGTGTTTACTTTACAAAGCTTCAAGTACTAGATATAACTTTGGAATAACATTCATCAACCCATAATTTTGGAATCTTCGTTAATGATTCATTCCAATCTATTGTTCTGAGTTATTTTCACGTATATTTTTTGACAGTGTGACCCGCCCGAAGATTTTTGGGCCCTTTCTAACGACACAGTAAATTCTGACAGAGACAATTCGCGGATTTCTCTTTCGCGAATTCGCGGGCGCTCTTTGGGATTTTTGTTGATGTTATTTCAAAGTGGCAATTTGGATCTTTTGACGCTTTTATTAATAACGAGATCAATAACAATTGAAGTCAACTGGACTTTTAAAGACCTTCATAAGATCATATACTGAATAACCAAACTCACAATGTCCACTCTTGAGGAACTCGCTGACCAACAAAACCCAGAAGATGAAGAAATAGATCAAGAAATCTTAAATTCTACAACAGATGATATAAACAGTCGTACTAGACTTCTAGATAATGATATCAAAATTATGAGATCTGAATTACAAAGATTATCACACGATAAACAAGTGATGCTTGATAAAGTTAAAGATAACAAGGAAAAGATTGATAATAATAGACAATTGCCATACCTTGTGGGTAACATTGTGGAATTATTAGATGTTGAAGCAGAAGAAGAAGCTCAAAAACAAGGTGCAAATATTGATTTAGATTCAACAAGAGCTGGTAAATCAGCGGTTGTTAAAACATCTACAAGACAAACAATTTTCTTACCATTAGTTGGTCTTGTTGACCCAGAAACTTTAAAACCAAATGATTTAGTCGGTGTTAATAAAGATTCATATTTAGTTTTAGATACATTACCAGCAGAATATGATTCAAGAGTGAAAACTATGGAAGTTGATGAAAAACCAAAAGAAACTTACTCAGATATTGGTGGGTTAGATAAACAAATTGAAGAATTAGTGGAAGCTATTGTGTTACCAATGAAACAAGCTGAAAAATTCAAAAAATTAGGTATAAAAGCTCCAAAAGGTGCCTTAATGTATGGTCCTCCAGGTACAGGTAAAACTCTTTTAGCAAGAGCTTGTGCTGCTCAATCAGATGCAACTTTCTTAAAATTAGCTGCTCCTCAATTAGTTCAAATGTTTATTGGTGATGGTGCCAAATTGATTCGTGATGCATTTGCCTTAGCAAAGGAAAAAGCTCCAACTATTATATTTATTGATGAATTAGATGCTATTGGTACAAAGAGATTTGATTCTGAAAAATCAGGTGATAGAGAGGTTCAAAGAACCATGTTGGAATTATTAAATCAATTGGATGGTTTTGGTTCAGATGATCGTGTTAAAGTTTTAGCTGCTACAAATAGAGTTGATGTTTTAGATCCTGCCTTATTAAGATCTGGTAGATTAGATAGAAAAATTGAATTCCCATTACCATCAGAAGAAGCAAGAGCTTCAATTTTACAAATTCATGCAAGAAAAATGACTGTTGATGGTGCTATTAACTGGCAAGAATTATCAAGATCAACTGATGAATTTAATGGTGCTCAATTAAAAGCCGTTGTTGTCGAAGCTGGTATGATTGCTTTAAGAAATGGTCAATCAAGTGTAAAACATGAAGATTTCATCGAAGCCATTGGTGAAGTTCAAGCAAGAAAAACCAAATCAGTTTCATTCTACGCATAGATTGTGTATATTAATTAACGTCAAATTAAAAAATCATTAAATTATATCATTCGTAATAATAAATTTTACCAGAAGAACCTGTAAATATAACTTTACTAACCTCTTTTGTGTTCCATAATACTTGGGTTATAGCCTTATCATCAATTTTTAATTTTTTAATTAATTTTGTAGTTTTCCAATCCCAAAATACTGCATTACCATTTGAATCACCACTAACAATATCTTTACCATCTGGTGAAAAATCAATACCAATACCATAACCTGCACAATTATGTCCTGTGAATAATTTCTTTTTATTTGTTTTATATCTATCTTTTGTACTAAATACCATGATTGTATTATCCATAGACTGTGCAGCAAAATATTTCCCTTGAGGATGAATCTTGGTAACTGGCATTGAATGTAATGTTGGATCACTAATTAATTTAATTGGAATATTGATTTGTAAATCCCAAACACGTACGGTTTTATCTTCAGATGTTGATATAAATCTTTTGTTTTCTAAAAATGTAATACTATTAATTGAACCTAAATGATGATCATAACTTTGAATTATTTTTTTTTCTTTTATACTATAATGATCAATTTTACTATTCATTAACCCAACAATAAACTCATCATCATTGAAAGGGTTAAATTTAATTGTATTACCAACAGATTTGGTTCTAAATTTTTCTAAACATTTACCAGTTTCTGTATCCCATACTTTTATAAAATGATCATAACTTGTACTTATAACCCTTGTACCGTCATTATTGAATGCTATATCTTTAATTGGTTTATTATGACCGAAAAATCCTCGTAAAAGTTCACGTTTATGATAAACTGACCATAAATAAATCTTTGAATCATTACCACAAGAGAGTAATAAATGATTTGATTTGGGGAAAAGTACAATTTTGTTTGTACCATTTGTATGACCTTTCCAAACATGAATTTGTCTTTTCGGTATGAAACATTCTTCTGGAACATCATCATTTGTTAGATTAACACCAACATCTTTGGGTATATGCATATATGTTCTTCCTTGGTAATCCTTCTCAGATGTACCATAAAATTCCGTTGAATCTTGTGATCCAGTTTCTTCCTCTTCTTCACTGTCTGTTTTGATTTGTTCTTGTTCTTCTTTCTCTTTTTCTGATTCACTTCCAGCTTCTTCAGGATGTACTTCATCTTCACTACTAGATGAATCATGATATTTTGCCCAAGGACCAGCATACGCACCATCACCATCAATTTTATCCGATTTCCCTCTTTTGAATCGCTTAGACTTTATTCTTTTCTTATCTTCTTTGGAAGGTTTTAGATCTGTGATGTCTCGTTTATTTAATCTATGTGCCATAGATTGATCACCAATAACAGTATTGTTACCATATAAACTCTTTGCATACCCGAGATTATCAAAATTTCTTCTTTGTATTTCAAAGGTTGTTTCATCAAAATTTTCACGTTCAATATGACCAGTGATTGTTTTTTGTAATTGACCATTATTATTATCGTCTATAGTACTTATTGTTAATTCTTTCTTTGGGGCATCTTTAACCTGTGGTGCAGCAACGACTTTCACAGATTGGAAACTAGGTTGAGCAGGAGAATCTGATTCATCTTCAGAAGAAGAGTAGCCTGTAACTAGCGACATTGTGGTAGTTGATGTTCTATATAGAATTGGTAGAAAATGTCTGTTTATACACCAAAAATTTCCAAAAATCCATCAAGAGTAGTGGGAAAACCAAAAAAATGGTGATAAATTTTAAGCTGTTGATTTTGATAATTTTAATACTCGATGAGATGACCTTTTGATTGGAAAAAGAGCAAACCCAAAAACCCCAAAGATCCCAGAAAATCATGTCTAAGAGAAGAATCCAAGAAGAAGAAGAAGAAGAATCAGATATTGATATCAGCAGTACCGATTCAGTAAGTGTTCCTCCTAGAAAATGACTAGTTCAATATGGTTTAGAGATTAACAATTAATACCCATAGGAAAACTCTGAAGGAGAAGAAGAAGAAGAAGAAGAAATTGTTAACGTTGATTTTGATTTCTTTGACATCAACAAAGATATTGATTTCCATGCTATAAAGAACTTAACTCGTCAACTCCTGGGTGAAGATTCCAAAAAGTTACAAATTTCTCCATTAGCTGATTTGATTTTAGAAGCACCAACAATTACAATTAAAACTGATGGTAAAGATTCAGATCCATATGCATTTTTATCAGCTTTAAACTTGAAGGAATTGAAAAGTAATGATTATATCAAATATATTCATAAGGCTGATGCTCAATTATCTTCAAATTTAAATAAAATTTCACATAAAAATAATGCCTTATTACTTGGTGAAAGAATGATTAATATGCCAATTCAAGTGATACCTGCAATTTATAAATTAACACTAGAGGAAGCTGAAAAGGCTAATGGAGAAGCATATGATAATTATTTATTACCTTCAAGAAAATATGAAATCAATGAAGAAACTGAAGATAATTCTAAAAAAAGAATTAAAACTGTTGAAGTTGATTTCTTCCATTTTGAAGATCAATTTTTTGAAGAAAATGCTTCTTTTAAAACTCAATTACAATCCAGAGGTGGTGTTTTACAAACTTTTATGGTTTTAACTCACGACAACTTAATTAAATCTATAAGTCAATTAGAAGATACAATTTCAGAAATTTTCGGTTAATTTTTAAACTAAAGTGTAATTTATCAGTTGGTATTAAGTTTACGTCAAAATAAATGATGTATAATTTTTTTTAATTTATTGTTTGTAGATTGTTCATATGGACCATGTATCAATACCAATAATTGAACCATGCTGATTATTACCACAACTAAATAATTGCCATCTATAACCAATATGATCAAGCCATATAGTGATTGGTTTGGTGGTTTTTTTATGACCAGGAATATCACCAGATGAAGGAACAACAATATAAGCGGTTTTGGAATTTAATTTATATTTTGATTTAACTTCTGATAAAGAACTAGTTAATTGATCAACTGCATCATTGAATTCTAAACCATGCATTTCAAACCAAACTTCATCATCAATAGTTTCTGAATAACTATATAAATCATCATCAGCAGATTTTAATGCATCTAATGCCTTTTCTTCAAATTTATTGGCTTTTTCACTTAATTTTTTAGCTTTACCACCATCATTCGAAACATAAGAATCAGTTGACATTTTAGCATGTTTTTTCCTTTGATTTTCATTTCTTGTAGCAGAAATTCTATTTGAAACATAAGATTTTAAATATTTATTTTCAGTTTGATCTTCCCATGGAATTATTGTTGGTTTTTTAATTGGTTTAACAATTTTAATAGCTTTTGATGGGATAAACGGTGGGGCTGAAGTTGATGGTATAAATGATGGAACAGATGAAATATTTGATGCTGTAAATGAAGATGATGGTGATTGTTTTATAATTGATGGTTGTGAAGATGGAGGTGTTAATGTTGATAAAGATGCCAAAGATTCAGGTGGTGATAACGGAGTTGGTAAATCTAAATCATGTTTGAAAAGACATTTATCACCAGCTAAACAATTACCTTTTAACCAAAAACTACAAGCTCTTTGATCAATATCATGACTGAATTTACAATCTGATCTTAAACATTGACCATTTTTAATTAAAAATGAACATAATGCCTTGTTTTTCTTATCAACTGAAAAAAATGGTTGATTATTTGTTGTGGAAGTTGAATTGGTTGAAGGTACTGAATTTGATAATAATGGTGTTGTTGATGTTGATTGAGAATCTTTTGAAGAAGTAGTTGAAGCTTCAGATGTTTTAAGTTGATTCATTAAATGTTGAGCGGCTTCAATAACATCATAACCATTGATTCTTAAAGCTTGTTCAATTCTTTGTCTTGATAAACTGCCATTAAATAAATCATTTAGTTGATCTATTGGAGATGAAGTTTGTTGAGGTGCAGGAGTTTTTTCACCATAAAGTTCTTTCCTTAGTTCTTGAGTTTTAATCAACAAATCTTGATATTCTGATTCAGCTTTATTTTTTAAATCTCTACTTTTTTCCCAATTTTTCCTTTTCTCTTCATTTAAAGCTTCTAATTCACGAACTTGTTTCTCTAATTCTAATCTTCTTTCAAAACTCGGTATATCAATCTTAACAGCTCTTTCCTCCACTTTAACTATTTTGACCTGTGGCTCAACTTTCCTTGAGGGATCCTTATGTTTCCAAAGGATATCCAAAATGATTCTTTCAGCTTCTTTGGAGGAACATTTGTATTTCTTGGTAACCAAATCATCTAAATAATCAATCTTGTCTTCTTCAAATAACGAGTCATTGTTCAAGATTTTATTGCATTCTTCTTGGAAATTCGTCATTTTAGAGGAGCCTGGAAATTTCCCCTGTAGCAAATATCTTAATATTTCTCTTGAAACTTGAAAATGATTATACTGATAACCTTGAACTATCGATCCAAAACCCCAAAACAAACGGTTCTCAAATTAAAATGACATTTCTGTCTCAATGATTGGATTTCGCTAAGTACTAAATATTTCAATGCTGCGCGAACCAGGATGAGAAGGTTTCGCGAATGTGTTTTTTTTATTTGTTTTTCCGATTTTCATTTAGAAAAAAAACCATCGACACCGCAAAAACAACACACAAAACAAACATCCAAACAACCATCAAACAACCGTTATTTCATCATTAAAGCTCTGGTTTTGAACAGTTTCCATTGTGAACCATCTTCAAGAAACAACAGCTACAAAAAACCAATTCCGGGCGTGTGTTTTTGGTGCTGTTTCGCCGCTTGTCACGAAATCCATAACTTTTGTTTTCTTTAATAATAGGTCGGAAATCAGATTAGTATAATCAAAAGAATATTCATCAATTCAATTAGAATTAATTGACATTTCCATCTAATAATTGAACAATTGGCTGTGAAATATAACACTCTGATACGCTCTATACTTATCATACAATTATACACATCATGTCCACAGGTGCACCGAACTTGGAGAGACTTCGTTCAGAAGCTATTGAAAGACGAAGAATAGAAGGTGCAGAATTGATCAATAGTCGAAAGAGAAAGATCTCAGAGTTATATACAGTGTCAAACTTATCACGTATAAGAGATATAAATCAAGATGATCAAATGAAACCAATCAAAGACAGTTTACTTGGGTTTTTGGAAAGAAATGATTTACAAAAAGGTCATGAGTTTGATTTAAAGACACTTCAACAACCACTTATAGATAATGGTCCACTTCCAAAACAACAAAGGCAAGATATTCCAACTAATAACCAGTCTTCAATTCCTGTACATCCATCTTCACAACCACAATCTCAACCAACTTCCCAATCACCAATTAATCTCAAACCAGTTGTGGCTAATAATCAACAACAGGTTCCTAAACATATTGATACAACACCACAGACACCATCATCTCAACAAACACAAATACCCAATAAAAGTATACCTGATAATCAAGTGAAGCAGAGTCAGGCCCTTCAAGGCACATCGATAAGTGGTATTCCTCAAGTTCAAGCTCAAACTTCACAAAGTTCATCATCTCAATCACAACCCAAACAAGTTCAACCTCAATCAGTACCTACATCAGTACCTACATCAGCACCTCAATCGCAACCAGCAAATGTCAGCTCATCTACTTCAGTACCGGATACTTTACAAAAGCAGAAACTTTCTACCCCACAATCTCAATCACAAGTGAAAGATATAGAACAAACACAATCCAATCAACAATTACAAAATCAACAAGAGCATGATAAAAAAGATCAAATACAAACAGAGGTACAAAATAAGAGCATTCAACCTTCAGTTCAACCTAGCCAATCCTCATCAAATCAATCACAAACTCAAAATCAAACTGCATCAACTGCATCAACTGTGTCAAAAGACTCTAAACAAACTCAAGGTACATCGAATAATCGTACCAATGTTATAAGGAAGAGAAATCTTGAAGATAAGGTATCACTTTATGATCCCAAAAATAAAGAAGCTATTGATACACATGTTATTTTTTTGAAAGAACAATTGCCTGCCAAAATTGCTGAAGCTACATCATTAGCAGAATTATATTATTTGGCACAAACCCTGCCTTTAGTTAAATTGATGCCATCTACTCATAAAGCTGTTACTTCAACCATGTATGAAACAGCTTTAACTGAAGGGAAAATTAATGTTGTTCATTCAAGAATTGAAGAATTAAAAAGACAAGGGAAATGGAGTTTAAAACAACCAACAAGATTTGTTGATCCTATTAAAAATAAGCAAAAGACACATTGGGATCATTTATTATCAGAAATGAATTGGATGGCTATAGATTTTAGAGAAGAAAGAAAATTAAGAATAGCTACATGTGCTTTTATTGCCCAATCAGTTTCTGATTATTGGACTTATGGGAAAGTTTGTTGTATCAATAGAAAACCAATTGTCCATTTAGATAATGTTATTGATGATTCAAATGATGATGATATTCCTGACGCGTCTGCTAATGAAATATCAGAAGATCAAGAAATAGATTCAATTGATATTTCAAAATTATTAAAAAGACCTAATCCAAATGAAGATATTAAACCTGTTAAATTACCAGAATTAACTTTGAAAGATTTCAAAAAAATCAAACAAGAAGATTCACCTTCTCCTTTTAAATTAAATTTAACTACAGATGAATTAAATGATCAAAATAGAACTTTATTAGATGAAATGCCAGTATTTCAATCATTTGATAAATATGATGACAAATACGATGAATTGCCATTGATTCCTGTTTCTAAATCACTGATTCCAATTGAGGATGATTCTTGGTATAATGTTTTATTTAAACAAATTACTGATGATTCAAATTATACACCACCACAACAAAAAGGTTTATTTGGATTTTCATCACAAAAGAGAATTAATACATCAATTAAACCTCCATCTCCACCAAGTCTGAAATATTTGGATTTAAGAACTCCAACTATTTGGTTACCTGAAGATGATCAAAATTTGATTGAACATGTTAATAAGTTTTCTTTCAATTGGGGTGTTGTTTCAGCCCATCTTTCCAAAAAACCAACGAGAAGCTATGTATCCAATATTGAAAGAAGAACACCATGGCAATGTTTTGAAAGATATATTCAATTGAACGATACATTCCAAATCAATGATATGAGAGGTCAAAATTTCATGAGTGCTACTAAATGGTTAGAACATGCTCATAACATTCAAGCTACTACTAAAAGAAGAATTTCACCATTAGGTGTTGGTGTTGATTCTATTCAAAGAGGTCATAAAAGATTACGTTGGGCAAGTATGTTTGAAGCTATTAGAAAGTGTATGAGGAAAAGAGAAAGTGTTACTAGACCAAATAACAATCAAGTTCGTAAAGGTGCAGATGATAAGAAGTTAACTGCACCAACTCCAGCTGAATTATCCAAATTGAAATTTGAAAGAGATAAAGCTATTCAAGAGGCATATATGCAAAATTCTGGAAATGGTTTCAGAACTAGACTTCCAGCCCAAGGTCCAAATGTTGCTGCTGCTGCTGCTGCCGCTGCTGCTAGTGCAAGACCAGATAATCATCAAGCTACTTCAATGCCTGCTGGAAATTCTAATGGGTTACCAGTTCCACGTCCAGCGTCTCAGTCAAGTGTTCAATCTCAAAATGGTCAACAAATTCCTCAAAGATATAATGATGCAATCAATAGACCAAGTTCTACACCTTCTGTACCTCAACAAGGGCAAGTCACTCAACCTCAACAACAACAAGTTCCACAACAAGCTCAGAGAAGCGGAATTCCTGTCGCTAATTCAAACCCAGGTCTGAATAACACAGCTGCAGTTGCTGCTGCTCAAAGAATCATTCAAGGACAAAGTAATGGTCAAAAGATAATTGGTCCAAATGGTACACCATATACACCAGAACAACTGCAACAGCTGATGCAACTGAGACAAAGAAAGCTCAAGCAGCAACAACAGGCTCAACAACAAGCTCAACAAGCGCAAACTGTTCAAGGTCAAACTCAACAAGCCCCAATCAATCAAACACTTCCACAATCACAACCTCGTATGAACTCCAATGGTATATCACAAGTTTCCCCATCACCAAATTTAGGTAATACTCAACTTTCAACAGGTACTAGCGTCAATTCACCAGCTATGAATAATGCTTCAAGATCTAATAGTAATCCACAAGGTTCCAATGTTTCAAGTCCATTGATTGGCCAATCACAACCTCAACAAGCTACAAACACCAATAGTAACAATAATGGGAATGTTAGACCTTCTTTTGTACCAGCTCATGTCTCTGCAATTATAAATCAAATCCAATCACAAAATCCAAATATGTCAAAGCAAGAAGTTACAAAAGTTGCTGCACAATATTTAGCCAATCTTCAAGCTAAACAATATCGTGCAAATGCTATGAATGGTAATAATGGTAATAATTTAGGGTCATCTCCAGTGCCAAATAATTCTGCACCAGTTAACCAATCACGTCCTGCTTCTAATCAAGCTTCACCAAGTGGATTTTCACAAGCTAAAGTCAACGCATCTGTTCCAACTCCTCAACAAATTCTGCAACAACAAGGTGTCTCATCATCACCGCCATTACAATCTCCAAGAATTCAACAACAAGCTCAACCTCAGCAACAAGCTGTAAGACAAACATCTAATCCAAATTCACCACAAATGCCATTACAACAAACCAATCAATCATCATCTTTAACACCACAACAGAAAGCACAATTGGATATGCTGAAAGTTTTACATGCTGAACAACAACAAAAGAGACAACAACAACAGCAGCAGCAGCAGGCCCAACTGAGAAATGGCCAACAAGGACCACAAGTTCATCAACAACAAGTTAATAATAAGACTGGTTCACAAGTACAAAACCCTCAACAATCACCAAATAATCAACAAAAATAAGTTACGAATATATGAATATGTATCTATTTGAACTCTATTTGAATTCTATTTGATTGGTTTATGTATAATTAATAATATAATGATATGATACGACATTATAACATTTGGACAATTTTAAAGTATATCAGCTGGTATATGTAGTCTTTTTATGTAGAGCTACTAATCATGAGTTTGTATTATAAAATCACACGCTACTCGATCAATATAAACCATGTACTGTTAATTTCTTTAAAAGAAGAAAAAATTGACGATCTTGATACATGTTATACAAAAAAAGACATATAATATACATGGATTGACAAATTAAAAAATGATTCAAAGTAAAAGATATAAAAGATGAAAAGAAAGGGGAAAAAACAACAACAACATAATATAAAGACTAATGACTATAAATGAAATGACCAAATTATAAATTATACGTTAAAAGTATAAGTATTAGTTTCTTCAACATCAGAACCATTAACAATATAATTAACTTTCCATTTGATTTTTGGTGGGACATTGGCATTTGTTGAATCAACTTTGAAAGATTGAGTTACAGCATCTTTAGCAAATGAACCAAGGAAACTACCACTTTGAGGTTCAAGTCTTAATGATAAAGATTTTGGTACAGCAATTAAAAATTGTAAATTTGATATAGCAAAAGTACCAATATTTGAGAAAATTGCCTTTGCAGATACAGTATTTTGTGAATCTCTTGATAATTCTAATTCAAATTTTAAGTGTTGAGATTCATTAACTAAAGAACGTGGATTAGATTGTTGTTGTTGTTGACCACCAAAAGACCCTATTAGTGAAGTATCTAAAGATGCAAATGCATTTTGATTTGATGATGAAACAGTTGGATTAGCTGGAGTTGTGGTTGATGTAGTTGTAGTATTATTATTTGATAATTGATTGAAAATATCATAATTTGGTGAAGTTGCTCTTGAAGGTTGATTTGAAGAGAAATCTAATGTAATATCACCACCTGAACCAAAATTGTTTGATGATGATGATTGTTGATTTGAAGATCCACCAAATGATAAATCACTTAAATCACCTAATAAATCATCAACTTTACCATTGTTATTATTATTATTATTTTCACCAGTTGGTTCAGGAGAAACATCATCATCAAAATCAATTAAATTTAATGATTGTTGAACACCAGAACCGGCATTTGCAACTTGAACTTTTGAAGCATTTGCTAAATCACCATTTTTCAAGAAATTATATTTTTCCACTAAGGAATTAACAGTATCATTAATTTTTAATAAATCTTGAACAGATTCTTCATCATCTTGTTCTTCTTCAATGATTTTTTGAATTTTTGGTTGAGCAACTTTTAAAGCACTATATAATTCAACCAAAGTTTCATCACTTGTATCTAAAGAACCAGATTTTTCTGAAGTTGCCAACATTTCATTGAAAATATCAGCTTTTCTTTTTAAACGATCTAAATCTTCAGCAACTTGAGCTTTACTATCAACTAAGTTATCATCTTTAAAACCAGCCATAATTTTCATTAATTTATTTGCTTCTTTTAAATCACTTGGTCTACCACGTCTAACTAATTCTTGTAATTTAGCAGCTTGAGCAATTGCTTCTTCTTTTTGAATTTCAGCAGCAGATTTTAAATTATCAGAAGGATTCAACACAGAAGCATCTTCAGCTTTAACTTCTGGGAAAACATAACCTTTATAAGATAATAATCTATGCATATCTCTAATAAAACCTAAATCTTCTTTATATTTTGAAGTTTTACATAAAGTTTGGTTCCATTCTTCAATTTGACCCAAGATTAATCTTTGAGGACGTGAATATCTAATTGGAGGTCTTTCAGGGAATCTTTTCACCAATTCATTCAAGAATTCTTTACGAGATATTTGTAAATGGAAAGGATAACCACAATTTTTAACTAAAACATCTAATAATGATAATGCAAAGATTGAAGTATGACTATCTCTGCTATTTATAAGACTAACAATGGTGACTGCAGCTTCTCTTGGACTAAAGAAATTGTCAGTTAGTAAGTTAATCAATTGATCATAGAAATTATATTAATACTCACGTCCCACCTTGCTTTTCATTAATATAATCAGCAACAGCCAAGTTCAATCCTAAATCAGGTTCAGCCAATGTGGATCTACAAGCTCTGTCTAGATATCACAAGAGTTAGTACAATTGAATTCTTTAAATTTTAGTATCCCCCAATGATCTGGTGTCAAAAAACACATCAAATGATCTAATCATTAATGAACCCTTTTATGACACCATTAGGAAAATCCCAAACCAAATTACCCAAAACTTACAGATTTTTCTAACAATGGACGTGGCACCACTAGGATATGCTCTTTCCCCGTACGACATGCTCTATAAATATTCAATCTCTTTCAAATCTCGAGGATTCTCAATCTTTTGCTTATAATTGCAAACTACTTTTTAGATTCCAATTCGATTCAATTTCCAATTCAACTTCCCACAATCAAAGCAGCGAAATCTCCTTTACGGGAAATTTGGGAAACCCGTAAAATAAATGACAGAAAAATGAACCAAAGGGAGGGTAAATCACTTACGAAAGTGGTACGGGCAGAAAGGTAATAGACATTCACAAAATTTAATTATTTGGTACTCATTGATTCAATTCAATCAAAGGTGCTCTGAAAATCAGCACAAGAGACCATGTCCAGAGATGATGGTTCAATCCAGAGATCACACGAGGCACTCAGTGGCGGGTCCACTGTCAACACAAGCTCAGACGATTTGACATCTTTACCAGCAGATCAAGAATTACTTATTGGAGAAGATCAACAAAAATCTAATTATAATGAAGAAGAAGATGATCCATTAGGTGTCAAGAGATTAGCATTAAGCTTTGATTATCTACTATACAAAATCACCGAGAAAGTTGATTCATTGGCTCAACAAACTGAATTAAGTGTATTGAGTAAAAAAAATCAAGTTGATGTTCAATTAATTGATGTAGAAAATTCAATGAATAATTTGAAAAATTTAATTAAAAATTGTGATGAATTAGATAATGAATTTTCCATGGTTGAACAAATTAATTATATTGTTAATGATTTCAAACATAGAATTGCAGATTTGGAAAAGAAAGTCACACAAAAGTGAATTTGAAAATTAGCTACATGAATACTTTTAAAATAAATATTACAAAGATCCATTAAAACATCTATATATACCCATAATTCAAATCATAACCTCATTAAGACAAAGCACACACCAAAAGCCATAAATTCACATCACACATCTCAATAATCATCAATTGCCAGTTTAAATTTTAAATCTTCAATTTTTTTATTCCTTATTGAACTATAATCAGTTTTCCTTTTAATTCTAACTGCTGCAACCACAAATTTAAAGATTATTTTTAAGGATGGTTTTTTATTACTTATTAATTCATAATCTGGATAAATACCAGCTTGTTGTAATTTTTTAACATCTTTTTTCAAATGTGAATTTGTTGCTTGAATTGATTTCAATATGAATGAATTTATGAACTTTAAATCATTTATAATGTAATTAGATTTATTTAATTTCATTCTATAAAGATCAGATTGGTCTTGAATCATTAAATATTCTTTATTATTATCGTTATGTGAAAAATTATTATTTGATTTTTCATTTATATTTAAAGTATTTTGTAAATGACGATATTTTTTAATAATTTTCTCCATTTTATTCTCTAAATTCAATTTATCTTGACGAATTTCTGAATATTTGAAAAGTAATTCATTCTTCATATCATTAAATTCAATATTAATATTTTCTAATTGTTTTTCTTTTTTAGAAAGTTCATATTGAAGTTTTTGTGAATCATTATTATTATCAAGAGAAACTTTATAATAAATTGAATCTAATTGTTTCTTTTGATTCATTAATTCATGACTTAATTTTCGAACTTTATTATCAAGTTTTTTATTATCTTCAATAATTATGAATTTATTAGATTCTAATTTATTAATTTCCTTTTCTAATAAATGTATAGTATCAATAGACTCACTTAATTTATTATTTAATATTTTAATTTTCAAGTTTTTATCATCAATCTTTTTAATTAAAATATCAAGCTCATCATGTGATTTTTTATCAATTGAAGATGAAGAAGAAGATGATGTAGAGTTCTTCAAATTTTCCAATAACTTCTTATAACTTTGAATTTCATTTTCATGACCGGTTTTCAAACCTTCAATTTCAATTTTTAAAGCTTTAATTTCATATTCTCTTTTATTCTTTAATTTTAACGCTTCTAATTTTTCATTATCAATTTGTTCAGTTGTTGAAGTTTGCATGAATTTTAATTCTCTATTAGCTTTATGTAATTCATCTTCTTTTTCATTTAAAAGATCATTTAATTTTGCCAATTCTTTCTTATGTTTGAAAGAAATTTGAGTTAATTGATTATTTTTTTCAGTTAATTCTAATTGAAGATCATTGCATTTTGAAGTTAAATTTTTAACTTCAGCTTTATCAAAGGAATTTGTATCAATTGACTTATTATTCAGTTTTTTAGAAAGAGTTTTATTTTCAACATTCAACTCTTTAATTTGATTTGAAAGATAATCAATTTCAGATTTCCAAATATCTTCCAGTTTTTCTGTATCGTTATGACGTGTTTCTTTAGTTGTTGATTGAGATTTTTTCAAATCAGTATATGCCTTATAAGTTCTTTCATTATTATTTCTTAATGCGATGATTTCTTTATCCGATTTAATCAGTTGTTTTTGTAATGAATCACGTTCGAATGATACACTTTGTAATTCTTTTTCAAGACCAATAATTTGATTTTTCAAATCTTCAACAAATTCATGAACTTGTTCATTAGATGAGTTATTAGAACGTAATTTTTCAATAAGTTGAGATTGTGAATCAATTGTTTGATTTAAATGTTTGATTTGGGAATTTGACTTGGAAAGTTGTTGATTTAATTTTTCTAAATCATCTTCTTTCGCATGAATTTTTTGCAATAAAACTCTATTATGATCTTCTAATTTTTGGAAATTTTCTAAATATTTATTATTTGATTCTTGAGATTTTGATTCCATTAATGCATAAAGCTTATCCTTTTCCTCCTGTATAGATTTATAATTTCCTCTCAATTCTTTAGCGTTATTAGCAACTTCATCATATTGATCTTGTAATTTGGCAAATTCTTCATCTTTTTTTCTAATAATAGCTTTCAGATCATCTAATTCTTCTTCAATTTCATCTTGTTGTTGATCACTTAAATTTTTATGAGTTTTCAATAAATTTTCCATCTCTTCAACTTTATCTTCATATTGATCTAGTTCTTCATTTCTCATATTTAGTTCACGTTCAGTTTCATATAACTTATCTTTAACAGTTTCCAATTGTTCTTCTAATCTATCAACAAATGATTGTGATATAGCATTATTATCTTGTTCACTTTTATGAACATTTTGTAATTCTTTAATGGTAGCATGAAGTTCTTCATTTTCATTTTCTAAATCATATAAATCTTCATTTGATTGTTTCAAGTTTTCATTTTCTTTTTGTAAATTCATAATTTGATTTTGATATTGAAGTATTTCATCAGAATTATTATTCCCATTGGATGGAATTTGTTGTTGTTGTTGATTTTGTTGTTCTAATTCTTTTCTAGCATCAGAAAGTTCTTGATTTAAAAAGCTTAGTTCACCTCTCATTGCAATCATTTTTTCTTGTAATTCAGAATTTTGTTTATAAATTTCTTGTTGATCATTATTTGTACAAGCATTTACAAATCTTTTAAGACTTGAGATTTCAACTCTTAAATTATAATTTTCATCTTGTAATTTTGAGACGTTTGCTTGTTGATATTTAACAGGATTTGAACCATCGTTTAATAAATTATGGTTATCAAACTTATTAGGTATAGGTGATGAAGTTTTCCCCTTATTATTATTATTACCATTTTTATCTGAATAATTTATAGTATCAAATGATTCAGGTTCTATGAATGATGAGCCACCTCGTATAGAGTTTTCTAAAGGGGATTGATCAAATGGATTTCCTCTTAATGTATCTTGATGGAATTTATTACCATGTTTTTTAATAGTTTGAGATTTTGGATCTATATTTTCATTATTTTTACTATAACCAATTGGTGTAAATTCAAATGATTTGATCTTTTTGGCTCTATCATTAGGTGTACCAATCAATGGTTTATTAGACCTGAACATAATACCCAATACAACCCAAATAAAAACCAAATAAAACTAATATTTAAAATACAATCCAAATTGAAATGCGCGTAATGAAAGCAAATAATGAATGAATATGTGTGAATTTTTAGACCTTCTTCACAGTAGCAATGAGCAGAACAACAAAAAACCAGAACCTAACGGGTGACGAATGAATGGACAAGAAGAACAAGTGATCTCTTTGAAATGGTTGATATCGTTGGTTTCGTAAAATACTTTCTTTATTTACAATTTCTTTGTTTACGTTTTGTGATTTTAAAAACAATTAAGAAATTCGCGGATATCTGGTGCGGTCGGAAGTTTCTTATTTGGCCGGTATTTACCTATTTAGGAGTAACTAATGTTGTTATGGTAACTTTAAAAATCTAATATAATACAAATTTATTTAATTTAATCTATTTTATCTATTTGAATGGTTATGTTCATGTCTATTCATTCAAAAAATCATATTCTTCAATGTTTTGTTTAAATTTATCCAATGCTTTCAAAGCAGCACCTGATTTAATAGATTTTATAGCTAATTCTTTACCATGTTTCCAATCTTTAGCTTCACCACTAATCACAGCTAAAGCAGCAGTATTTAATGTAATATAATCAAATACTGGATGACCTTCATCAAATTTATTATTCAAGATTTCAATTAATAAATCAGCATTTTCCTTTGGAGTACCAGATTTAACTGATTCAATTGAATGTTCATGAATATTAAAATCACTTGGTTGTAAAAATTCAATTGAAATTTTTTCTAAATCAGGATCAACAATCCAAACTTTAGTTTGACCAATTGGACTTATTTCATCTAATCCAATACAACCCCAAACAATCATTGATTTTGCTTTTCTACAATTTAATTTATCTAATTTCAATACAGCTTCAGCGAAAACTTGACCTAAACTTTCAGAATAAACACCAATAATACGAGCTTTTAATGGAGCAGGATTTAATAAAGGACCCAGTATATTGAAAATTGTTGGTATACCAATTGCAGTTCTTATTTTAGCAACTTTTTTCATTGCACTATGGAAATTTGGAGCGAAAAGGAAAACAAATTTTGATTTTTTCAATATTGATGAAGCAGTTTTATTTGTAACTTTTGATAAATCAACACCTAAAGAACCTAATAAATCACCAGACCCCGAAGTAGAAGTTGAAGCTTTACCACCATGTTTACAAACATCAATTCCTATACCAGCAGCAACAATTGCAGAACTTGTACTAACATTAAAAGTATTTTGTCCATCACCACCAGTACCAACTATATCTACATAACCTTGAGGATCCACATCTAAAGGATTTATAATATCTGAGTATTCCAATACTCTTGACGCAGCAGCAGCAATAAATTCTGGTTTATGATCTAGACCTTTAATTCTTAAAGCTGTGAGGAAACTTGCGATTTGAACATCTGAAGGTATACCTTGTACTATAAGTTTAATGACTAATGATAGATCATCTGGTTTTAAATTTGGAGGGTCTAATAAAAGCGATTTGATGAACGGAGTGAGCACTGAGTCTGGATTGAGTGACATGTTACCAATCTAAACCTTGATCTATATATCTCTATCTGATCCCTTGATATGATCTGATGTCCATTGTCTAGTCTTTTGATCTTCTTTTGATGGTGTTTTGAAGTTTCATTTTCGTTTCTAAAGTGGTGTTCGGATTGCGCGAATTCTTGTGATTCTCGATTTCTTTGATTTTCAAATTCTGTTTTGATACGAAATTTACAAAATTCTGATTTGAATGTTTACTTTGAAAACCTCCTTTTACAAAACTCCAAAGAGACTCAGGGGAATTGGCTTTTGAAAAGTTGGTTCTATAGAGAGACAGCGGAGAGCACAGAGTTATTGTTATACAAAGACATTACTATACACAATGGTTGAGCCAATTGGGATATCTTCTTTACCAAATCAAAGGTACGTGTCGAGGTTTTTTTTTTCGTGTTCTATATATATAAGAATATGGAATATGGAATATATTTGATCTGGATTCATTACTAACATTCCACAGGTACAAAATTGTTACCAAGACTGGTGGTCATTTAACTTTAATGGTTGCTGGTGAATCTGGGTTAGGTAAAACTACATTCATTAATACCCTTTTCCAAACTTTATTAAAACAACCTTTAGATAATAGATCAAGACATAAACGTGGAATTCGTTCAACTACAGAAATTGAAATTATAAGAGCTGAATTAGAAGAAAAAAATTTTAAATTAAGAGTTAATATTATTGATACCCCTGGTTTTGGTGATAATATAAATAATAAAAATTCATGGCAACCAATTGTGGATTTTATTGATGATCAACATGATTCATTCATGAGACAAGAACAACAACCTTTACGTCATGCTAAACATGATTTAAGAGTACATGCTTGTCTTTATTTCATAAGACCAACTGGTCATTCTTTAAAACCATTAGATATTGAAACTATGAAGAAATTATCCACAAGAGTTAATTTAATTCCAATTATTGCTAAAAGTGATACATTATCACCAACTGAAACTTCAGAATTTAAAAATAGAATTAGATCTGTTATTGAAGCTCAAGAAATTAGAATTTATACTCCACCAATTGAATTAGATGATCAAGCAAGTGCTGAACATGCTAAACAATTGATTGAAAGTATGCCTTTTGCAATAATTGGTTCTGAATATGAATATGATAATGGTAAAGGTGAATTAGTTAGAGGTCGTAAATATCCTTGGGGTATTGCAGAAGTTGAAAATGAAACTCATAGTGATTTTAGAAAATTAAGATCTTTATTATTAAGAACAAATTTATTAGATTTAATATTATCTACCGAGGAATTACATTTTGAAACTTATAGAACTTTAAGAATGGAAAATAATGATGGTTCAAGTGATACTCAAGGTGGTATAACAACTTCAAGAAAATTACATAATCCTAAATTTAAAGAAGAAGAAAATGCATTGAAAAAATTCTTTACTGATCAAGTTAAAGCTGAAGAACAAAGATTTAGACAATGGGAACAAAATATTGTTAATGAAAGAAATAGATTAAATGCTGATTTAGATGAAATTCAACAAAAAGTTAAAACTCTTGATGAACAAGTTAAAGCTTTACAATTGAAAAATAAGCGTTGAACTCAAATAAGCTTTGAACTTAAAGGGAATAAATATTAAATTAAATGTAAACTAAAAAAGACAGTTTGGAAAAGACTAATAATATATTGTATAGTTTGAATTATAAGAAAATGTGTTTTGATTGAATTTCATGTTGTAAATATGGTGAAAAAAAAATAACTAATCGTATGATTGACGCGATTTTTGAAATTTACTATGGCGCGACGACGCGACTACACAATGGTACAATAGTACGATACACAATACACCAATTTCATAAACTCATCTATAATATTATTATTTATATATATATTTATATACGTTTAACCATTTATTCTAATTCAGCTAAATATTTTTCAGCATCTAAAGCAGCCATACAACCAGTACCGGCAGATGTAATAGCTTGTCTATAACGTGAATCTTGAACATCACCTGCAGCGAAAAATCCTGGAACTGAAGTTAATGTTGAACCTGGAACAGTTTTAATATAACCACCTTCATCAGTATCAACTTGATTTGCAACAATAGCAGTAGCTGGGGTATGACCAATTGCATAAAATAATCCATTAACTGGTAAATCTTTAACTTCATTAGTTTTAACATTTTTAATACTTAAAGCATTTAATAATTTACCATCACCTTTAGCTTCTAATGATACAGTATCAAATAAAATTTCTAATTTTTCATTTTTTTCAACTCTTCTTTGCATAATTTGTGAAGCTCTTAAATGATCTTTTCTAACAATTAAATAAACTTTTGAACCATATTTTGTTAAAAATAATGCTTCTTCACATGCTGAATCACCACCACCAATAACTGCTAATGGTTTATTTCTAAAAATTGGTACAGCACCATCACAAACAGCACATGCAGAAATACCTTGTTGCCAATAAGTTTCTTCACCTGGTAAATCTAATCTTTTTGCTGAAGCACCAGTAGCTAAAATTATAGAATCAGTTGTAATTGGTTCAGCATCTTCATTCCATTCAGTCCAAAATTTAAAAGGTTTTGATGATAAATCAACTTTTGCAACAGTTTCAGTAATAACTTCAGTACCAAATCTTTCAGCTTGAGCCTTCATTTTTTCAACTAATTCAGTACCAGTTAAACCATCTGGGAAACCTGGATAATTTTCAATTTCTGTAGTTGTAGTTAATTGACCACCTGCTGCGATACCATTAGCTAATAAACCTTCATATAAAAATGGTTTAATTTCAGCTCTTGAAAGATATAAAGCAGCAGTTAAAGCAGCTGGACCACCACCGATAATTGTAACTTGTTGATGAACCATTCTATTAATATTTATGTAGTTAATGTGTCTAGATTGTCTAAACTTTGATAATAATTGTCTTTGAAACACTTTGATAGTTATAATTCAATAATTTTTTGAAAAAGGGTGGTAATATCACTTCTTTTATATCGTTTAATTTAAAATTTATACCGTTTGTAATCCTGGAACTTCTCGAATCTTTGAAAAAGGAACTTTTTGAATTTTGTTAGTAATAAAATTGCCGACTAGATTTTAAAATTTAAAATTTGACAAATTCTACTGAATCTAGAAATTTAAAATTGAAAAGTCATGTGATGGTTACTACATTGGGGAATAATGGCACTTTAATGGCACTATTGGCACTCACATTTACTATTTAAAGTAATTTGTGTCGTTTTATATTACGCCATTACCCGATACAGTATCTACCGAGGGTACTCGAGGGCATTTAGTCACATGACAGATCTAATCACATTTCCCAAAAGGGTAATTTGTAAATACAAAAACAAATGTTTCCATCACAACCAGGAAAAAGATACAAATATTTACGTCTCATCAAAAATCAAAATCAAAATACACAAACAATTGATTTGAATTGTTTTTGTGGAAAATAAACACTGATATTAAATCCCATAGCAACACCACCACCGCCAGTGACCACCACCACCAACACAAGAAAAAGTCAACAGACCTTAACACAAAAACTTGTGTTTTCACATTCGCTTATCATTCATATACCTGGTTTTGTTTCACTTTGTTGATATTACTTTTTTTTTTCAATATACCATATCAACACTTTTGTTTTGGTTTTGAAAATATAGCTAAGATACATATAAACACAACAATATAATTGGCTTCATTTCATATTTTTATTTAATACATCATGCCCAAAAGAGTTAAAGTTGATGCTATAGAATTTTTAAGAGGTCGTATTTACCTTGGTGTTTATGATAATATCCCTCAAGATACTGATGAATTAGTTCATTTCACAATTGAAGATTCTTTACCTTATAATTCATTCAATCTGGATTTTGGTCCTTTACATATTGGTCATCTTTATAGATTTGCTGTTGTACTTCATAATATCTTAAATGAAGATTCAAATCAAGGTAAAGCTATTGTTTTTTATTCTTCAAGTGATTCAAAACAAAGATCTAATGCTGCTTGTTTATTAGCTTGTTATATGATTTTAGTTCAATCTTGGTCTCCTCATCAAGTTTTACAACCTTTATGTCAAATTGATCCACCATTTATGGGATTTAGAGATGCTGGTTATTCTCATGCTGATTTTGAAATTACAATTCAAGATATTGTTTATGGTGTTTGGAGAGCAAAAGAACGTGGATTAATTGATTTGACAAATTTTAATTTAGAAGAATATGAACAATATGAAAGAGTTGATCAAGGTGATTTTAATGTTATTTATAATAATTTTATTGCATTTGCTTCTCCACAACAATCTCCAAAATCTTCAAGTTTAAATCAACCTTTTAAAAAAGTTTTAGAATATTTTGTTAAAAATGATGTTCAAATGGTTGTTCGTTTAAATTCTCATTTATATAATAAGAATGAATTTGAAAAAAAAGGTATTCAACATTTAGATATGATTTTCGATGATGGTACATGTCCAACTATGGATATTGTTAAAGATTTCATTGGTGTTTCAGAAGGTGTTATTAAAAATGGAGGTAAAATTGCAGTTCATTGTAAAGCTGGTTTAGGTAGAACTGGTTGTCTTATTGGTGCTCATTTAATTTATACACATGGGTTCACTGCTAATGAATGTATTGCATATATGAGAATGATTAGACCAGGTATGGTTGTTGGTCCACAACAACATTGGTTATATTTACATCAAAATCAATTTAGAGAATGGAAATTCACAATGGTTTTAGATAATCAACCTTTAGAAAGATTAAATGGTTTTACAACTTTAATAAGTTATGAAGATTTTAAGAAAAAAAAACAATTAGAACAAAATAAAAATTCACCATCAACTCCAACAAGAAGAAAAATTAGTATTGGTACTACTAATTTACACAAGAGTGTTCATAAAGCTGTTCCAATGGAATCACCAGGTCAACCAAGAAAAACTTCACCTCAAAGAGCAAGACATTATAATGTTAATTCAGATGATGAAGATAATTCATATTCTAATAAAGATTTAAATAATGAAGAAGTTGAAGCTGAAATTTATAATTCAAAACAAACCCCAATTAATGATGAAAATAAAGAAAATCCAAATCCAACTGTTCAATATACCAAAACCATTACAACTACTAAAACAACAACAGTTACATCACCACCATCATCTAAAGAATCAATTCAACAACTCCTGCCAAAACAAAGAGGTAGTAATAGAGTTACTTCAGGTGCAAGAGTAAGATCTAAATTAGCAAATCAAACTACTGGTTCATCAATTATTGGTCATGGTGGTGTGAAAAAAAACACTACTTCTAGATCAAGTAGTGGTGTTCAAAAAGCATTAAGATAATGAATTTAAAGATTTATGATGATAATGGACTATTATACAATTTAATACCCCTTTTTTTCATATATACATTTGTAAATTAGATATAAATTAAAAAAAAACACAAGAATCATTCTTTCGTGTGTGAAAGATTTATACCAGTTTTCATTCAACAAAAAAATAACATATAATTCTCTTTCAAAAGATTTTGTTTAGTGTCACGTTATTCAACGTGTATTGTTTTAATATTAGTCATGTTTGTATTCAATTTTAATTTGATATTACATTCAATTATTGTAGTGTATGAGCTTTATAAAGATATTCATATATTCATTTCAATAAAATTACTCCAGCAGATTATTCATACACAGTTAAATAAAAAAAAAACGAAAGGTTAACCAATGCAATACTTCATAATTCATAATAAAATTAATAGCAAACTTTTAATATCAGATATCAATTCATCAATCCAATCCGATATATAACATGAAAATAGATCACAATCATTGGAATGCAACTTGACTAAAGATGGAAATAGCTTTATCAAAACCTTGTTCCCATTCCCAAATGAAATTTGAATTACCTCTATTTTGAATATGTTCAGCTCTTCTAGCACTTTTCCATGCACTTAATCTACCAATCTTGGAACCATTAAATTGACCAAAACTTTGAGAATCTACCCAAGCAGATGTAAATCCTTCTTGATATCTCCAATGTTCATATTTTTCATTTGGATTTTGACCATCCCAATATGATGAATGTTGATTTAATTCATTATTTAAAATACTATTGAATTCATCTTCAGTTGGAACTTTACTTAAACCTGTTGGATGAGCAGGAATTGCACCACTATTAACTGAAGGATAAAATCCCCATTCACCACCATCACCATGTTCAAATTTTAAAGTCCAGAAATAAGTACCTGTACTTGCTCTTTCTGCAAAGATTCTTGATAATTCATTACCATATTGATGAACTAATTGAGCACGATCACCGCTAGTTTTATTCCAAGATTCACCATCTAAAACTAATGAATATTCACCAACAATAATATCAGCAGGACCTGATAAATTTGTTAAAACATCACCATCAAGATCTTTAATAATTTGTTCTGGAGATTTTGCCTTATCAGCATCACTAAAGCAACGATAAACATGATCATCAATAACTAAACCAACAGATTGATTATTTAAATTTTGTTCATTTTCATTAATCCATTTAACATATTGATCTGGCCACCAACCATCAGAAATAATAATTGGAATATTACCATCAATTTGACGAATATGTTTTGTAGCTTTTCTGTAATATTCTTGTTGATTTGATGGATTATTATCAAAATCAATTTCATTAACAATTTGTAAACCAACAACATTTTCTTGATCTTTAAATTCATTTGCAATAAATTCTAAAGCTTGAATTGCAATTTGTTGATAATTTTTATTTGACCAGAATTCTGGTTTATCTAACTTTTGACCACTATGATCACCAGTATTAGCACCACCTGGTACAGCATGTAAATCAACCAAGACACCAATTTCATTATCTTTTGCCTTGTTCACAACATCTTTGATATGATTCCAAGCATTTTTATAAACACCAGCAATTGATGCAAATGGAGTTCCACTTGCAAATGAACCACCATTAACATGCCAGTAACCAATTGGTAATCTAACAGCTTTAACACCTTTACTTTTCAACCAATTCCAATCATCATCGGTGGCAAAACCTGACCAATGAGCTTCTAAATCTTTTTGTGTATTATCAGCACCATTTTGCTTAATATAAGCGGTAATAGCTTCTAATTCAGTACCAGTATTATCAACAAAGAATTTATCAAAGATGAATTTCTCAAGAACGAATTGAGAACCAAAATTAACACCAAAGTTATATCTATTTCTATAGATTGTCTTTTTATCTGGAGCTTGACCTGCTGGGGCTGCTGGTGCAGCTGGAACCAAAGGTTTATCACCTGTGAGCTTCTTTAACTTATCGAATACCATTGTCTATGAGATTGTGTAGTAAGATTGATTGTATATATGACTCTGTTGTTGTTGTTGATGTTGTTGTTCAATTGAGCACGTATATCTTTGTTATTAGCCGCTGTGAACTAAAAGTATAGATCTGAGAATCAGGAAATCACCACGTATTTATATTAAACAATAGAGGAGGGAAATGAGAATCTGCTTGCCGAGCAATGATCAATTGATTTGAATGAGTTTTCAATTTGAGTCCAAAGATGACGTTTTAGTTCTGATCTGATGCACAGCCAAATGGAATTACAATGATTCAATTGATGATTTAGTTTGATTTTACTGGGGAGATCTTGCAAGTTGTGTATTTAGATTGCCATTTGCAATTTGCAATAGATTGCTCGCTTAATTTCAAGATTCCACGTTTTCGCGATGTCATTTGACGTTAATTTCGGTACTACTTTTGGTGTCATGAAAGTAACAATCAATAGAGGTGACTCTTCTCTTGTTGTATTAGAAAAAGGGTCCATGTTCCAGTGGTTTGTATTAGCGTTAGTATAGAGTGAGTATTAAAGCTAGATCGTCCATTTAGGCCAAGCTTGCCGCTAGGGTTGATCTTCTATGAATTTAGTAAATCTGTAATTGAACTAGTGTACTAAGATAATTCGCGGGGATCTTATATTAAGCCTTGAAAGTTGGTATCTTGATGTGGTCTTCAGTATTATAGCTGTCTGTCCAAGAAATAGATTGGTGTGTAATCTGTATTGGTATGGCTTCAGATGAAGGTTTTTCTGGCTTGTTATAATATCAATACAGACGACCTGGATGCAAAACCATCAAGACGCTAAACAATTTGATTTTCAATATGGCACGCGCCATAGCCTTATACAATTAAACTGATATATTCAACAACTTAACTCTATATTCTTAGGATCCTAGCGTAACACTCTGTGAATAACAGCTGAATATATCCCATGAGGAAAAGCTACTTGGCTACCTCTTTGTTTCAAAATTAAGCTTATATTAAATTACAGCAAAATCGCGACCGTTGAATAGAAACAATAAATTTACGATTTCCGGTGCATTCTTCACCTGATATACCCTCGTAACTACCACTGTTTTTTTATTTTTTTCTTCGGGGAGCCCGCATTTAGAGCCAAATTTGTTCAAATCTGTGGAATTTTTTGGTTTACGCAGTGTAGAAATTAAGGAAAGTTTCCTCTTTGGTGGTTTTTCACCGCCTTTTTCCACCCAAAATTTAGGAATAAACTCAAATTTTAATATAATCTTTTGCGTCAAATATAAACATTTCGAATCTTCATATCTCAAAGATCTAAAAGATAAGCTTAATATCAAGATTAGCTCAACTGTTATATTATAGATTTGTTATTTTGTTGGGGGTTCAATCACAACAGTTTTGAGTCCTGACTGTCATCACTTTACTGATATCAAAATATTTTGTTGAAGTTTACGCATCAGATTAATAATTAATTTGGACGTGTATTCATTTTTATTAAAGATGGCTAAAACACAAGACCCTGAAAGATGTGGAACTAAACCCAAAAGACAGCGTAAAGCATTCACCTGTACTTTTTGTAAGGCAAGAAAGATCAAATGTAATAAAGCAAGACCAAGATGTTCAAATTGTGAAAGATTAGGAAGAACGTGTAACTATGAGGTCCCATATTGGGTTAATACTTATGTTCAAAGTTTTAGTGCTGATGATCCAAATGGAACCAATTCAAATGGTCAACAAAGTAATGGGGTTACTCCTCCAAGTTATAATGGGTCAACTGATCCTAATGCTACTGGTGTTTTCAGCGTTAATACTCCATCTGGGCATACTCAAAATATCATTTTAAATTCAACCGGCCAACCTATAACTGATGCACAATTGCAAAATCAACCACCATCTAAAAAATCCTCCCAAGAATCAACACCTCAAGCCCAAATACCAACAGAAGGTGAATCTCAATCCCATTCACTTCCACCACCAGAGAAACTTTCTCAACTACCACCAACTTCAGAATTACCACAGAAGCCAATAACGGATATATTACAAGAACTTGAATTTTGGAAAGCTAAAGCATTATCATCTAATCCAAGAACACCGCGTCAACCATCACTTAAAGGTTCAGTTGCATCAACACCAAGATTTGATCCAAGTGAATTTGGTAGTCATGGTGAAGATTTGATTGATTTCCATGAACAATATGCACAATTTAAAAATTATTTTGGAGGCCATAAACCACTAAGTCCAATGTTTGTCTATAAGGCTGATAACTACATGTCATTGCTATATTGTACAAGATATTTATTGAATTTTGTATCTGAAGAGACATTATCAAAACAAGACCAAACATCATTTGAAGATCAAGCTATAGATCCAATGACTGATTGGGTTTCAATGTTGGGTTCAAGAACTAAAAGTAATAAGTTGAAAGATGAAATTAAACACCTTTTTACTGATCGTGCTGAATTATTTACATCAGACTCATCAGTATCTACAAACTTTAGAGATATTGAGTTTTTGAAAACTAATATTGAATTCATTTTACCAAGAAAGGAAATTTTTGACATGTTATTAAATTTTTATTTCCAATCAATGTGGTATTTAAGACCAATTGTGGATTATGATGAATTTATGAATGAAATTTCAAGAATTGTAATTTTCCAAAATAATTTACCAGAAATTAATATAACAGAAAAAACTGATTTCTTAATATTAGCTCAAATGTTAATTATAATAAGGTATGCCTCAGTTGCTATTTCTATTATAAATCCGAAATATACTTTATCTGAGCAAATATCTCCTTTAAAAGAAGAAATCATTTCAGTTAAGGCCATTACTATTGCACAAAAATGTTTATCAATTTGTGATGTCATTAGAAACACCACATTTCAATCTTTCCAAGCTTTATTGTTATTAAGATTTTATTGTAAAGATTGTCCAGAAGATGGGGATGATTTAAACTTGCAGAAATCACAAGCATTCTTCGGTTTTCTGGTTCAACATGCTTTGAATTTAGGGTTACACAGAGATCCAGCAATTTATGGACAATCTTCAGACATAAAGAATGATAATCTAAGAAGAAATATCTGGCTACTCATTGTTGATTTAGATATGGAATCTTGTATTTTGTCTGGTTCATTAAGTACTATTCCAGCAATATATTTCACAAATGTTAAAAAGCAAACTCTTAATAACCCAGATAATCAATCATCACAATCACAACCACCATCTCCAGAACAAGGTGATCCTCTTTTTCAAGCCGGTCTTGATGAAACTTCAAAAAACTCAACATTACATCAAATTTATCACGGAATCTGTGATTCTATTAATGATCTGACTGAAAAACCAACATTATCCTCTTTGGTTTATAAAATCAGAGAAGCAAGAGTATATGTTGAAAATTATTACAACATAAGCAGTTTCATTTCAACTGAAGGTATTAATGATCCAACTATGAAGAAATCAATTTTCTTCAAGAATCATAAGATTTTAGAAAAAAATATAAATTTATTAAATCTTGAATTGGCCATTTATCAACTTTTATATATTCAATATGAGAATTCCAAGAATGTCAGTAAAGTTGCATTCAAAGCACTTTACAAATCATGTTTGACTTCAGTTTCTCTTGCTACAGATTTGATGAGTGCTTATTTATCAGGTCAATTTGATCAATTTATAGATCATTCATTTTCAGATTTTGCATTGAATCCACTGATCACGGCGTTAACTAATAGAACTTTCAATAGTGTATTCAGTTCCATGTTAAGATCATTACATGGTCGTGAATTATTAATGTGTCATCTATATACACCAGGTTCAAATATTGATACAGATAATTATTTGAGTTTTGTTCAGCCAATTTGTAATATCTGGGAAGCATATTTGAAGATTTATGAAAATACTGTTGGTTCAAAGTATTTGAGTGGGCTTAAATTGATTTGTTCCAGAAGATTTACATTCATGTATCTAAAAGCTGATAGATTTTCATGGATGGATTTGATTATTGATTTTTGTGAAGCTGATATTGAATATGAACGTGATTTAAGCATTTATGAAAGAAAACAAGAAGTTCGTAACATTCTACAGCAAACAACAAGTATGTTTTCAATTTATTCACAATGGTTGCAATTAAGTAAGTCTTATGAAGCAGCAATGAAATTGTTGAAACCAGATGTTAAAAGACGTCATAAGTATTGTTATGCTATTTGCAATTTGAGTCATACAAATCAAACTGCTGAATTTTTTGAAAATGATATCGCTGATATGATTAATGCTGTCAGAACAAATATAAAGTATGTTCCTGATTTACTGAAGTTTGATACATATGTTGGTGATGATCATCCTGATAAAAAGGGTATTCCACCTTCAGAAACTACAGATACTGTATTTGGTACATTAACTCAAGATTCTTCATTCCATGCTCAAATGGCATTTTTAATGAAAGGTACTATTGGTGTTCCTTCAGAGACTGATAACAATAATATAATTGATATTTTTGGACCTACTGTTGAGGTGAAGAAAGAAATGGAAAGACTTTTGACATACTTGTGAAATCCCAGATCCATTAGCTTTTTATACCTACATATATATAGAACAATTATGTATTTTTTCACATATTTTAATGAACCAATGGACTTTCTTATACATATAATTTTCTATACGGTCTTATTTTAATGAATAATGGTTTTATGTTTAATGTTATTTTATAGGCGTTGATGTAATTACAAGATTATGATTCCGACGATAACCGTCCTCGGACGGCTGAAACTGTGACACGGAAACCAAATTTCCTTTTTGGTTCAAGCGCCTAAAACTGTTGATAGAATTGGATAAATATGACACCTTCAACATTGATCATAAATAAACTCGAATTAGGTCTTTGATTCCTTATGATAACCTTAAACACGTCCAGATCTTTCTGATAATGAGCCATTCACTGATCAACAACAAATGATAATGGTACCTGGTAGTTCTAAAATTATACTGGAGAGTCCCGCGTTTAAAACTAAGAGGCAAAGACTAGCTTTTACTTGTGAAGCGTGTCGAAAAAGAAAGATTAAAGTGAGTATATTTCAATTCACTCGATTTATTCAAAAACATTTGTGATCCTAATAATTATTGATTAGTGTGATAAGATTAAACCAAAGTGCTCCACTTGTGCAAGGCTAGGGAAAGAATGCTTGTATGGAACTCCTACGTGGGTCAACACACATTCTGAATGTTTTAAAGTGGTTAACAATGAGAATGGGAATAGACCAAAATCAAAAGAACAACTATTTCAAGAGATTGAGTACTGGAAGACAAAATATGAAGAAGTTGAAAAAACTGAAAAATCTGATGCTTCTGACAAATCATTGGATAATGGTTCGAGATCTAATAGCGTCTATACATCCATATCAGATGTACCACATGAGTCGGATATGATTAATTTCCATGAACCTCAAAATGCAACATATTATCAAGATCAAAATGACGAACAGCTTTTCTCATGGAGTGCTATGAGTGTACACAAGACTAATCACTATATGGAGTTATTTCTTTCGGTTAAATTTCTCTTGCAGTACATGTTAAAAAATGAGATTGATCCCACTTTAGATGATTCATCTAAATGGACGTTACTCTTTGGAGCAAACCTTGAAGATTCACAGGCTATATCTAACATAAAAAGGCTAATACAATACAGAAATGAGCTAGATATTGTTCCAGTGCTCCTGGATGGTGCTGATTTTTCTAAAAGAATGATACCTAATTCTGTTGTAAAGGAAATTCAAAGTCTATTACCCAATAAGCATATATTTTATATGCTTTTAAATCATTTTTTCAATAATATATTTGCGTTAAGGCCCATTGTTGATCAAGGTTTGTTTTTGGATGATGTTCAAAGATTGGTTGAGTTTATTGATTATGACGAAACAGCAAAACTCAAATGTGTGAACACTATGGACATTAGTTTACTAGCTATGCTATTGATTATATTAAGATATGCATTAATTTCAATTTTGGTTGTTGATGATATCGATTTACCTGAAAATCTATTAACTTTGAAGAAAGATCATTGTGTACCTGTACGAGCTGTTTCAGTTGCACAGACATGTCTTACAACATTTGCTTTCGCTCAAAAGAGGACATTACATCAAGTTCAAGCTCTGATATTATTATTATATTATTATAGAGATAGACCTGAAGACTGTTTGGGATCCAGCTTAAGTCAATATCATATGTTACTAGGCCTAGCAAAAGAATCAGCGTTGGCTATGGGCTTACACAAAGATCCAACTTATTATGGTATACCGAGTGAAACACAGCTGGCAAACCTAAGAAGAAGACTTTGGATTTCTATCAACTCTTTAGGCGTGGAAACACAAGTTCTTAATGGCTGGTTGAGAACACTGCTAAGTTCGAGTACGATAAAGGTTAAGGTTCCAGTAATGAGTTTTAAATCACCACTTGATCAAGCAGAAATTGATGAATTAACCCATGATTGTAAACTAGGTGACATTTTCAACTTATTATTTGATCATATAAATAACATTAATGAAAATCCAAAATTAACAACATTGGTTCAATTGTTGAATGAAGCTAGTGATTATGTCGATGAACATTATCCCATATCTAGTCTAAGTGATTTAACAAACCTTGAAGTTGACACACAGTTGTACAAGTCAATTGCATTTAAAAATCAAAAAATATTAGAGAAAACCTTAATTTTGAATTCTATCAAGATTAGATTTTACCAAATAATATGTGGTTACTATGAGGATAATAGATTTGCCAAGCTGGAGGTTTTCAAAGATTTTCACTTCAAGTATATTCAAGTGATTTTTCAAGCGCTAGATATATCAGGAGGGCTCTTGTCAAATTCATTTAGAGCTTATTTAGATCCGCTCAAATCAGGTTTTGCAATTTATCCTTTGGTGACACAACTTTCATACAGAGTAATCAGTGCGCTTCAGGCAACTTTATTGAGTATTTACCATGGTACAGATTTATTGATTTGTCATCTTTATATGTCAAGCTCAGGTGTTGATCGGGATTATTATGAGGAATTGATATCGTTACTATCTAATGCGTTGGATAATCATGTTGAGATACTTCAAAAATCTGTTGGATCCAAAACTTACTCAAGCTTAAAAATTGTTTGTTCATCCAATATCAATAACCATTTATTGAAGTCATATAGGTTTAATTCGCTGACTAGGTTTTGCAACTATTATGATACAATTGATAATGAAGATTTAAATGATGAACAATTTTTACATGAAACAAAGAAAAATCTTTCAGAAAGAGGTAACTCTGCTATTGAGCAAGGAATATTTTCAGCACATACACAATGGTTAAGAATGAGTTCATCTTATAGGGCTGCTCTTAATCCTGAACAACGGGAACATTTCCGATTTTGCAGTTCTGTCGTCAATGTTAGTCATATCAATTTTTTTGCCGAGCTTACAATAGATGAAATTGATAAGATGGTGAACGTTTTCAAACAGACACCAAGCTTTTTTCCGGTTTTAGCTTCTGCATCTTCAGATAGCTCTGTTCGCTTGGAAAATACAGATTTGAGAATTGTTTTAGATACTGTCTTGAAGAAATTTGAAACACAACCAGGTGTTGATTCCTTGATGGACTCGGTATTGAAAGAGGCCAACACTGAGGGAAGTATTCAGAGAGAAGTTACACCTGCAAGTTTGGAAGATCTTGATATCTTATTCCGTACCACTGTGTAGCTTTACTGAAAGTTTAGAGCTTAGAACTTTACACTTAGTAGTATTATATACAAGCTTATCATGAAAGACGTTTATGTATTTGGACCCTTTTTATGCGACTATCCGTAATTTTACGCTATCGACGGGTGAACACTGAAATGGTGTAAAGGTGTAATCATGTTTTCAGTTTTTGAGACCCGAAATTGTTCTGCAAATTGTTTCTTTCAAGTTTCCGCTATATATCGGGATTTGTAAAAGGGGGCCTAGGGATTAAATGAGACTAATACATATTCTATACTAGGGACTAGGGCTTGCACAAGCAGCTTACAAAGTCTTTAGTAATTTTTAATAACGCTCTGGCAGCTCTGGCCGAAAAAAAAAAAGAAACAGTGCTCAGTACTGTAGAAAAATATAAGCTTAAAGTAATAAACAACCTTCTTTGGTTTTCACTGAGTATATAGCAATACTTCTTGTGATAAGTCAAGATGTCTAAGGGCTCTATGATAACATTTGATGGGCCAACCTTCAAGCCCCAGAGACAAAGACTGGCTTTCACCTGTGAGGCGTGTCGAAAGAGAAAGATAAAAGTGAGTTGTTACAGAAAAGCTGATCCTAAGCTAGTTTATCGAAACGATCTTTGAAACTAACATATCGTTTACAAAAGTGTGATAGAATAAAACCAAAATGCTCAACTTGTGCTAGGTTAGGTAAAATCTGCAAATATGAGATCCCACACTGGGTCAATACACATGTTGAAAGTTATACGGTTGTTGATAAAGTTGATGAAGGTCCAAAATCAAGAGAACAACTACATAAAGAGATTGAATTTTGGAAATCAAAAGCAGAAAATCATACTCCTCCAAGTACTCAGCAACTGAATCATATAAGCCCAGAATCATTTAAAGATTCTGTTGGCTCACATGGATCACCATTGACATCTAGCTCTTCAGATCTAATTGATTTACATGAACCTCATAGCTCAACTTATTATCATGAAACAGATTATGAACAACTCTCACCATTAAACCCTTTAAATATTCACAAAACTGATCCTTACATGGAACTATTTTTATGCTCTAAATTCCTTGTTCAAAAAGTATTGAAAAATCAACTTGCAAGTTATTCAAATGATATATCAAAATGGGCACTGGTATTTGGTTCAGCACATCAAGATGAAAACTATTTGAGGAATATCTCAAATTTGATTCACTCAAGAAAGGAAATGATAAACTCAATTCCATTCGTTGGTGCTCTTTTCACTATAGATACCATTTCCGATTACATTGTACGTGAGGCTGAAAGTTTATTACCAGATAAATCCACAGTATATACTCTTTTGGATCAATTTTTTGAAAATATGTGGGCCATGAGACCTGTTGTGGATAAACAATTATTTTTGAATGATCTAGAAAGAATTGTTCAATTTAATAATGATGGGAAAAATGTTAACATCAAACTAGTGAATAGCACCGATGTTACTACTTTAGCAATGCTTTTAATTTTGTTGAGGTATGCATTCATATCAATATCAAATGTGGAAGAAAAAGATCTTCCATCAAAACTGCTTCATATCAAGAGAAATACATATATACCTGTTAAAACTGTCTCTGTTGCATACCTATGTATTTCAGCATTGAGTGCAGGTGAAAAGAGAACATTACATTTAGTTCAAGCTTTGGTTTTGTTGTTGTTTTATTTCAAAGATAGATCTGAAGACTCTGTTAGTTGGAGTTCAAGTCAATATTTCATAATTTTGGGCCTTGTTAAAGAATCTTCAATCGCAATTGGGTTGCATAAAGATCCGATTTATTACGGTATACCGACAGAAGCACATTTAGCAAATCTTAGAAGAAGAATTTGGTTTACAGTAGCCTCTTTAGACACAGAAGCACAACTTTTAGGTGGTTGTTTAAGTACATTACCAATACCAAGTGAAACAAATGTGAATTTCCCAGTAATGAGTTTCAAGACTCCATTAGAGCAAGCTGAAATTGATGAACTCACAAAAGATTCCATATTGTCAGGGATATATAATGGTCTTTGTCATGATGTCAACAATCTCTCCAAGAAACCTGAACTATCATCAATAACAGATCAATTGAATGAGGCCACTTCGTATGTTGAAAAACATTACTTGATATCTAATTTAAGTGATCTTAGATCTTTTGAAGTGGATTCGCAATTATACAAGGCAAATGCTTATAAAAATCATAAAATATTAGAAAAACATTTCACGTTGAGCTCAGTGAAAATAACAGTATTAAAATTAATTTTGGGTCACTATGAAGAAAGTAGATTTGTTAAACTTGAAATTTATAAAGAATTTCTTATGAAATATTCAAAGGAAGTCTTTAGGGCATTAGATATTTCAGGTGGATTATTATCAGATGCATTTGCAACAAATTTGAATCCATTACTATCAAACTTTGCAATTTATCCATTTACAACACATATTAGTTATAAATTAATTAATTCACTTCAAGCAATGTTGATGAATATTTTCCATGGTCAAGATTTAATGATTTGTCACCTTTATACTTCAAGTTCAAATGTTCATAGAGATTATTATGAACAATTTGTTGCAATCATATTTAATATTTTAGATAACTATATTGATACTGTTAAACAATCAGTTGGATCTAAAAATTATGATGCATTAAGAATTGTTAGTGCTGCAAATATCAATAATTATTTCTTAAAAGCACACACATTTTTTGGAACCACAAGATTTTGCAATCATTATGATAATATTGATAGAGCTCGTTGGAGTATGAATGAAGATCAATTCTGGAATGAAGCCAAAGAAGGGATGACTAAAGGTAATTCATCTTTGGAACGTGGTTTGTTTTCAGTTCATACAAGATGGTTAAGATTAAGTTCATCTTATAGAATACCGGTTGCTAAATTTTCGGATAAATATAAGCGTGATGATTCAGGACTTTGTATTTCTGTGGTGAATGCTAGTAAAATTAATCAATTTTCAGAATTGAACAAGGATGAAATTGATACATTGATTGAAATTTTCTCCCAAAAGCCTCAATATTGTCAAACTCTTACAGTATGGACAGCTAGAACGTCCAATGATATAGTTGGTGCAGAATTGGGACAACATTTGAACGCTGTTATGCAAAATTTTGGAACACAACCAGCTATGGACAAATTGATGAATGAAGTATTAAAAGAAGCGAATAACCCTGATCTAGTGCAAAGGGATGTTACTGCTGATAGTTTAGATGCGTTAGATCTTTTGTTCAAATGATATACAACACAATTTAGAAATTATTTACGAATATTAATGACTTTTTACCAATAATCTTATGAATATATTAATTGTAGTGATCTTAAAGACACTTTGACGATGGCAGTCAAATTTTGGCATTTTTCCAAATTTTTTAAAATTATGTGAGAATGGGCGGAGCTAAGACGGGTGTAAACAACTAATTCTTCCTGATAAGTGCCTACATCCAACGTCTAGAAACGCATCAAAAGCTCAAAAAGTTTTATTAAGAGAAACTGAGGTTGGAAAGTTTTGTCTGATCAAAGTTTGAAAGTTTTGATTCAAGTATTTTGCATGGAATCAAGAGCTTTATCGTTCAAAGAGGCAATCAAAATGCCGGAAGTGGAAGAGAAACAGAAGAGAAAAAGACAAAGACTGACTTATACCTGTACATTTTGCAGAAAGAGAAAGATTAAAGTGAGTATGACGTTCATGTGGTTGTTCCTGAGCTCAGTGGTTTGCTAACAATGTTAAATAGTGTGATAAAGCCAAACCAAAATGTTCAAATTGTGTACGATTCAGTAGAGATTGTGAATACGAGTCGCGTTATTGGGTAAATACGAGTGTTGATGATCAGGATTCAATGACTACCGATGTGAACAAATCAAATGATCTGGAATCTAGAAGTAAGAATGACCTCTTTGAAGAGATACAATTTTGGAGATCTAAAGCCATTTCAAATGGATCACCTTCTGGTGCTTCTACATCAAAAACAACAATTCAAGAATTATGCAAATCAACAACTCCCACAAATGGAAATAACACAAACATACCCAATTCACTTGTCTACTCAGATCTGGGGGATCATTCAAATGATATCATCGATTTTTATGAAGGATATGAACCATTAAACTTTAAACATTCAAGTTTGGAAGAACAAAAACCTTTAAATCCAATATCTATCCATAAAGTGGATCATTATATGGCTTTTTTCCTTTGTTATAGATTCATCACACTTAAAATTGTATCTGATAGATTCTCAAAAGTAATCGAGCAAAGTTGGAAATCAAATCATACTGATGGTTATACAAAATGGGCTTTTTTACTTGAAGGTGCTGAAAATAACACAGAAATGAAGAAAATAATTGAACGTGTGGTTAAGGATAGAGTTGATCTATTTCAAACTAATATTTTCCCATTTCAGCATCTTCAAGAATCAAATGATGAATCAATTGAATATTTGATCAGTGAAATTGAAGCTGTTTTACCGGGAAAACTTGTTTTCAATTCTTTATTAGATCATTTTTTCAAATACATATGGGTATTAAGACCTTATATTGATGAAGATATCTTTCTTCAAGATATTCAACGATTAGTGAGTTTCAATAATGAATCATTGAAGGCTAAAGTACGTGTTGAACAGAGACAAGATTTTGCAATTTTAGCAACATTGTTGATTATTTTAAGGTATACATCAGTATCAATTACAATTACAGATGAAACTCATTTATCACGAACTTCAGTCCTCTTAAAGAATCAAATTGTACCTGTGAAAGCTATCACTGTTGCACAAATGTGTGTTTCTATTTATAAAATCGTGAAAAAGACATCATTAGAGATGATACAAGCCTTATTATATTTAAGAGTTTACTTAAAAGATTCACCTGAAGAAGGAGATGGCTTAACTTTAGGTCAATCACAAATGCTTTTCGGTTTTATTGTACAATCAGTCATGATGGTTGGTATGAATAGAGACCCAATGTATCATTTAGGATTTAGTGATATTAAATTGGCAAATACAAGAAGAAGAATATGGCATGCAATTCGCTCATTGGATATCCAAACATCAATTCTTTCTGGTACAGTTGGGGTGTTACCTCCAAAACATTTAACATCTGTAAAATTTCCAGTTATAACACTTGGTGATCCTTTAGAAAGGGCTCAATTAGATGAAATGAAGAAAGAATCCGGTTTAAACGAAATACATGAGGAACTTTGTGATGCTATTAATAATATGGAATCTAAACCAACTTTACTCGAAATTGTATCGATTTTGGATCGTGCAAAAGACTATGTTGAAAATGTTTATCCAATGGCTCCAATGCATCCAATTTCAGGTCTAGACAGTGATTCCCAACTTTACAAGGCTTCCATTTTAAGAAATCATAAAATTTTGGAGAAAAGGTATTTACAATCATGTGTTGAAATCATAATTTATCAATTTTTATTTGTCAAATATGAAAATAATAATAAATTAGATTTGAATTTATTTAAACTTTTCACTAAAAAATGTGTTTCAAGTATCGTTCAAGCTTTAGATCTTTCAGGTGCATATTTGACCGATGCTTTCAAAGCATATTTAGATCCTGCACAATCAAACATTGAATTTTATCCATTGATTTCTTCTGTTTCTTATAGAGCTTGTAATGCTCTTCATGCCATTATGTTAAGATCATATCATGCACAAGAGTTGCTAACCTCACAATTTGGTTTGGCAACGTCAACATTAGGGCTACAGACATATCTAGAGAGATTTATCAAGCTATTAAATGCTATTACTGAGGTGCAATTGAAAGTTTATGAAGATCACATTGGTGTTAAATATCATTTATCATTAAAAGTTGTATGTGCTTCTAAATTTGCATTCAACTCGTTAAAAACGCATAAATTTGCAGTTTTACAGAAATTAATTGCATTCTTAGAGACTGATGATGAAAAACAAGTATCAGAAATCTTTAATAAACCATGTACAAAAGAAGAAATCAAACAAGTTTTCGCAAACAATAAAAGTTGGTATCCAGTTTATACACAATGGATGAATATAAGTAAAGCTAAAGGTGTGGGATCAAGTAATGCTCAACAACAGAACAAGACATTTGGAAACTTGGATTTATCAGACCCTATTGTTAATGTGAACAATACAAATCATATGATCAATTTTAATGAAGGTGATATTTCAGAGCTTATGAGTATTATCTCAAATGGGTTTAGATATTTCGCAACTTCTGCAGATTTAACCGGTTTGAATGACTCAGATACTTCATCAACTGGTAATACTTCAACATCTGAATTTGATAATCTTTATGATCGATTTTCTCATGATCCAATTTTCAATGCACAAATGTCAAATTTTGCCTTACAAAGAAATCCAAGTGGTCAACGTCCAGAATTTGGACAATTGGGTAATGAGTTTATCAATGATTTTTTTAGTCCCGCAATCGATAAGATGGTTGATGTCGAAGATTTCCCTAAGAATTCATTATGGTAGAATTTTTGCAATTTTGTATAGATAATTATTACAATCTATCAATTAACGTTACAACTGTATAAATTTCACCCGATCAGTAATATGAAACGTGATCCATAAGAATTGTCCGTGCAAATTGTAAATTATATGATCTGTATCATCTCACTGAATTTGCTCGAGGTGGTCTTTATCGAAGTTTTGAATATGAAGATTGATATGAACCGCTTTCTGTAAAGACGGGTGAAAGCAACTTAAGCAGTTTTTATTTCCGCACCTGAAATAAAATTCTATAAAGACTAAATGAAATCTCTTACCACCTAGTGGAAATCAAGTATCTTGAAAGTAATTTCTTCTCTTTCATCAACTATATTAAAATAGACATGATCTTGCAAGTTACGCTTTTACCTGTTACAAAGCTTAGTGGTAATGAGTGAACAGTTTGTGATCAATAATGTCGGTGAAGCGCCTAGTGAGAAACCAAAACGCAAAAGACAAAGAACAACATTGACCTGTTTATACTGCAAGAAGAGAAAAATCAAAGTAAGTTTAATTTGAACACATTTTTTAACTTCAGTGATCTGGCGTCTAACATATGCTACTAGTGTGACAAGGCAAAACCAAGGTGTTCCAATTGCCTGAAGTTAGGGCGTGTATGTGAATATGAGAAACCAACTTGGGTGAATACAAGTATCAACCAAGAAGAGGTGAAGACAGATGTTATCGTGGATAAAGGGTATGCTTCAAAGACTAGAGATGAGTTATATCAAGAAATTGAGTATTGGAAGGACCAAGTATTGAACAGTCAGTCAAATGTGAGAAATGGTGATGATGGAAATGATAAACATGACGCTGAAATCAGTGTCACTCTAAGATCAACAGGTTCTGATAGTTTAGATCCGTTCTATGGCTGCGGTTCAGATACTCTTGACTTTTTTAAAATCTATGATAGTTTGGCACTAAAACATTCCAGTCATGAAGAATACAAACCTTTGAACAATATGGTTGTGTATAAACTTGATCCATATCTGTCATTTTTCCTATGCTTTAGATTTATTACTATACAAGTTGCATCTACACCAACTCCACAAACCATGAAACAAAATTGGAAAACAAGACATCCATTTGGTGAGAGTAAATGGTTTTCATTGTTAGATATGGATAATGGTGATTCAAATTTAAAAAATTCAATTCAAAGAATAATGTCCGATAGGTCTGAACTATTTGGTACTAATATATTCCCATTCATGAGCTTTAAGATTACAGATGATGGAAATATTCAATTTTTGATACAAGAAATAAAAGAAATCATACCCACAAAGATTGATATGGATACATTGCTAATATTTTATTTCAACAATATGTGGATATTAAGACCATTTGTTGATGAAAATATGTTTTTTAATGATATTAGAAGAATTATTACATTTGATGATGATGGTCTAAAACCGGAAGTCTCCTTAAGTGAAAGACGTGATTTGGCAGTACTTTCAAGTTTATTGATTATTTTAAGGTATGCATCTAACTCAATATCAATCACAGATGATAAACATTTATCTGTTTTTTTAATACCTTTAAAAGACCGAAGAATCCCTGTCAGAGCAATTACAATAGCACAACTGTGTCTCTCAACATATAAAGTCATGAAAAAAACCACATTGGAAATTGTCCAAGCTACTTTATTTTTAAGATTTTATTTTAAAGAATGCCCTGAAGATGGTGATAGTTTAACATTAGGTCAATCACAAATATTATTTGGATCCTTGGTACAGTCAGCTTTAACAATGGGTTTGAATAGAGATCCAAACTTTCACTCTGCAATAGATGATATAAACATGGTGAATTTGAAAAGAAGATTGTGGTTCATTATCGTGGGTATTGATATTGAAACATCAATATTATCAGGAACTTTGAGTGTTACGCCAGAAAATACCTTAGTTGATGTTCAGTATTCAGATGCTTTAGATCTAGATCCTTTAAACCAGGCTATTTTTGAAGAATTTAGAAAAGAAGCAGAATTACATGATATATATCGGGAAATTTGTTATATGATCAACCGTATGGATATTAAACCAACATTATCATCTTTAATGGCAGTATGTGATAAAGCCAAATTCAAATTGGAAGAACATTACTCGATAATTAGTATGACTCCTATATCAAATATTACTGATTTAAGATCAAATGAATATAGAGTAACCACTTTCAAAAATCATAAAATTTTGGAAAAGAATATAATACATTTTTGTTTTGAAATTGTTATTTATCAATTAATATTCATACACTATGAAGAGGAAAAGTTTTCAAACTTTAAACTATTTAAAAAATTTTATAAATTAACTTTAACAAGTTTAACTAAAGCATTTGATATTTCAGATGCTTATCTTTCTGGTGCTTTCCGGAATTTTATTGATCTAGCACAATTTAATTTTTCATTTTATCCCTTAATTTCTAATTTGTCATATAGATGTGCAAACTGTGTTGCAGCACAATTGGTAAGATCTTTCCATGCACAAGATTTATTGAAATGTCCATTAGTTGGTGTTACAATTAAGGATCAATCTAGAACAAATACAAACGTTGAAGCTCAAGATTATGATAATTTTATTCAAATTTTATGTTCCATGTATGAAAATCATTTAAAACTTTATGAACAAGTTATTGGTACCAAATATCATTTATCATTGAAAATTATATGTTCATGTAAATTTAGCTTTCATTCATTGAAAACACATAAATTTTCTTTATTCAACAGTATAATCAATTTTATGGAATATAATGAAAATAATACATCACAAAGTAAATCAGTCTGGGAACAAACTGAAAGGATTAAAGAAATTAGAAGATCTTTAAATTCAAATACAGATCTTTATTCTATTTATACACAATGGAAGCAAATCACTAAATTGAATAAGAGTGATACAAATCAGCAAGTTCAAAAAATATTAAAAGAACATGGACCAAATTGTAATGCAATAATGAATATCAATCATAAAAACCATTTCATAGATTTAACTAAACAGGATCTTGAAGAATTCACAAATATTTTAGGTGGAGGATTTAGAATTTGTGCTAGTTCAACTTCAAAAATGAATTATAATCATGAATTGAAAGAGTATAGTAATGATGAAAAATTCACTACAAATGCCTCATCTGCTGAAGATCAACTACATATGTTTTATGAATCTTTACGTGAGAATAGATGGAACATTACAACGAATCCAATTATTAATGATAATGATGTTGAAATTGATCAAACAGTTATAGAGAATTTCCATTTAAATGATGATTTGTTGAATGAGTTATTTGGTCCAATAAATGAATCCACCAGTCAATTGAATGGGTTTTTTGGATTCTGATTTATATTATAATTAATGAGTAATGTCCCCTATATCTATCTACTTTTTGTAGTCTAAACTCCATAATAAGCTGTATGAAATGGTATATACCTTATATTTCCGAGGGCTGTTCTGGTCGGAACTCTTCTTTTCAGTTCAATGGAGATAGTACGGTTTTAAAGTCCCAAAGCGCAAAACAACAATAGATTCTAAGTAATCGTCAAATAAATTAACTAGCAAATTTAAAGATGGAATTAAAATTCATTTTGGTTTATATTCCCGTGATTTGACCTCTTAAAATTTAAACTGTACTGCATGTGTCAATTTTCAAATGGGTACAAAATTTGTGAAGTTTATTAACATTTGTACTGTATTTTGATTTGACTACTTCTAGGCTTATACTATAAAGAAAATAGAGCTTATTGATTAAATATTCAAATAAAGCTATTGGATTATCTGTGCTTTCTGGTGTTACTGCTGATATAGTGCTGATTAGTATATTGGTATAATAGAGTGGCTGATCTACTAAACAATAGCTCGTTGATACTTGAAAAAATCAAATCGGTGGCCAAAATTTTGATAATTTGAGTTTAGATCACTAAATCAAACCCTTTAGAAATGTCAGAGAATGAACCAAAAGAGAAAAGAAAGAGACAGAGACTGTCTCTAGTGTGCTTACATTGTAAGAAGAGAAAAATAAAGGTATGTTATCTTGTGATCAGTGTTGTTTTTTTGACTTTACATTTACTAACCTCTTCATAAGTGTGATAAAGGGAAACCAACTTGTTCAAATTGTCAAAGGTTTGGTGTTGAATGTAATTATGAGCTGCCACATTGGGTCAATAGTAGTCTGGAGAAGAAGACAGTGACTACAAGTATCACTTCAAATGATGAATATAAACATAAATCAAGAGAGGAATTACTACATGAAATTGAACAATTGAAAAATAAATTGAATAAATCAAGCCCCAATACCCCAAATGGATCAACAGAAATTAAATCTACACATTCAAATTTTACACAAGTTGATTATTTCACTTCTTCCGTTGATTTGGGACTAAACAATAACGATATAATTGATCTTTATGAATCATATAATACCTTGGCAATGAAACATTCAAGTCATGAAGAACATAAACCTTTAAGCCCCATGGCTATAAGCAAAATGGATCATTACCTTGCATTTTTCATGTGTTACATGTTTGTTTCAATTAAATTAACACCTTCTTCAGTCTCTGATATGTTTAAAGAAACTTGGAAATCAAAGCATTCTGATGGTTCAAGTAAATGGTTATATCTTTTAGATTTAAAAAATAGAGATTCTGAGTTGAAAAATGCAATTGATAGAATCATAGGGGATAGAGCTACTTTATGTCGAATAAATGTGTTCCCATTCTTGAATATGCGTGACTCAAATCAAGATGAAGTTGAAGCATTAACACGATCAATTGAACAAACACTACCAAGTAAATCATTTGCTGAAAATTATTTGGATTTTTTCTTCCATTTTATATGGATTTCTAAACCTTTTATAGATGAAGTTAGTTTCAAAAAAGAAGTTACAAGAATTATAAGTTTTGATGATGAAACCAAAAGACCCAAGATTACATTTAGTCAAAGATCTGATTTTGCTACAATTGCAACTTTGTTAATAATTTTAAGATATTCATCTATTGCAATTGCAGTTATTGATGATGATGAGTTACCAAGTTTTTTAACTTCATTGAAAGAAAATCCAGTTTCTGTTAAGGCAATTACTGTTGCTCGAATGTGCTTATCAATGTACAAAGTTTTGAAAAAAACAACTATTCATGTCATTCAAAGTTTATTATATTTAAGAAGTTATTTTAAGGATTGTCCAGAAGATGGTGATGGTTTAACATTAAGTCAATCTCAATTGTTATTTGGATTTATTGTTCAATCTGCAGTTACAATGGGGCTTCATAGAGATCCTCAAAATTACTCTCAAGTTTCTAATGATATGAATGAAGTTAATTTAAGAAGAAGAATATGGTATTGTATTGAAGAAATGGATAATGAATCGGCGATACTTTCCGGGTCATTGTCAGCTTTACCACATCGTTCCCTAATTGATGTCAAAATACCAACAATCACTTCTATTGATACGGTTGAACATGCTCAAGTTAAAGAAATTGAATTAAGGAGACCTTTATTAGAAATATATGAACAATTGTCCTTTTCAATAAATAATATGCAACAGAAACCAACATTACACAAGATTATTTCCCTTTTAGATCAATCAAGGTCATATGTTGATACACATTATTCTTTAAATTCAATGGAAAGTTTAAAACATTTGAATTGTGGTACAAGAATATTTAGAGCAACAATGTTTACTAATTTAAAACATATTCAAAAGCAATTAATTCAATTATCTTTAGAGATTACAACCTATTATTCATTATGTTTACATTATGAATCTAATTCACATTTAGAAGCTAATTTATACAGACTTTTTTTGAAAAAAACATTATTATCTTGTTCAGCAGCTTTAGATTTATCTGCTTCATATCTTTCAGGTTCATTTAATGAATATTGCACACCAATCCATACAAACTATGGATTATGTCCATTAATTATCACATCATGTTTCAGAGTTATGAATACCTTAATGTCAATATTGTTGAAAGTTTATCATGCACAAGATCTATTGGAGTCAAATTATATCTTCTCCGTTGATTCAAATATAAAACAAAAGGCTTTAGATGATTTTTCAAATGATTTATCCAAAAAATTTGAAAGTGCATTATTTTTAATGAGAAAAAAATTAAGTAAAAAATATTATCAATCTTTAAAAATTCTTGGTTGTTTCCATTATGCTTATATTTTATTGAAAAATGATAAATTTAAAATGATGAATAGAATAATTAAATTTTTAGAATCTGATGAAAAAAGTTCAATTGGTGATGATGTTGTATTAAATGGACCAAGAAGGGATGAAATTAAAAAACATTTTCAAAAAAATAAAAGTTTAATAACTTCTAGTTCTGAATGGATGCAATTAAATAATACGGTAAATTGGATAATGAATAGTAATAATAGTAATTCAAGTGAAGATCCAACTTTTGAAGGTGAAAATGAAACCATAATGAATATTAATAATACCAACTTATTGGCTGATTTTACAGAATCAGAAATCAAGTTTTATACAGATTTACTTAAAACTGAACCTTTGAAATCCTTTTCAATTCCAAATAATGTTGATCCAAAAACATCAACTGAATTATTCAACTCTTCATCATCATCAAATTCAACACCTAATGATTCTAATAACGATATATATCAAAGAGTTTTCAATGAACAAAATATTAATGAAATAACACCTCAAATTTCAAATATGTTTAAAGCTACAAGAAATGGAGGTACACCACAAAATAATGAAAATAATGATGGATTTTTAGGTGATATTTTTGACCGATTGATGGGTACAAATGCAACTGTTGATGATGTATTTACTTTTTAGTTTTTAAAAAGCGCAGGGCGCAAATGTATATAGTTGAAGTTTAATACTAATTATGATTTTTGTTTTGTAAATAAAAAAACAGTTATTGAAATCGATGATCTATAGTCATGAATATAAAAAGTAGTTATTTTATAGATATTTGGAAATTATTGAACGATTATATATCCTCAAACGTGAATATTTATTTTACTCCCTTGTTAGTAGTTACACGTCTAATTACTGTGTATAACGTTTGCTTTTACTTATTTTTGTTGGTGTAGCTCTTAAACTTTCAACAAACACGGCCGAAGGTATGATATATAACAATAAGATTAATACTATAAAATGCATCTCATGGTCTCAATTTTCAAAGTTCAAGCCACTTTCAAGACTCGGTTATAATAAAAAGAACGTCCAAGGACCAAGACTCAAGAGTCAAGACTATATTCAAAGCTGTATCAGTCAGTATCTGCATGTAATTTAATAAATACGTGAATAATTTTGCTTAAAAGATTTCTTTTTATTACCTTATTGAAATTATATGGCTGAATTGGGGCTCAAAGTATCTCTTTTGCACATTTTGATAGCCCCATTTAGTTGAGATGGCTGAATTTGGACCTGAAAATATCCCTTTTGAGCTTCAACCGAGATAGCTTATAAGCACATGTACCGTGAATCGTTTCAAAAGAAGTACGTGGTCTCGACTCTCTAGCGCTTCCACAATAAGATCTAATAGGGACACTTTGTTGATCCTCAAAAAAATAGGTTAAAGTTATAACATTGTATAGTAAACCAAAGATGGTTAAATCAACTAGTTCATCTTCAATCATTGTCTGAAAGGGCAAAAAAAGAAGAGGTGCTCCGCGACGGGGAATTGAACCCCGGTCTACCATGTTCTGTCTTGATTCAAGTTAATGATCTCTCGACAAACGGTGATTCCTTACCTCTATAGACTATCCGCAACTTTCAAAACTTCAGCATTAAAAGAAACTTTCCAAAATAGCTCAAGACACAATATCCCTCTTTAATGACCTCGATCCGGTATATCCACATCAACCACATCTTTACATAATCTGAATCTAGACTCATCATGCCCAAAAAACCTTATTTCAAGATGCGGCTCATTACTTATCCTAATTAGGAAATTCATTAAGTCCCAATCTGGTAATTCGCGGATTCCCGATAAAGATATCTCAGATCCGTGGAACTTTAAAGTTTAGCCCCATTTCACTGAACCTCATCAAAAACTAACGACAAATTTCCCAAATCTGACCTTTTCTGAATTTCCCGTGGATCGAACCAAGGTCCCCAAAGATGAACATCGTGCACAAATCCCATGACCCGCCAGGACAGAGCTACGACTCCATTAAATTTTATGATTTTGAAAAGACCTCTATCTGACAGCGTGATTATGTAATCATAGCTCCCAAAATTTGATCAAAAATAGCGATTTTGACCTCTAATTAACAAAATAATGATTTTAAGCAATTCTTATTAGTCCATTAAGACATAAAAGCTGCTTTAAACTCTCAAATATGATTGAAAAAAAAAGTAAGATGTTGAAAAAAAATTCTCTCGGACGGGGAATTGAACCCCGATCTACCATGAATTGTCTTCGACAAACGGTAATTCTCACCATTAAACTATCCGAGAGCTTCCGAATCCTCCACCCTAAACTATCTGGGATTTTTGAGGATTCCCGCTAAACGATCCGAAGTTTTGTAGCTTCTAACCACTAAACTATCCGACCATTTGATGAGTGTGTATAACCCGGTAAGTTGGGTTAATATAAGATCTTTTAAGTATATATAATGGTAATTATTGTTTTCCTTGGATTGAGATCTTGTTGTTGATTAATATAGTTTAAAAATGTATTATCCAGCAGTTGGTACCAAGGGAATCCACGATATCTGGTTGTTGATGTGGAAGCATCACAGTAAAGTAGAAAATCCAGTTCCCATGCATCATTGTTGATTGTCAAATCCATTGCTTCTTTGGTACGAACACAGAAAGGGACAATAAGAGGAACTTATAAATGCAAGCCGCTAAGCAAACACCATGTGGGGTTTATAAGAATACCAAAGCTGAACGACACCGAAAATCTCTCTTAAATATAGTTAAATT